ACAGTAGCTGACATGTTCAGAGATAGGCAGGAGAGCTAAGAGGCAAGAGGGAGGAGTCAGCCGACTCCTGATTGGCTAGAGCAGTGAGGGGAGGAGTTAGCTTTTAGAGGGAAAAAGGCTGTCTTATTTGACAAGCTGGAGAGTTGAGTTTTAAACATCGTAGAGTGAAGAAGTATATTTTAGGAAGAGGGAGCTGTGAAGAACTTAGGCAGGGAGGGAAAACTTTAGTAGTGAGCCTTGGGAGTTAGAGCATAGGGAAGGCAAAGGTTCCTGGAACACTGTACATGTTAGGGTCAGTGAAGGAATGCCTGTTTGCTCTGTGAGGCAGTCTGTGTACTGTGCTCAGAGACACACTGTGTCAGAGTTAGTGAACAGTGTGGAGCAAGGAACTCACGGGGAAACAAAAGTTATAGTCTTAAGTAAGACTGCCTGTCTAACCAGCTAAGCCTCAGAAACTGCATCAAGCTTATTGTACCGCTCTTTTTAAGAGTTGATTTGTTCACCAAGTTTTAAAATAAACCTGTTTCTATTTTCATCTTTCAACTGGTGTCTGCCTCGGTCTATCACAATCCTTAGATCTCAGTTAGCCTAAAGATCATTCAATTTCAGTCCAGTCAGCAAAAGGAGCAGTGGTTAAAGAAGAACAAAGGGCTTGAATATAACTTTACCTATTTTCACATTCACACTTATGTTTTCCTCAGACATTAATTGAGGTGGTGGCGGCGAATTTATCTAATACATCGGTCATTAACATCGTTAATACAGTTGGTCACTGAAGAATAATACTGAGGTGGGATAAGAGAGTCTTTTCCCCTTGTCACAGTCATTTATCTTTATTAAAGTAGTGTCCAGCTGAACGTTAACATCTCTGCACACTGTTGGGCAGTGGTTGGGATTTGTTGTCCACCCTGCCCAGTTGGTCATCGATCTCCATTATACTGGTGGCAGCGGTGGGATTGCTTGTCCCCTCTGCCCAGTGTGTTGTTGATCTCCGTTACAGCATATGTCTTAACTGTGTCTGGTTGTGATTCCCAGGTTGTGCCACTCAGCTTTTGTATGATATTATTTCTAGCACCCACTTTTGCTTGATGTTCAAGCAGTGCCTCTTATAGTCAGAGCACAGTCCAGAGTGACTCCCAGGTATTTTGGTGTGCTGCAATGCTCCAATGGGGTTCCTTTCCAGGTGATTCTCAGAGTTCAAAATGCTTGTCTGTTCTTGAGATGGAAAACACATGTCTGTGTTTTAGATGGATTACGAATCAGCTGGATTTCTCTGTAATAGGCAATAAGAGCACCTAAAGCTTCAGAGAGCTTCTGTTCAACCATTCCAAAACTGCCTGCTTGAGCGGTGATGGCATGATCATCAGCATAGATGAAATCCTCTGTCCCTCCTGGCAGTGGCTGATATTTTGAGTAAATGTTAAATATTGATGGTGTTAACGTTGTGAGGTGGCAATTAAGAACACTAATGTGATTCTAGGTTAAACAATAGGGATACAGTGCCTAGATCAGAGGTCCTCAAACTAAGGCCCGGGGACCGGATACGGCCCTCCAAGGTCATTTACCCGGCCCTTGCTCAGGATGAAACCTAAGTCTGAAATGACTTGAAAGCATGCAACAACAACAGCAGCAATCCTATCTCATCAGCCAAAAGCAGACCCACACTTCTCATTGAAATACTAATAAGTTTATATTTGTTAAAATTGTTCTTCATTTTAATCATTGTATTGTTTTAAAGTGTTTTTTGCACTACAAATAAGATATGTGCAGCATGCATAGGAATTCATGTTATTTTAAAATTATAATCCAGCCCTCCAACAGTTTGAGGGACTGTGACCTGACCTTCTGTTTAAAAAGTTTGAGGACTCCTGGTCTAGATGGTCAAATCTCACCTGGAATAATCTCACCTGGGCAAAGCAATTCAAGAAGGATATAAACGTGCTGGAGTGCGTCCAGAGAAAGGTGAATAAAAACGGTCAAAGGTCTGGAAGCCACAAATCCCTATGAAGAGCAGCTTCATGCACTGATGCATGCATCACATATTGAAATTATCAATTTTGAATTGCCCAGTTACAAATTAGGTTTGGAAGAGTTGAACCATCACTACGTGAACATATAGGATAAAATTTGGATGGGTCATCATTTGTCCAGTTCCTCTTCCTTACTATAAATAGATATCAGTGGAGGAAAATGCAAGTCAGTGTGGTTGCACCCACTCCTTTGGTGACCAGGAATCTATTTATATCATATTTGCACATGTCAAAGGTATTATATTACATTTTCATGAAGTGGCATCCCCATCTAGTGGCCAAGGACGGCAAGGGAAAGGAATTCTACAGAGGGTTGTTGTAGATTTTTCGGGCTATATGGCTATGTTCTAGAATTATACAGAATTTTCAAAGAAATGAGGGTGCTGATGTAGAATTAATGCACTTTGACACCTCTTTAACTGCCCTGGCTCAGTGTTATGGAATTATGGGAAGATGCTCAATTGAGAGTAAGTAGGGATGTGAAATAAGTTTCCTTGAACTTCAAATTATCCTCCTGCTCTTGTAAAAACAAGTTGTCAAGTTTTAATTACCTGTGTTTATAACAACATTTCTCTCTATGTTCTTTAAAAAGCTTTGAGCCTCTAAGAGTCTGAGTCTGATGTGAACTGGGCTGGGCAAATCTGCAAGAATTGTAATTTTGCTTTGATTTGACTATATGATGTACTTTTAAACTGCATAGCATTTCATATGTATATCGGACATTAGTGAGGATATGGAATGAAGACTAAGCAAGACATAAGCAGGAATTTGCCTTTGTGCTCACTCTTTCTCCAGTGTGTGTGTGGTGTGGGGAGGGAAGTATATAAAAGCTCCGAAGCTAATGTGGGGCCGGAGGGCCTCTTAGCCGAAAAATTCCAGCCGCATTGTCCAGGCCTCTTGGGAGCATTAATCCTTTAGATACACACACAACAATCTCTGCTTTTCTGTCCATAGCTTTGGGCTCCTAAAGCTACTGTCTGATTTTCTTTTCACAGCACATGTGTGGGGATTGTGCAGGCTGAAACCGAGGTTAAATGGTCACACGCAAAATAAATCATGACACAATATGAAAACGGGGATCCAACGCCAAAGATTTTGTTCCTGTTGGCAATGAACCTGAAAACAGTAATTTGAGCATCAACTTGTAATGTTCAGTTCTTATATACTTAGGATATGATTCAGCCAGAGTGAAGCAGTTTTACATCATATTGTTTTCAAACCGATGATGATGAACTCTCTCATAAATGAAACTAGCGAGAACTAGAAAGGCCTTGTTTCCGGCTAGACTGGATCCTGTCTTTTCCATAATACTTCTGAATCTAACAATCTCCATTAAATCAAGGGCATTGTTATTCTGCGTGTGTTGAACTGGAAGATTATCTATTTAGATATTTGAAATCCAAACTAAATTCAGTAAATCCAGACTAAGAGAACTAACTTGAGAATGTTTTCTTTCTAAATGTAGCTCCCTTTACTCAGAATATTCATCGGAATGAACAAAATGGGACTCTACTTCCCATCTGCCTCCCTTCCCAAAACTCTTTTCTTTTCTGTCTTAATAAGCAATTTACTTTTTAAATAAATCACAGGATCTCTCAGCCACTTGGTCCAATGGTCAGGGACTATAAGAGCTGAAGTCCAAAACATTGAAGGACTAGAGTTTGGGAATTGCCGGCTTGGAGCATGTCAAACTGACCTGCAATGCATCTGATAGTTATGGATGAAGAATTGACTTCTAAAACCCTTTATTGGAGCATTACTGAGTCAGCTTTATGTTGGAGTCTCTTATCGCTTCTTGACAACAGTCCCTACTGTTGGGCAAGTGGGCTTATTAACAAAAGATCCTCCTCATAAATGTACAGCAGAGGAACCTATTAGCAGCAGTGTCACTCAGCACCAGTAGCCCAAAGTGATAAAAAGAAAAAAAATCCTCCAGTACCACAGTTCAAAAGCATCTATCTTCTTTTGCTCAGTCTTCCTTATGGTCCAGCTCTCACATCCTTAGGTTACTACAGGGAATACCATTGCTTTAACTATGTGGATCTTGGTTGTCAGTGTGATGTCCCTACTATTCATTATTTTATCGAGATTGGTCATTGCTCTCCTCCCAAGAAGGAAACGTCTTCTGATTTCCTGGCTGCAGTCTGCGTCAGCAGTAAACTTTGCACCTAGAAATACAAACCCTGTCACTGCCTCCACCTTTTCTCCCTCTATTTGACAGTTATCAATCAGTCTGGTGGCCATAATCTTGTTTTTTTTTTATGTTTAACTGCAATCCAGCTTTTTCACTTTCTTCTTTCACTTTGGGTAGAAGGCTCCTCAGCTCCTTCTCGCTTTCAGCCATCAAAGTGGTATCATCTGCATATCTAATGTTATGGATGTTTCATCCAGCCATTTTCATCAAGCCCTGCATGTTGCATGATGTTTTCTGCGTACAAGTTGAATAGGTATGGGAAAAGTATACAGCTCTGCTGCATTTTTAATAAATGATAAAATTATATGGATACAAAGGAATTGTTTTAAAATAGATATCTTTATGATTTATTATCAGGCAATGTTTTATTTGTATACATTAGATATACCTACATTCTTAGGTCTGTATAAATATTTCTCAGGCAAAAAGAAGTCGTGAGTGCAAAAAGCTTTGCTCTAGTCTTCCAATAGACAGATCTTTAAGGGAAAAAACCCTTTACCATACTTTGTCTTACTGCATTTCCTGCACAGCCCCTTGTCCACATTATAGAAAGCAACAATTCACTGCCCAGACTAAATGTGCACTGAGATGACATGGGCTAAGAGTCGGGGTTGGAGAGGAAGGAGTCTAATTAAATAAAAGTCACAAACTGAACAGGGCATTGTAGTTCTAACAACCCTAGTCAGGGCTAATTTTTTCTTTTTCAAAAAGCCACTCAAGCATAGTTCTTTAGTTTTTTCCCCCGTACACCCAGTTACAGAAAGTAAAACTCTTTTAAAACAGCTTTATTGAAAGTTTTGTTTTTATGTTTCAGCTCCTTCCACAGATTTACTGTAGGCACATCGCACAGGCTATGGTTTAATTGCCGTCTGAGCCTTTTCCAAAATTTCTTCTCTAATCTTTGGATAATCTGGGCACATTTTCAGAACCTTTCATAAAGAAGAAGACATGATTAGCTATTTTTAAAGCCACACAGTGAGAAACAACCACTCTCTATATCTGCTGCTAGTATACTGTAGTTTGGCTGGGATTCTGTAAAGGTTTATGAGGGAATACTCAAAGAAGAGATCAACGGGTGACTCTAAACTGAAGAATTAAGGCAGTTTGACATCACTTTAACTGCCATAGCTTGATGCTAGAGAATAACGGGAATTGTAGTTTTGCAAGGTCTTTAGCTTCATCTGCCAGAGACTGCTGGTGGCTCCCTAAACTACAAATTGTGGGATTCCACCGCATTGAGCCATGTGAGTTAAAATGGTGTCCAACTGCATTAAATCTACAGTGTAGATGCACCCAGTGAAGACAGAAAAGTGTCCTCAAGAAATTCTCCAGCATAATGCTGTTGTAGGAGTGTGTTGGACATATTTCAGGATATTCTAGCAGTTTGTGTGGATCCATGCAGGCCTGACCAGATAATCAGTGAAAATTAAGAGAATTACTGATATTTTACACGGATTCCACAGCAAACTCACAAGAGTTGTGGAACTGAAAGAACAGTGAGGAAAGGGCATCATAAGAGAAAAATAACTGACAACCGTCACTGATAGGACAGAACTCTGAATTTAGACAACTTACATCATGGCATACATCTATTGCCTCCGTGTATCTTTTATCTTTTAGGTAGTTGAAAGCAAGTTTAAATCCTAGAGGAAGAAAAGAAAAGGTCAATGTTCTGTGTAATACTAAGTGTTCAGCACAATGGAAACTGTAACAGCCATTTCTGAGCACTGATGCTTGCTATGGTTAAACAGAAGTCTATTGGTTTATCCAGAAATGTGGTTCTTAAATAATATTTTTATAAAGGGCTGAAAATGATCTATGTGTGAACAAAATTAGGTATTGACCAATTAAAGCAGTAAACTAAATATACTTATCCATGGAATAAGTCCTATTGGACACAAAGGATTAGATGTTTGAATAATTATATATAAATTATGTAAAAATTAGAAACCATACAAATTAAACTTGAAAATGAACTAAATCAGAAGCACATTTTAATGATCTGGAATGCTTAAAGGTATAGCAATCAGTGTGTGTTTCTGGTAATTAGGAAGAAATGATATTATACAATGTTACTAGTATATTATTGTTTTTTTTAAGGGTAGAGACATACTTGCCTGGAAGAAGAACAGAAAAATAGTCCTCGTCAAAAACAATGGTGAAAAAAAAAATTAACCGATGATGTAAAAATAAGCTAGTCTAAAGAACAAAGAGATTCCTAAGCTGCTACAACAGTGGCGGACAACAGGAACTGAGGTAGTAGCCCCTCCCACTAGCTATATACTCTAATAATAAAATAATAATGAAATTTTATTTGCATTCTGCCCTATCTCCCCGAAGGGACTCAGGGTGGATTCCAACCACAAAAAGCCAAACAGTCAATGCCTAAAAACAACAATTAATACAAACATAATAGAAAAAATAACCCAGCATATAAGGACAAATTATAACTTAACATCTACATTTAAATAAAACATAACCTATCAAATAAATTATATCTAACATCAAACAAAACATCAAACTTAAGCATCAATTTACTAGAGCCAACAAGGGTCATTAGAGCATGTAGGTTAATTATTGCCAAAGATGTTAACTGGGTTAGCAGGGTATACAGAGCCCGGAAATGAATAACAGTCTTCAATCGGAGGTATAGTAACATATCATCATCTAATTCTCCTCCTCTTCACGTGCTAATAAGCAGAAGTAAGTGTTCAGTTGTTGTTTTTGAAGGCGAGGAGGGAGGGGGCCATTTTTATTTATTTAAGGAAGGAGTTCCAGAGGTGGGGTGGGGCGATCATGGAGAAGGTCCTTTCTCTCATACTCTATGGGAAGTGTGGGTGGGGCTGCTGCGAACATCGTATCAAAGAGCTTTCTAGAACACTCCGATCTGATTGCGCAGGTGCAGGAAATACCATATGTGCGATTTCACAGGGACCACGATGGAGAATATTGTTTTAATTTGTTCATCACCTTGTGAGGGCTGGAAGGGGCTACAGAATGCCTAAAAGGCACTATCATCCCAAAGTTTTTCACCTCCATTTTTATTTCTGTGGTACTTCCAGATTCCCACAATGATAAAATAAAAGGATTGTGATTTCAGTAATTTCCCAAGTACAAAGGGAACAAAGAAACTGCTTTATTCAATACGGGAGAAGTGACCTCAACAGATAAGACGGAAACAAAGGTATAACTACATTTATCCAAGGACACATAGGAGAAAACCTGTAGGGACTCTCTCGTTGCTCACCGCTCCCTTTATTCACTCATTATAGAAATGTATAACCTGAATTTCACATTGGTTCCAACATTCCTCCATTACAATTTTCTCAGGACACGAAAGGAAAAGCAAACTACCACTAGCATCACCTCTTCAAACAGTCTGTTGTTTTTATGGGATAATGATGTTTTATTGGCTTTATAGGAGTCAGTCTGAAGATCTTGTTGTCTGAAGAGTACAATAAAATGCTTAAAACAAATAAAAAATGAATGGTGCTTAGTTCTAAGTAGAAACCTTCCTTATTATACCGCAGAACCCCAAATTTGACTCTGTTCCAAAAGGAACCATGTAAAAGTATGTCCTAAATCTCAGAGTGCTCCCCTCCCCAGAAGAACAGGCACCGCCAAATAGTAAGGCCTTAACTTACCAACAGAAGGATTTGCTTGGTTGCTATACTTCCAAGCTAACTCATAATTAGTTGCAGCATCTTTGTAAGCATTTTCCTTTTCTGCAATAAATCCTAAGCATTCATAAGCTTTAGCACATGACTAAAGAGAAAAAAGATAATGTAAATATAGCAAGTTTGGAAAAAACACAAAAGAATTGAAAGGGTGTTGTAAAATATCCTGGCTTTAGAACAGAAAGGTCACAAATTGGATTTAAAAATTATGCCTGGGTAAGCATAAAATAAGGCATGCTAAATGTAAGTGAGGTAAAAGCATTTGCTATGACAAACAGATTTTGGCCCATATCCTACACTGCCTAGTTAGTTATCTCTTCTGGTCCAACGTTACCTCTTCAGGTCCAAAACTTCTTTACCAAGCAGCAGCCACACTGACAGGCAGAGACCTGTCCAGTTGATGACTGGTAAACAGGCAGCATTTCTATCCCCCACCCCCAAACAAAGAGTGTGGCTGTAATATGGAACTGAGAGTGGGATCCTTCATCAAATTGTCATAGCCTTTCTCCTTGAATAGACCCTCAGAGAATATTCAGAAGCAAGCCCATTCTGAAACAACCCTTTTTGGGGGGAAAGAACTGGGAATTCAATCTATATTTTGACTACCTATCTTTCTAGAACAGAGTTTTCCAGACATTTCATGTTGGTGACATACCTTTTTGGCATGCATCATTTTGCAACACAGTAATTCGGTTTTACTAGCAAACCAGAAGTTAAAACAATCTCTAATAAGAGATATGGACACTGACATAATAACAAAATGCACACGGACAAAACATCTCTCATGAAAACCTTAATTTTTAAAAATATATGATTCTTTGCTTATTTCACAGAGACTCTGAGCTTTCTTGTTACATTCATGTGGCACACCTATGCACCTAGCTGACACACTAATGTGTTGCGACATAGTTTGAAAAACTCTGTTCTAGTGCCTAAATCAAGAGCTGGGTATTTCTTTTTTAAGAGGGGGATCTAGCAGGGATTTATTTTTCTACTGCAACAGAATCACATCCCCTCACCTTATTGTACCGCAAGCAGCGCCTCACTTGCTCTGTTGCAAGGTCGTACTTCCCAGTAGAGCAGTAGATATCTGCCAACAAAATCCAAGCCTTTTCTAACTCATCGGCATCTTCCAAAGACCAGTTCACCTTAGTCAAGCGTTTCAGCTGGGTCCTGGCTTTAGGTGTATGCTTAAGAATCATGTACGCCTGAGCCATTGCCAAAATGGCTGGAACACTGTCTCGCTGTTTTAAAAAAAGGAACCCCAAAAAACAAAATGTTCGTCTACATTTTTTTTCTTTAAGCCCTGATTTTAAATTTCTGAGATGATGTTATGTTATCTATGGTTCAATGAAAACAAAGCACATAGCAATAACGGATTTTCAGGTAACATATAGCTTACATATTTGTAAGCACTGCAGCCCTTTCCCCTCCCATTTTYCCCCCCTTTCATGAACTAAATATATTTGAAAAAGTCTTGATTAAATTGACATATTCTGGGCATGCCCAGAGTACTTTCACCTCACCATTACTGTCTATCTTTTCATACAAAATTAAAGAGCAGAGTCCAGTCACAAAGGAGAGGCCTTCCATAKAGACCAGTGCTTCTCAACCTTCCTAATGCCACGGCCCCTTAATACAGATCCTTATGATGTGGTGACCCCCAACCATAAAATTATTTTCATTGCTACTTCATAACTGTAATTTTGCTACTGTTATGAATCATAATGTAAATATCTGATATGCAGGATGTATTTTCATTCACTGGACCAAATTTGGCACCAACACCCGATACACCCAAATTGGAATACTGGTGGGGTTGGGGGGGGGGGATTGGTCTTGTCATTTGGGAGTTGCAGTCACTGGGATTGATAGTTCACCTACAATCAAAGAGCATTCTGAACTCCACCAACGAATTGAACCAAACTTGGCACACAGAACTCCCATGACCAAGAGAAAATACTGGAAGGGTTGACCTTGAGTTTTGGAGTAGTAGTTCAGCTACATCCAGAGAGCACTGTAGATTCAAACAATGATGGATCTGGACCAAACTTGGCACGAATCCTCAAAATGCCCAAATGTGAACACTGGTGGAGTTTGGGGAAAATAGACCTTGGCATTTGGGATTTGTAGTTGCTGGGATTTATACCTACGATCAAAGACCATTCTGAACTCCACCAAGAATAGAATTGGGCCAAACTTCCCACACAGAACCCCATGACCAACAGAAACTTCTGTGTTTTCTGAGGAACTTTGGTGACCCCTCTGACCCCCACGTCATGACCCCCCAGGGGTCCCGACCCCCAGGTTGAGAAACAGTGATATAGACTGGCCCTGCAGTATTGCAACTAAGCACTATTTCTGCTTTTTTTGATTCACAGAACATCGTCAAAGCATTTTTTAAAAACCATTCTTTTCGCTGAGGTTATCCTATATGATGCTACAGTCCCAGCACAAAACTTGTATGCTCTACCTGATGGTAGCTGTCACATTTGACCACCAATGTTCTTATATTACCTCGTTTTGGCCAATTTCTGTGAATACTTTCAGGGCCTTCTCTACGTTATGTTTTTCTTTTGTGGCCATCAAACAGTAGCTCTGCAACATCTCCACTTGATTCTGGCCCTCCTGAGAGTGAGGGTAAAACTCCTTGAGCAGCTTCTCAGCTGTGCGGATCCCATGCTGTTCAGATTCTCTCTTTTCCTTTAGAGCACTGGTGAAAAGATGAACACAATGACCGAGGGCAAATGAAAATAGCTTAAAGCAGAAGTAAAAGGATCGGTGAAAGAAAAGTTCAATGAAATTACTCAGGACTCAATGCTATTCCTGTGGCAGATAAAAAGGAACTGAGGGGAAGATACAGAGGTGCTATGGAGATTATGGACTGGATTCTCATCAGAACTCTATTCAGTTCCAAAATGTTCTGATTGCTGTAAGACCCATATGCTGTATATACTCAAGTCTAGGCTAAGTTTTTCAGCCCTTTTAATGCTGAAAAAGTCCCCCTCGGCTTATACTCAAGTCAAGAGATATTTATTATTTTACTAGGTTATTGGACTATGGATAGGTTTCCAATTGTGTTGTGTTTGCTGAATTCGTTTTTAGGCAAGGCTAGATAACCAGTATTGTTGTAATATTTATCATTGTACTTTTTAGTCTTAAACAAATTTTAAACTAATTTAATGTATTATTCATATGTAATTACTGTATGTATTATGTGTATGTAGTGGTATCGAATTGTGCAGGCTGTAAGCCAGCCTGAGTCCCCCCTCTGGGGGTAGAGAAGGGTGGGGTACAAATGCCATAAATAAATAAATAAATAAATAAATAATAAAATAAATAAATAATAAAATAAATAATAAAATATTATTATTAATATTATTAAATTTATTATTTTACTCTATTTATTGTTATTATTGTTGTTACAATTACATTACTTTATTATTATTATTATTATTATTACATTTATTATTTTACTCTATTATTACATTTATAATTTTTCTCTATTTATTATTATTACTAGACGTCCCCTGCTACGCATTGCTGTGGCCCATTCTGGTGCTCATGGGGGTTCTGTGTGGGAGGTTTGGCCCAATTCTATCGTTGGTGTGGTTCAGAATGCTCTGTGATTGTAGGTGAACTATAAATCCCAACGACTAAAACTTCCAAATGTCAAGATTCTATTTTCCCCAAACTCCAGCAGTTTGGCATATTGAGTATTCGTGTAGAGTTTGGTCCACATCCATCATTGTTTGAGTCCACAGTGATCTCTGGATGTACATGAACTACAACTCCAAAACCAAAGGACACTGTACACCAAACCCTTGCAGTATTTTCTGTTGGTCATTGGAGAACTGTGTGCCAAGTTTGGTTCAATTCCATCGTTGGTGGGGATTCAGAATGCATTTTGATTGTAAGTGAACTATAAATCCCAGCAACTACAACTCCCAAATGACAAAATCATTTTTTTTTAAGTGAAGGACATATATTGGGTTGTTAGTAGGCCTGGGCGGTTTTGTTCGTTAATTTTGTAATTCGTTAAATATTCGTTAATTTTAGCAATTACAAAACGATTACAAAACTTATTTTTAAACCCGGAAGTGTTTTTAAATATCGAAACGGCATGCGCCAAATATTTTTGTATTTCCGTCCATTTCGGAAATACGTAAGATGGCTAGATGCTTGCTGGGAGCTCTCCTCTCTCTCCTCTCCTTAGCCAGTCAGAGCCTGAAAGAGGAGGAGGAGGAGGAGGAGGAGAGGGCGGGGAAGGCGCCGGCTGAGCAAGCGAGCGAGAGGGCGAGCGACCCTCAGCGGGAAGGCGGCCCGTCCCTCCTTCCTCACCTTTGCGGTGGGTGTGCTTCGTTCTCCCAATTCCGCACTGAAACCTTAGCGGAGGGCTGGGCTAGATGGCCTTTGGGGAGCCCTTCTCCCAATTTCGCATTGAGACCATAGCAGAGGGCGGGACTAGATGGCCTTTGGGGAGCCCCTTCTCCCAATTCCACATTGAAACTTTAGCAGAGGGCTGGAATGTATGGCCTTTGGGGAGCCCCTTCTCCCAATTCCGCATTGAAACCTTAGGAGGGGGCTGGACTAGATGGCCTTTGGGGAGCCCCTTCCTCCAATTCCGCATTCAAACCTTAGCAGAGGGCTGGACTAGATGGCCTTTGGGGACCCCCTTCTCCCAATTCCGCACTGAAACCTTAACTTCGGAGGAGCCAGGCCCGACTCGGCGGCAGCGCTTGAGGGCCCGCCAGAGTGAGTGCCTGCCTTCCCTCCTTAATAATAATTTCTCCTCCCTATTCTACTAAATTAATAATTAAATTAAAAAATATTGAAAAAATATTGAAAAAAAAAGGGCGCCATCTTTACAAAATGTTTTGTAAATATTAACGAAATTTCGTAAATACCGAACTTTTTTAAGGGAAAATTTTGTAATTATTTTAAATATCGAAACAAAAAAACCCCCCAAATACAAATCGATTTTAGAAACAAATTTTTGTGTTGTTACCCAGGCCTAGTTGTTAGGTGTCTTGCGTCCAAATTTGGTGTCAAATCGCCCAGCGGTTTTTGAGTTCTGTTAATCCCACAAATGAACATTACATTTTTATTTATATAGATTATTACATTTACTATTTTTCTCTATTTATTTTTATTATTGTTACATTTACATTAATTTACTCTGTTAATATTTTTATTATGTGTCTTATTATACTCTATTAATTATTATTACATTTTCCCCTCTATTTATTATTGTTATTATTACATTAATTTTTTTACTTTATTATTGTTATTATTCTTGCATTTATTATTTCACTCTATTATTACTGTTATTACATTTCCATTTTTTACTCTATTATTATTTTATTACATTTATTATTTTACTCTATTCTTATAGGAAGGATACATAAGCACGTTTACATTGAGGAAGATCAGAATAAATGTTTAATCAGAGTTGGACAGTCTTATCTTAAACTACAATTTTATGTAAATATTCAAAAACATTTAACCTACTGATGCTTCAATTAATGTAATTTTATTGGTATCTATTTTTATTTTGAAATTTACCAGTAGTTGCTGCATTTCTCACTTATACTTGAGTCAATATGTTTTCCTAGTTTATTGTGGTAAATTTAGGTGCCTCGACTTATACTCGAGTATATAGGGTATTATGTGTCAGTCACAGAAATGAACAAGGAAAAGAACATCTTAATGTTACACACATGCTGTGGCATTGCTAGAAGAGTTTACAGAAAGCAGTGCTAGCCCAGGCATGGGCAAACTTTGGCCCTCCAAGTGTTTTGGAGTTCAACTTGAGTTGAAGTCCAAAACGGATTATTTATTTTCAGGAGTTTACCTGGTTTCGATATTATTCTGGTTCTCAAATGCTTCTCCGCCGATTATTTCATTGTCGGGATTTAGGCATATCTGAATCATATAGCTTAGGGCTTTCTGGCCCCAATCACTATCCTTACGTGCTTTGTTGAAGAACCTTAAGGCCTGATTGGGTTGCATCATATGCCTGTTTGTGGGATGAAAGTATTTCAGACTTATGTGCCATATGAGAGCTTCGGAATTCTCAATCCTGCTAACAAGGATATATTTACACATTCTAGTTCACAAGATAATGGCCGTAAATCAATACAGAATTGAGTAGGCTCAAGCTCATAAATAATGGGTGACACTTTTGGAAAAGTCATACTGTATTTCTTTTTTGTGAGTGTAAAAAAGAAAACCCAATACTTACTATGTTTAGGTTAAACACAATTACTGAAATGCATGCATTTATAAAGATCTACAAATTCTAAATATCAGAGGACTCAAATCTTTGAATTTAACCCTGCTGTCATAGTCAAAAGCGCAAACCACTACACAACACTGGCTCTAAAATGCATTATATGTGTAAGCTATGTGCTTTTAAAATAGCAACTTAGAGAGAGAGAATTTTTTTACTGGAAAACAATCTATCTTTCTTCTCCCTTTCCCTTTTTATTGCATTTTTAAAACTGGTAATAGGTTTTTATTGAATTTTTATAACCCCCGGTGGCGCAATGGGTTAAACTCTTGTGCTGGCAGGACTGAAGACTGACAGGTCGGAGGTTCCAATCCGGGGAATCCGGTGAGCTCCCTCTGTCAGCTCCAGCTCCCCATGAGGAGACATGAGAGAAGCCTCCTACAAGGATGGTAAAACATCAAATATCCAGGCGTGCCCTGGGCAACGTCCTTGCAGACCAGAAATGACTTGCAGTTTCTCAAGTCGCTCCTGACACACACAAAAAACTATAATAAATACAATTATTTTTAAAAAGGGAAATGCAGTTTCAAAGGGAATGTCTATCTCTGCTTTGTACTTCTATGGTAATGGTAAGGCGTAAATGACAAATGTCCCACCACTCTATCTCCACTTTTCTTAATTAAGCATTTAAAGATTAATATTTCATGCCCCCTCCACAATTATCTATCCATCCATCCATCTATCTGCAGTATTTCTGTATTCCCGCCCAGCTCTTGAAATCCCCATAAAGCAATATAAAAATATTCATAGAATCTAGTTCTGAAACAGTTAAAAAATCAGTTTCAAACACTGAATGCCATGTGGAACAGCACTGTTTGGCCTGTCACAGGGAGCTTGCTTTAATTGATCTCTAAGTCTGCAATTGGATTGAAATATTTTCTCCACAACTTGCCAGCAGTAAAGTCCCATGCAATAGTTAAAACCGGGTTCCAAAGGCATTCGGGATGACTTTTTCTTAGCCAACTCAAAAAAGGTTGTAGCTTCTTCAAGTTTTCCACTCCTTCGCAGCAAGACAATCATATTCTCCATGACTGAGAAGTTATCTAAAAACATACAGAGGAAGTTTTAATATCTCCAACATACCACATTTCAGTACTTCCCGGTATTTTCAGTGATAAGTTATTGCTGACACAGAAGAATGAAACAAACTGCACTCCTCAGATGGAATACAAACAATATATCCAGACACACATTTTAAAAAAATGAAATGCAAAGATTCAGAATGGAAAGCATCTGGCTCAAGACCTTGGAGTCCTCATGGACAACAAGTTAAACCTGAGCCAACAATGTCATGCAGAAGCTTAAAAAGGCAATGGGATTTTGGTCTGCATAAATAGGAGTCTAGTGCAGTGGTCCTCAACCTGTGGGCCCCAGGTATTTTGGCCCACAACTCCCAGAAATTCCAGCCAGATTACCAGCTGTTAGGATTTCTGGGAGTTGAAGGCCAAAACATCTGGGGATCTACAGGTTGAGAACCACTGGTCTAGTGCCTAGATCCAAGGAAGCCATGCCTTGGTCAGGCTACACCTGGAATCATATTGTGTTCAATTCTGGGCACCACAATTTAAGGGAGATGTTGACAGGCTTGAAGGGTGACTCAAGCGAAGGGTGACTCAAATGATCAAGGGTCTGCAGAAGAAGCCCTATGAGGAGTGTCTTAAGGATCTAGGCATGTTTAGCCTTAAGGAGAGAAGGCTGAGAGGAGGCATAATAGCCATGTATGAATATGTGAGGGAAAGTCATAGGGAGGAGGGAGCAGGCTTGTTTTCTGCTGCCCTTGAGACTAGGATGTGGAATAATTGCTTCGAATTGCACCTGAACATTAGGAAGAACTTCCTAACTGTGAGAGCTGTTCAGCAATGGAACTGTCTGCCCCAGAGTGTGGTGGACGCTCCTTCTTTGGAGGCTTTTAAGCAGAGGCTGTATGGCCATCGGTCGGGGGTGCTTTGAATGGGAGTTTCCTGCTTCTTGGCAGGGGTTGGGTTGGATGAGCTCTTCCAATTCTATGGTTCTATGATTCTACACATGTCCTTTTGTCAAAATAATCCTGGTTTTAATCTATGAAGTTGATTTTAATGTGCTATAAATTGTCTTATTGTGAGTTGTTCAGGAGGCCCAGTTAAGGACCAAAAGTCAGCATGCAAATGCTTTCATGTATTTTTTTTTTTTTTTTAAAAATAATACCTGGTGTTTTCTCCAAAACATTTCGGTACATGTTTATAGCTTGTTCGTACTTCTCTTTTTCAAACATCAGATTTGCCATTATCTAGCAAAAGAGCATAAATTTACTCCTTATAGCAACGAAGTATTATCTGTGCTTTCACAAAACTTTACACAAGTAAAAAATGTGATTAAAATCTCACTACAGGCAAGTCAGTGTTAAATGCTCTTGGTAAAGATCTCTAGAGCTATTCCTGCTCTCCCAATCCTGTACTGATGATAGCCATAGTGAATTAGAAGAGTCTGTTACATCCTAGCCACCCCAAGGCCCTTTTGGGAGATGGTGGCAGGATATAAATAAAGAAGTTGTTGTTGTTGTTCTTTTACTGAGAAATCTTCAAAAACGAATTCCAACCCAAAATCAATGATCTTTTGGACAAGGCTTTTCGTAAACCACAGCACTTTACAGTGCTAAAGTCCCTTTTCAAAGCAAATACGAAAGCAAAGCAAAAATAACTCCTTCTCAATCGCGATGTAATTTTATTGGATACACGTGCAGTGTGCAAAGGAGTTGAATGAAAACCTTATTAAGTTCATAGAACGTCTGTCTCACTGAGCTTTTGATCTGTTAAGACTGTCAATTTGAGACCAATGTGAACCTCATTCACAACAACTATATTGGGTTAAAAAAGAACCTCAAACCAGGTGGTAATTCATAAAAATAACGCTGGTCAATACACATTTTGGTGCCTCAACCATTAGCCCTGTTTTTGAGCATATTTTATCTGCTGATTTCAAAAATGGCATCAGTTTCCACACATCAGCTCTAGTTTTTGAGATACAGAACATATGCTCTCTACCAGTTGACATCTGCTCACCCACAGAAAATCATGATAACCCTATCAAGGAAACTACAGCTGATGCAGTCTATCCAATGCCATTTTCTCAGTACCCCAAATAACCACAGGTATAAAAACTAAGAAACCAATATTTTTTGTTGGGCTGTGATTCACGTCAAAGAGTGTCTCCCTATATAGCAAAGGTTATGTTTAGTGCAAACTAAAGGGTCAATGTACCACTGTTCCATCTTCACTTGTGTCATCATCCTGAAGCAGGAGGGTACAATAGTGCTCACATTGCTCTGTATCTCCTTGCAACAAATACATCTTAGCTAATTTTAATGGTACCTGAAAGGAAAGTGAAAACACAATATAATCAGCATAACTTGGGAATTAAAAATTGGTTAAGGTGCTGGTAATTCTGTCAGACATCCTGAGTTCTTTCTGTATCTGCTAATTAGTTAAGAACTGTTACATATTCATAATCACTACTGAGTTATGATTATGGCTACTGTCACAATTGTAATTCCTCCTCCAAACTACTTTACTGGACAACAGCTGCATGAGAAGGCATGGGTAAATGAGATTTCCATCCGCCTTGGGAAGTCGGTACAGGAGAGGTTACTAGGGAGCTGATACAGAATACTGATTAAAATCCTTAAATTTAGAGACCGAGATCATGTTTACTTTAGTGTCTGTTGGAACACAGGAGAGGGCTTCTGTGTAGTACTTCACAGATTTTTCATACTCCTTTTCTGCTCCGTGAAACTCAGCAAACTGTACGCAGATCATCATGGCCACTTGTTTCTGAGGAGGTATCAGTTCAGGCTGTTCAACACGAACCCGCTTCAGTATTCTTTGCTGGATGTCATATGCCTTAAAATAAGGTAAGAGGGGGCCCTTGTTAGCACCATTTGGACAACAGGCTAAGAGTTTCTGGCAAGCATCTGGACCTTGATTTTTGGTGGCTTTGTTGTTTAGGATTTACTACAAGTATCAAGTTCCTAACAGTCTAGTATTTAAATGTCTTAAATTTGTTCTGGTCAATTTATTTGTATAGTAAAGGTTCTGATTATATTGGTTGTTTTGTTTCTGGATTGGTAAATGGCTCCAAGGGCTTCTTCGCTAACAATTGTCTTGACTTTCATACATTCTCCTGCGAAGCTCTATGTTGACTGAATGTAAATCACCTAACTACTCATTAGCTTGTCCACCTGGACTTTTCATCCACTGAGTTCAGATTTGTTTGTGACCTTGATTCCCTAGCATACTGCTGTTCAGGAATGTGGCCTTCAGACACAGACCACTCACTTTCAGGGCTTAAAATCTCTTGCTGGCTTTCCTGCTGACTTGCAGACCCAGAATCCCCAGGGTCATCAGAATGACTAACAGATCCAGAATCCCCAGAGAGATCAGGTGCAGGCACAATCAAAGGCTGAATTGCAATGCACACTCTCTTGTCTCTATTAGACTCATCCTTCTCAGGGACACACCTCTTATTATCCCAACTGCCGGCGAGGTGTCATATCTCCCCAATTCTCCAACAGCTGCACTGGCTTCCGATTGAGTACCAGATCACTTTCAAGGTGTTGGTACTAACCTTTAAAGCCTTATATGGTCTGGGGCCAGCGTACCTGAGGGCCTGCTTATCCCCCTACCAACCCCAGAGATTACTCCGGTCTGAAGCCCAAAATTTGCTTGAAGTCCCCAAATCTGGACTTATCATTTGTCATCTACTAGGCAGAGAGCCTTCTCAATTGTAGCCCCTTACTTATGGAATACCTTGCCGGTTGAAACTCAAACCATCCGAGACCTACTTGCTTTTCGGAAAGCCTGTAAAACTTTTCTTTTCCGACAAGCTTTTGATGGGTCAACAACTCGGGGCTATGTCCGTCCTCACTGCTTATTGTTATTTTAAAGCTAATTGTATTGTTTTAATCTGCTTCTGTAAACCGCTCTGAGCCAAATTGGGAGTAGCGGTATACAAGTTAAATAAATAAATAAATAAAAATAAAGTTTTCTGACAACATGGCAAGACCCTGAGTTCTCCATTTTGTTCTTCTCCTGTGAGCATGAAGAGAGACAAGATGTCTCAACAGAGAGAGAGATAGTTAGATAGCTAGGCCCTAACTTTCCTATATAGAAATGTTGCTCTTTCAATAAGGTCTTCTGTAACTTTTAAAGTTTGACTCTGCTCCTGTAATTGATGAAGCTCATTCGCTCTGCTGCTATGCTGCTGCTGCTTTACCTTTTCTGATGCTTTTTCCTATTTGAAATTACTCAATGAAACATATATTCAAAGTTCAGTTAGCACAGACACATTCATGCTAGTACCAGTAGGCTTCATAATATGACTCCTTCCTGACACTTGAGATTGAAGCAGATCTGAGCTAGGTTTGCCTCCTTCCTGACAGATCTGAGCTAGGTTTGAAGCAGATCTGAGCTAGGTTTGCCCCTGACTTCAGTCCAAAGAGCCTCCTTGGCCTGACTGGACCGATATCCCAGGAACAAGCTAGAAGGATCTGCAATGTACAGACTTTGTGCGATTCCTATCCTACAGACTTACTTACTTAGGCAATCCCTTGTTGGACAAGTAGGATAATCTTCCAGGATCAGTATTCTTGTGGATCCATAGGTATCCTACAGAGCCCTTGAGAGAATATGGTAACCATCCTCATCTCTGCTCTCTCCCTCACTCCCCATCTCCCACAGCAGGACTACTTGCATTAAAATTAGCAGGGAAAGTTACTGCTTGGTTCAAACTTCAACAACATCTACATAAAAGATCAATTGCACATTTATATGTATGCTGGTAACCACCTTGGAAACATCTTGGACAACACATGAAGCTTCTACAAAGCTGTTTTTTTTTTTTTACCTTGTTCAGAGTTTCCAGAACAACTTGTCCTCTTTTAGTTGTCTCATAAACTTTAGCTAGTAACATCAGGTTCTTAACATCCTTCATCATCGAAGGAAGGTCATCAGCTAAAAGATTGAAAATGTGCAATTGTTATTTTGTATCTGATGCACAAAGATTCATGGCCACCAATACGACTAGCTGGTAGCCGCAAATAAATAGTGTTGAATAGTGAAGCTAAAAAGAGTTATGTTGGATGAATCTGATTTAAACTTATCATTTCAGTTGCATTTAGAAAGGGTTTGGAACACCTGATAAAGCAGAACTGAACTGAACAGAATTTTCAATCATTTGTACAGGGCAAATTCAATGGATATAGTTATTCAATGGTTACCATGCAGCTGTTAAAGACATGAATCTTTAAAACATAAGGTTGAAGGAGTGAAGTGCTCAAATGGATGAGTCACTTACATTTTCTTTCACATTTGAATTTATAAGATCTGAAGATCTCTCCTGCTTATGATACGATTTGTGAAACTTGCTAAACTCTTACTCAACCACACATCTCTTTTCTAGTTCTCAGGGAGCATCACACTACATCCCAATGACTTCCTCCATCATTTAAATCTTTGTTCCTGCTTTTGTGCCTCAAAAACCATAGTCAAAATTGAACTTATATCTCATCCCCATAAAGTTTGCTTTACTATTGCGATGCACACATACTATCATCAAGATGTGTTTCTAGGCATTGTGCTTCATAGATCTGATGAAGCAGACTAAATCTACAAAAGTTTATGCTCCCAACTTCTTTCTTTCAGTCTCAAAGATATAACAGACTTAACCCAGAAGACAAGATCAAAATTTCAACATAAGACAGTAAGTAAAGAGAACTATTACCTTGGTCATGATCAAGTGCTTGGTTTAATACTTTCTCTGCTTTGCCAAACTTTTTGAGCTTTAAGAGGAGATTAGCAAGATCATGACATAAGAAGTCCTGCTCGCTCATCTTGAGAGCAACTTCATAATAATTAATAGCCTAAAATGTATGAATACATTTGAACAGATTAATTACAACTGTAGACTACAAGAACAACACACGTTTTTGAAATATCCACAAGTTTCAAAGCCATGCAATAATACTAGACAAATCAAATTATGTCACTCTAACTAGAATTCATAATTGTACGATAATAGGTACAGATTTTTCCTCCCTGTCCAAAAAAAGGTGACTTAAAGGAAGTCAGAAAATTGGGAAAATAATCAAGCAGAGGCTTTATATATTAATTTGTTCTTTTGTTTGAAATGCGTGCTAGTTTAAATCATAACATTTCTTTGCAAAATCAATCATATTTGTATTTTAAGACTAAAGATTGCATTTCAGCTGGCTTAAATTTTTGCTAAACCTCAAAGAGTTTGAATGCTTCATATTAATCAAGTAATTTATTTAGGATTGTGTTCAATGTCTATGAGTTTAAGGTACTGTTCCATTTTCCAGTCAGAGGCCACTAGGGGGCACTAAAGGGAGAAGGATAATCCATTTTACAGGGCGGGGGGGGGGGGGAATAATTTTTGCTGATTATTTCCCATTCCCCTATCATAGACATGGTTTGTTTCCACAACAGGGACATGAGTGTGGGGAATAACAGGAAAATGGTGGAAAATAGGTTTACACCTTCAATCCATCCTCCCCCCACTCCCATAAAATGAACTATCCTTCTCTCTCTAGCATCCCCTAGTGGGCTCCATCTGCATTATGGAGCAGTACCGAATTTACCTACAAAATTTAATTTGCATTATTGTTTTGTTTTGGATGTCTATGTTTTATTTTTAATGAGAAGAAAAAAGAAAACATCAATCTAATTATGAACCTTATTATATTGATGAGTGTAGACATAGGCTTGTCCAATTTTTCTTGCCACAGTTGCATCCAAAGGATTCTTCTTCTGAGCTGCTTCATAAACTTCCAAAGCTTTCTCAGGCTACAGTAAGTGACAAAAAGACAGTTATTTCTGAAGTGTCTGTTCTCCAGGGCTGATAAACTATATTTTAGTGCTGTTTTGGGGAACTGGAGTCCTTCTAAGAAAAAAAAATCAAGTGAGAAATTTACTAGAATTTTAGGAAACTAATAACTTCATGTATACTTAAAAGACCTTTGGAGGTACTTCTGATAATTTTAAACTATTGGGCTATCTCAATCAGTTTAACAGGCTTTGAAAAAATATCTAAGGTGTGATAGAAATGCTTTACATAAATAAAGTAGGGCTCTTTTTTTTTTGCTAACGAAGTCAATAGGTCCAAAAGTTAGTGCAAGTTTCTCTTGTCATAAAACTAATTTTGTGATAGCTAATACAAACAGATTTGTCTGATAAAAGGATATTTGTCAGATCTTGGTAGATTAAAACTGGCAAATTATCCAAGAAACATACTTGGAACATGTTGAGTACTAGCAGCTGCTGTTCTGACAACTTCTTGATTTTTGGATTTTTGGGGCTCACAGTAGAAGTTGCTTAACAGTTGTTTACAATGGGAGGATTGGTCAACTACTACTGTGTCTGCTACTACAACTTAGACTACTTATTATTCCTACAATTACAGTATTATGCTGTCTAGCAATGCTGGCAATATTTACATAGAGATTTGGAGTATTTAAAGGGATTCACATAATACTTGAATAGACTGGCTTTCAGTCCAACGTTCGCTTTCTTTCTCGTGAGCATTATGTTACAGTATCAGTGTTTTCATGAAAATGGTCATATTAATTACTTGAACAATTATTCAGATAATTACTAACCACTAACCTCTTGAATATTCATGTAGGCATCACCCAAGAGAAGGCTTGTATGAGGACTAGGTAAATTTTCACAGAGCTCACTAAATGAAAAGATACATGATATTTACTTGACAACATGACACAGGTGTACTTAGAAGTACAACCCATTAATCCCAATGGGATTTACAGTTAAATCCAGGGTGGAAATAGTTCAGTATTCCAGATACTGTTGAACTGCAGCTCCCAGCAGCTCTATTTAGCATAACCAATGGTAAAGATACAGATGAACAGTATCTGGATAACAGAATACCTCTGGCATATAGGATTACAGTCTTAACAAATTATAAGAAACAAATCCTAGTGTACAAAATATAATTTTGTTGGTTCACCATCAAAAGATTAGAGAGGTGACATAAGTGTTTTATTTATTTATTTCCCTCACCACTGTGTTCCCCTTCCTTTGAGCCACTCCTTTTATACATCATCTGTCCAAAATGTCATTTCCTCTTGTAGAGGTAACTTTCTGTCTTTCTTTGTGAATCCTTTTTCAATAAATTTTCTCCGTACAACATTATATTCACTTTGTTTCCATATCCCACTTTTAACTTTTAATTTACATGTCAAGCCAATTTCTATACTTCCTTATACTATTCTTCTATTTGTGTATTTTCCCCTTTTCCAATCCCTTGCTATAAGCAGTCTTGTTATCGTTAATACATTTATTATTGCATCTTTGTCCTATTTTTTCAGCAGTTTATTATTATATAATAATAATAAAGCTATACTAGGACATTTTCTATTTTAATGTTTATTATATCCTATATCTCTCTAAATACTTTTCTCCCAAAATTATTTATTTACACTGCCATCACATATGCATATATATCCCCAATTCTTGGTATCTTCTCCAGCTATTTTTAAATAGTTTTTATTTATATTCGCTACTCTTATTGGTGTTAGATACCATTTCCATATTAACTTATAGTAATTTTCTTTAACCCATATTGATAGGTTTTTCAAAAGTCTTTCTCCCCATAATTGTGACCACTCAATTTCATTTATTTTGATCCCTAAGATTTCTTCCCAAATCACCTTGAGGGTGTTATTCTTTTGTTTTCCTTCCTTTATTTCAATTATTATCTTATAAACTTATTATCTTATAAACCGCTCCGAGTCACTTCTGGGCTGAGAGGGACAGTATATAAATATGGTAAAATAAATAAATAAACTAGACTAGTTATTCCTTTCAAATTTTTGTGTTCCTCTATATCCATTCCAGTTTGTATTATCTGTTCAAATTGATTACGCTTACTTCCATTATTATTTTTTATTTATAGGAAAATTGGGTTTATATATCTATGGTTTATATATACCTACCTCCAACAGACAAGAGTTCTTTCTCCCACCCTGGACATCATTCCACAGATATAAAAATCCAATTTTCCTAGTTTCAACAGACCTCACAACCTCTGTCATAGATGCAGGAGAAATGTCAGGAGAGAATGCTTCTGGAACATGGCCATACAGCCTGGAAAACTCACAACAACCCAGTGATTCCGGCCATGAAAACCTTTGACAATACAATATTTGCAGACCATGTTCCTTCTTGAGTGGCGGAATAAATCTTTAACTGAAAAATATATAATACATTTAGCTTCTAAAACTTTCTTCTAATAGTCTCTAAAATTACCCATGCTCTATTGTTTATTTCTCTCTGTATCTAAAGGAAAATGTAAAACTGAATTCTTGCAACAACAAAAAAAGTAAAATTAATGCAAAACAACATTACCAATAGCATCCAATGTACAATCTCTTATCCTTTCGGGTCTGAAGATAAATCTGAGCCATCTTTTCCTTAACTTCAGTATAATATGGCTGGTTTGGTGTAATATTCCTCAGCATGGTTAAGGCTAAGTCCACCTCTCCTTTACTGAGAGCCAAATCTACATTAGCAACAGTGACACGGATTTCTTCTGGTGTTCCACTAAAGTCATTAATGGCATCTTGCATTATCTTTGTAGCTTCGTGCTAGAATGTTGAAATATGTATGAAAACACTTTACAAAGTAAATACTGCTGTAGCAAGAAGATAGCAATAAAGATTAACATAGTACTTTTGAAGTGTTGAACAAGTTCCTCATTTGTTATCCTGATAATCTTTACAATAGTCCTGTAAAGCAAATCAATATTACTATCTGCATACTGCAGACACAAAACTGAAGGTAAAATAGATTGTTTAAGGTCTAATGAGACGTCCTGCTTCCATTTCCATAATTACGGTACTTACCATGTGCACCATTATGCTACTTAAGATATTTTCTCTCTAATACACACATGGAAGGCAAATTACAAATCATTTTCTTGGATGGCAATTCAAACACTCCACAGCAAATTATCTACTATCCTGATTGACTAGTATACTTGAAGCAAAACGCTATGATTTTATATGGCTTCGTCAATCCCAATAGAATGTTTGGGGCCATTTTCCCACTTTCCTATTGCCTGAAATAATTTTTATACATATGCTTTCAAAAAGCATTAAAAATATCTGACAACATATAATTCTTAGCTACCATAAATACATGTATTTTGATCTATTTATTTTTTATTTAAACTGAGTTTATTTTGATATGGCCTTGCTTCTTTTCACTGAGAATAGGTTATACATGCAGTCCCCAAATTATGAACAAGATAGATTCTGTGGGTTTGTTCTTAAGTTGAATTTGTATGTAAGTTGGAACAGGTACATTTTGAAGTGAAACTTCAGCCATATATATGTATGGCTGAAGTTTCACTTTAAAATGTACCTGTTCCAACTTACATGTATGTGTATATGCTTTGAATAGCATAGGGAAGAATCAGCACCCAAGTAGGGTTTGTTTTGCTGTCTGTTTTACTGTTCAGGTTTCACCTCACTTTCTTTTTGTCCCTGTGATCATTGGATTTTGAAAAATGTGACTTGTGGAAACAAAGATTGGTGATAAAACTTCAGTAGAGACACTTTTCCCCCATGATAACTCTTCCAAGAGTGAATTTCCCTTCCGAGGGGAAGATTTCTCTCGCTTCCTGTTGTCTCACCCCCATTCTTAATCATTTGTAAGTTGGATGTTTTTAACTGCCTGCATTTAACGTTTCTTACCAATTCTCCATTGAGTCGAAGAGCTTCAACGAGTTCCAGGTAGATAGAAACTTTTTCACTTGTAGTCAGAGGAGGTCCCTGGCCTTTCTTAGTTTCCCCTTTCATTTGAGGTAAATTGACAAGCATTTTTAAGACCTTAATGGCTTCAGGGTATTCTCCACCTTTATTAAGTGCTCTGGCCCTGATGAAGTGATACAGTGGAGAATCGCGAAGCTGGTAAAAATATTAAAAAGTTATACTAATAAGACAAGTCAACTACAGCCGCACCATGAAAACATGTTATCTGAGATATTGATGAATTTCTGTTTGTGAGAGTGGTTTTAATAATCAATTTCCTTGTATTATACCTTTTAAAAAAGCAACAATCTTTATTGTATCCTTTAAAAAATTAAGATAAAAATAATGACAATAAAAGCAGAATGAAGAGTTCCTCAATGACATGCTGCAACAAACAGGAACATCCTAAAATGAGTTTATATATATTTATATACATACACATATACACATTACTATAAAAACCTGTGATCCATCTGCTTGAGCCTGGTGCAAAAGATGTATGCTTAAAATTAAACCGTTCTAAGCCAAACAATGTATTTTGAGTAGGGTATCCAAAACAGGATTTGCAAATTGTCCACACACAATAACAAAAGGTTACACACCTTTTATTTATTGAAGTTCTATAACGCTATGTAACACATTTTTATTGTTCCTGAGTTACAAATGTCATTTTCTAATTGGTTCTATTACGGAAAAAGTTTATTAAGCTGCAGAAACCTTTGCTTTTGTGGAACATCCTGCAGCACATTTTATTATTTTGTAGAGCCTCAACCACTTTGACATAGTTTGTGGCAGCCACAAAACAAAGTTTCTGGAGTATAACAACTACTTTCAAAGTAAGCACTGCACAATTAAACAGGAAAGAACACTTTCAAAGCAGGAACAGAAAAAAATCAAATTTTGTTACATAGTGTAATTTAGGAGTAACTTAGTTACTGGTAGTGTTATTACAACTGTATATCAGAACTCCCTGCCAATATTCCACAAAAATATCTACATCTCTCCAGAAGACCTAGATTTTCTCCCCCCCCCCCCCCCGTGCTTTAGAGGTTGTCATTTCATTTTGGATAGATTAGTGTTTTGACTAAAATTCAAATAAGAAGTCAACATAAACCAGAAGGTCTTATAATTAAGCACATTTTGTTACATATAATATAACAAATAAAATAACATTAATAGAGCAAGTTGATATTGAAACCCAGGCAATGGTGCAAAGAGGTCTGGTGAGGCAAGAGACAATGGAATAAATTACCAAGCATTTCAAATTATATATGAAAAAAGATGGCAGAAAGGACTCAGTAGGGCCCCTTCCACACAGCCGAATAAAATCCCACATTTTCTGCTTTGAAATGGAATATATGGGTATGTGGATTCAGATAAACCAGTTCAAAGCAGATATTGTGGGATTTTCTGCATTGATAGTCTGAGGGCCCTTCCACACAGCCATATAACCCAGAATATCAAGGCAGAAAACCCCACAATATCTGCTTTGAACTGGGTTATCTGAGTCCTCAGAATATATCTGAGCCATATATTCCAGTTCAAAGCAGAAAATGTGGGATTTTATTCAGCTTTGTTGAAGGGGTCAGGGTTATATGGCTGTGTGGAAGGGCCCTTAGGCTGAATCTGCACTGCCATGTAGTCCAGTATAATCCAGTTCAAAGCAGACAATCTGGATTCAGAAACTAGATGACATGGAAATGTAGATGAGAACTAGATATATAAATGAGGAACTAAGCTTTAATTTTTCAACCCCCTGTCCTGTTCTTTCCACAAGTGATGGTTGAAAACAGGAGATTACTTGTGAGCCACCTTGCATTGCTGCTTACAACTAGATGCAAAAGCAATGCCAGAGGAAAGTGGGAGACAATTTCAGTAAGTATTTGAAATATTTTGCTAAGGCTCACCTGAAAATTGTAGCTAACCCCTATTTCCAGTGAGTGGACACATTCTTTTATATTTCCTTGAGACAGGTGAATTTGGGCCATAAGAAGGTTAGCATCTGTTGATGTTGGATCCAGCTCCAAACAACGCTGCAGGGTGCCTTGGGCAGTTTCTAATTCTCCTGCAAAATAGCCCAACATTCTTGCTCTAGTCATTCTTTTCCTTACAAATAATGTTATGCAACAATTATTAAAGGCTAGTGCAGACCTTCCTCCAGTTAGTGTCCCAGTTTGGGTATATTGGCTTTGTTACAGTCAAGACAGAAGTAACCTTTTCTGAGCAGTGGGATAAATGGGAAATATTCACACTGTTTTCATTAAAAGGTATCTTTTTTTTTTTTCAGGGTCATATTTAAAATCTGGCCTAACACATTTATAGTATTTTCAGTTTGAACTGAAGAAAGGTGAGCTGCATATTTTTACTAAAGAAAGGTGAGCTACATATATTTACTAAAGCATGCTGTACTTTTTTGCTGCTGTACTTTCATATTATGCCAATTGAAATTCAGGGCACAGACCAGGAATCAGCTGCAAATGCTCTGAAATACATATTTTGGTCTCATTATGTTTTTGGAGAGGTTTGAGGTGAATACATTCACTTCAGTAAGAAGACATATGGCTGTATAATGCAACTTAACTGTGCATAAGATAAACATTCATTTTTAATGTGATTTTGCTCCTTGGCAGTTACCTTAATAAAAATACAAAAAACAGCTCAAACCCTCCCCTTTGAGTTTGTCAAGATTTTTTAAAGAACTAAATAATCCAGGTGTCTTTCTGTTCTTTGAATAGGCAATCAGACATGAGCTTACCTGATAAATATTTAACCTGTGCCATTAGAAAAAGGGGCTCTATCATTCCAGGAGCTGCTTTCACAATTGGGTTCAAAATAATAGTTGCTTGTTTAAGAAGAGAGGATAAAACTTGACCAGGCAACCGTGGCTATTAAAAAAAAGAAAGAAATGAAATTATGTATTTCCAGAAATACATATCTATTGTAGTATATAGTTCCCAACAATAACCATATTGCTGTTTATGAGTGTCAGTCTGGTTAGTCATTACGCATACAAGAACTTATAAAAATATTCATGTTAATATTACACATTATTTTATTATATTGATTGCAGAAAAGGGAATGAAGAAATATACTGTCGTACTCCAGAACAGATTCCTCTCTGACTTTAAACACCACAACAGCTGGGTAAAATCAGCAAGCAGTTTATTTAAGAATATAAAAAGACAAAGCAGTAAAAAGTAATCAACAGTAAAAAGTAATCCAATTGATATAAAGGTAGACAGGAACAAAGAGTCCAAAGAAAGCCATGAAACTAGGCACTTGAATCCATGAACAGAACAGAAGCATATTCCATATAATAAGCATGAGCTAGGGCAGACCTTGGTGCTGGAAACTTGGCATTAATCTGATGTTGCTTCAACTGAAGCAATGTCTCTCACAAATCACTTATAAACCCTTCCCTAATTCCCAAACAGCTAGGAACAGATTCTTTCTTAATTTCGGTTTCATATCCAACTTCCGTTGGAATCTAGCCGAGCGTCTTAATTGCTGTACGGACTGTCTCTGTTTACTGAAACATCTTTTCCTGTTCAAGGTCTCACTTCCCTCATTCACTCCTGCACCTGGGACCTCGAAATCAACTTCGTTCTCAGATAACTGATCAGAAATCCTTTCCCAAGCTCGAAGCCTTGAGAATCCTCTTGCAGCAACTCAGGCCTCTGTGACCTGTCTTTTAAACTCCATTCAGGCCCTTGCAGCAGCTCCGGACTCTCTGGTCTCTCACCCCCAGACCATGGCCCAGAAGCCAAATCAATATCCCGATTCCCTTCAGAAACATCAGCATGAACGTTATCCCCATTCCCATCATGAAAATCAAAATGATCATCAGACACAATCACAGGTTGAACAGGCTGCCATACAATATATACAGTGATTCTTGGGATCAGTTTGATAACTACCCAAAAAAGACATAGAATGGCATCCTACATCAACCACTAGCTGTCTCTTTTCACCAGCAAAAGCCCCAGGTGAAAAGGTTCTCCGGAGATCCTACATCAACCACTAGTTGTCTCTTTTCACACCAAGCCCCAGTGCCCAGGAAATTGAGGAACATGAAACAGGATTTCCCACCTGTTTCGGACAGAAGACCAAATACTCCTTCACTATTTCAATCAAAAACATAGGGTTGAGTTTTTCATAGTATTCAATGCTCAACGGAAGACCATGCAAAGCAGAAAAATGAAGTTCAGCAGCTTCATTGAGAAAGGCACTGGCGGTCTGTTCATTCTTGTTTTTTCTTGAAGCTATCACAGCCTGAAGATAAGCTAGGGTCTGTGAGACAGAGAATATTAAATTTTACTGGGTATATTATTTTTCCATGGCAAGATCTTTGAGACTGTTACCTCTCAGATATGCTGGCCTGAGCTGGAGAGGACCTACCCCCCCCCCCCCCGGCTTTCCCCAGCCAGGTTCATTATCTCATGATCTCCTAGTTGCTGCCCCTTCTCAGATTTTCAGAGAAAATAGGTAAAGCAGCAACACTGGCTATCATTTGAAGGAACATCTGAAAACTGTGTTAAGTAAACGTTACCACAGTCTGAGGATGCCAACATGCAAGGGGTCATCTATCATCAATTCGTAACCTACAGTAAGTGGATAATCAAAGAAAATAAGTGCAATCTAACTGAAGATTTTCCAATGGATTGCTGAACTTCCTTTAGGAATTCCAGTTGTTGTTCTGCTTCCTCTAATTTCCCTCCGAGCACCTGGCACCATATAAGTCCTGTAAAACAATAAAGCCAATTCAGAAGTAAATATTTTTCATAAACCACAAACTTTGAATTGTAAATCAGAAGTCATATGTTTGGTAGCAAGACAACATATATTGGAATAGGTAAAGGTAAAGGTTGACATTAAGTCCAGTTGAGTCCGACTCTGGAAGGTGGTGCTCATCTCCATTTCTAAGCCAAAGAGCTGGCATTATTCATAGACATCTCCAAGGTCATGTGGCCAGCATGACTGCATGGAGAGCCATTATCTTCCCAATGAAGTGGTGCCTATTGATCTACTTACATTTACATGCTTTCGAACTGCTAGATTGGCAGAAGCTGGGGATAGCAATGGGAGCTCACCCCATCCCATGGATTCGAACTGCCAACCTTCTGGTCAGCAAGTTCTACAGCTTAGCTGTTTAACCTGCTGCACCACCGCGGCTCCTCATATTGGTATAGGATCATGTATTAGAACAGCAAAGTAACTCTTGTTTAGCTTCATTCAATGCTATTTTAACTGTAATGCAGTTCCTTACAACTGTACTTGCAATTTGACAATTTCAGAATTTCCAGAGTAATAATCCACTTGTTATCTAACCTATTTGGAAGATATGTGTACCTTCTTCTCCATGATGTAAAGAAGATCCACACCTTAAGGCATTTCTCCTATATGGGAAACCTAGAAACACCTTGAGGATGGAATACAGGAAAGCTGAAGGCAAAAACTTATTTCGGCTAATAAATCCCTAAGAGCCTACCTGTCAGTGACTCAATAGTATTTTCATCCAGTTCTGTGGCTTTTCTATACCACACAGAAGCTTCCTTCCAGTTCCCCTGAAGGATCAGCTGATATCCTAACTCATTTGCAAAACGAGCATCAGAAGACAGCAGGTTGATGCCTGTTTTTCTAATGAACTCATATACCTCCTGTAGGATATCTTGATTTTTCCCAGACTAAAAGTTAAGGAGGGAGGAATAAGACATGCATATGAGACACAAGGATGGCATTGTTAAAACATTATGTTCAATTTCTCCAGTTTCATGGAGTACCACATACACTGTTATACATAAGCATGGTGTAAATGGTTGTAGGGGTAGGATATAGGGAAAAGGGATGCAAAAACTGACAACTCTATTAACACTAGCCATCAGCTTTTAGATTAGTGAGCATAGTTTGCATAATTATGTTCCTTATTCCTCTGTAAATTGATGACTAGCATCATCAATTTTGCACCCCATTTTATTATATCCCATTTGGAAATAAGGGAGGCAGTTAATTCATTCTAAGCATGTCTAAACAAAAACCCAATTCTGCTAAATTGTTTATTATTGTATTAAAACGATGAGTTATGCTTTCCAGATGCGTTTGCTTTATTATACTGACACCATAGTGCCTCGTTCCATTTTGCAATCTTTAAAGACTGTAATGAAAACCAGGCAGTATGCAATGTGCCAAGAAAGTCTTGTCCCTGTTTCAACCTTTGGTGACAGATTGAAATTTGTGAAAGCCATTTCCTACTCATGTCTTATAATCTCTTTCATGCATTACAGTGAATGTCAGATGTGTTACAGAATGTTCATTATAAACTGGATCCATGCATTTGGTGATATATATCATAATCTCAACAATGATTATTTGCTGTTAAAAAATAAACACAACTAATTTATAAAATAATACCATAAATAAGGTCTTCCTCATTATTAATTCACTTATATCCCACCTTTCTCTCAAAACTTATATTCTAGGCATCTTACAAAAAGTAAAACAATGTAGAGTTATAAATAAATACATATAAAAAGTTATTGTTAAACTGATCTCCCCCATATCAAATCCATAAGACTTTATCAGAAGTAGGGAAAGGGAACAGAATTATTTCAAAAAATACCTTTGACAATGAATTGTTACTAAGGAATTTGAAAATTATCAGTACGAATTTGTCCTTACCAGTCTGCTGATCACTAACATTTTTTGAAGGTGAAGTTCTGGTCTTTGGGGCTCTTTCATCTCGAGAGCACCAATGAATTCTCTAAGGGTATCCAATGCCTACATTAAGTAGATCAATATTATTTCACATCAGGAACACAACCATTTTTGAATGGTTTAACATGACTCAGTAAAAAGGACAAAGACTGTTATCTAATCACACATATGAAAGTCTTTCTTCAAGTGATTTAAAAACTCAATTTTAGAATGAAATTTGAGATACAATAGCAACAAAGTTTGGAAATTCTCCAAACCCTGGGGTATATGTGCATCTCTTTAAAAAGTAGATTTCTAAAAGTATCAGCTCAATGCTAAGCACTGCAAAAATATAGCACACATTACCAATTACAATGATCACAATTATTTTGAAAAGCCCACAACACTGATCTGGCAGCATAAATACCAAGAAATACATTAGCACTCACCATTGTTTGATTCCCAGTCATAGTGAGGTGGTTTACAACCAGGTACTGAAGTCCATCTATATCATTAGGTTCCTTTCTTAGGATTCTTAAACAATATTTGGAAATATTAGAAAGCAAAGTGAGGGACAGCATATGCTGACTATACAGCAACATTGCAATAAAATATGAGCATTCATAAAATGTTTGGAGTTATTTTTTTTAAGTTTTTTTAAGTGCAGAGAGTAGAACAACTTATTTTAAGAATCATTCGATTTTCTTTCAACAGATTTTTTTAAAGACTTCTGAAGAAATAATGTGTCAGGATCTAGCTAAGAATGTTGGAGTTAGCAGGGGGTGCCTGGCTCAACAGCAGCACATGTGAAAAAAATCTTGGAGTGCTCATGGCCAACAAGTTAAACAGGAGCCAACAATGTGATGCGGTGGCTAAAAAAGCCTATAGGAAGTCATGCTACACCTCTATTCTGCCTTGTTCAGACCACACCTGGAATACTGTGTCCAGTTCTGGGCACCACAATTTAAGGGAAATATTAACAAGCTGGAATGTGTCCAAAGGGGGGTGACTCAAAGGCTCAAGGATCTGGAGAACAAGCAGCTTCAAGAGCTGGGCATGTTTAGCCTGAAGAAGAGAAGGCTGAGAGGAGATATGATGAGAGCCATATATAAATATGTGCCCTGGAGACTAGGACGTGAAACTACAGGAAAGGAGATTTCACCTAAACATTAGGAATAACTTCCTGACTGTGAGAGCTGTTCAGCAGTGAAACTCTCTGCCCCGAGTGTGGTGGAAGCTCCTTCTTTGGAAGCTGGGTGGAAATCTGACAGGGGTGCTTTGAATGTGATGTTTTTGCTTCTTGGCAGGGGGTTGGACTGGATGGCCCACGAGGTCTCTTCCAACTCCATGATTCTATGATTTTATGATTGTAGAGGGCACAGCAGGGCATATGTTCTCTAACTGCATGCAGGAAGAGGGTAGCAGCCATTGGTCTTTATGTTGCCAGTTGTTAAGAAGTACTGTACCATTACTTTCATACAAATACACCATAAAGGTAAGGAGCCCCCGGTGGCGCAGTGGGTTAAACCCCTGTGCCGGCAGGACTGAAGGCCAACAGGTCGCAGGTTCAAATCCGGGGAGAAGCGGATGAGCTCCCTCTATCAGCTCCAGCTCATGCGGGGACATGAGAGAAGCCTCCCACAAGGATGATAAAAACATCAAATCATCTGGGCGTCCCCTGGGCAACATCCTTGCAGACGGCCAATTCTCTCACACCAGAAGCAACTTGCAGTTTCTCAAGTTGCTCCTGACACGAAAAAAAAAAAACAAAACCATAAAGGTAGACCACACTGTTTGCAAATTAAATGACATTTCCTCATTTCTTTCATTGTCTAAGCCATCTCCTACCTTTTACTTTCTTCTACACTTTGCTCCCAGTCTTGCAGTGCTAAATGTAGCTTCATCTTGGTGACAAGGGCTGGAGTGAAGGAAGGGATGGTAACTACCAACTGGCTAACTATTTCCAGAGCCCCTGAGTAATTCTGCTGCACCATAAAATATTTTGCCTATCAAGAAAAAGGAAAGAGATTGAAAGCAAAAGGCACCCAAGTAACACTCTGCCACTCTGCCACAGATGTGGATCGGAACACAACGATGAGAGACAACAGCTGTCTTTTCTGTACAGTTCCTATAGGTTACAGAATTTAATTACTGTGGGAAATGTGCTTCAAAGCATGGGGTAAACTCAAATCCTGATACAGTATTAGCATTGTTCCTAATGAAATTTAGGTACTGTTGTATTATCTGGGCAGAAGCCAAGAGTTGGAATGTAATGTTATTGTTTTAATGACTAAATCATTTAAAATGTGTTTGACCCAGATCTACTACCAATGCAGCTCAGTGCAGATTTATTTACATGTCCCATTAAGTTCAGTAAGATTTATTCTCATGTAAGTCTACGTGAGACTGCAACCTAAATTTGGTTTTGTAAATAAGGAAGTTAAGTGCACATATATCTAATGATTTCAGTAGGTGTTGGTGGCCAAATTCTGCATAGGATCAGATTTTAGGCTATTTGGGTTCTAACAGCCCAAAGTACTTGAACACCCTGCCTCCAAAATAAAGAAAATGGAAGCAATAAAGAAAATTGAAATAAATACAGTACTCTACCTTTCCCATCATCCCAAATATATCTGAACTGTCTGGGTTCCCTTCATCAAGATACTTGATAGACTTCTTAACTGCATGTGGTTTATCAGATGTAACATATACCCATCCTTTCAAAACAAGTCCCTGAAAGAGTTTAGAAAAAAATCAGATTGTAATCCATAATTTTTAAAAACATCCTCTTTGTAATGTTATATCTAAGATACCAAACTGAAATTCCTTCATAAAATGGTGCAATAGTAATCTATTCCCAATTATTTCTATAACTATCGTAGAGTCCCACCATGACCCCCATGGATTTTCGTTAATTTTTAAATTTCAGTTTTAGCACTAGATTACAAAGCTAAAATTATGGAATAAGGGAAGATGCAAAAGAATGCAGCATTGCCCTAGCCTTGAATTGTTCTTTCTGGTACCATTATTTTCTTGTTGGACCTGTTAATCTGGTGGCTCATTCAGGCAAACCAAATATTTTGTTTTAGTGGCGGGTTTATGAAATGTGATTACCACCACTTTCCCTCCAAAAGAACTCAGGCAGGCAATTTGCCTAGAAATAACATCTATTTCTTCCTGACAGTTCTTTTTTCTTGAAAACCATTATTTAAAAACAAACAAACAAACATTATCTTCCACTTTCAGTTCAATTAGGAAGAATCAGAGGTAAAACTTTTATGTTAGATGTTCCTATGATGGGATGGTAAAACTCACTCCTTCTCTATTACCATATATTCATGTACAAGTCAACATCAACTATAAGTCAAGGGAAGGTTTGGGGACCAAAATTATGGATTTTTAAGTGACCCATGGATAAGTCAAGGGTCATTCTAAGAAGAGGAGAAAGCATCAATGTTGCATTAGGGGGGCAGCCCCCCTGACATCCACTGTCATTTATTTCTCCATCCAGATATTCAGAAAGGACAAAGTCCCATGAGAACATGACAAAATCCCAAGACCATGGACACAGGAAAATGAGCACAAGCTGCTTGGTTGAGTAAGAAGTTGCTCTGACAAAGGTTTGTTTTTAACACACTGCTTAATACCATTTGCAATACATGAAAGCATTTCTTTGGCCTCTGACCTCCTTCTTGTTGGTTATTCTCACACTCTTTCGAACTCTGAATTCCAAACGATCAGCCCGATCTAAGATTCCCATTTCATCAAGGTCAGGCTGCTCGTTAGTGTCAGCCTGGTTGCCTTCCTGCCTACGATCAGGCTGAGAACTGTCCTCCTTTTCTGAGTCAATTTGCACCTGGCTAGTTTCAGTATTAAAAACATCATTCCCTGCTGTGGGAAACTGAACTTGCACACCCTGTTCCTCATTGTCTACAACAAGAACATTTTGAACCTGATTGTGAACCTGAATCCCATCATCTTCGTCAGAGTCAATCAGAGACCCCATCTGAGTCACAACACTATCAGTATGTGTCTGTGGTTCCAGCTGAGTCACAAAAGACTGAGGGAGATCCATCTCGCCAAATTAAACTTTACAAAGAACTTCAGAGGACGGAAAACACATTAAAAACACATTTTGAAGTTGAGATAACAGGGACAGCCTGACCTATTCATCCTACCTCTCTTGCACCATTGGATATTTTCAGCATTTTGTCAACATACTCCTTTGCTTTATCATTTTTATTCATAAGCCACAGAAACATTCCAGCATAATACAATGCATTGCTTCCAGCAGTCTTCCGGATTTCCTTTAATTTAGTTTCTAAATCCAAAACAGCAGAGGAATCTGAAAAGTAAATACAACAGGTTATAGTATGTGTTTCCTTTATATTCCACTTATTTAAATTTTTTGTGTTACAAGCGGTACAACAAGAAATTTCCTTCAGCTTCTTTGGGTTGGAGTAATTTATACTGAAGCATCTGGTCAATGATTTACTATAATAATGATAACTGATACAACTCTCCTAGTCAAGTTTTAATTTAACAGATTTTAACACCGTTCTTGCCTCTCATTTCATGTTATTCCTAATGACTGGAACAAAATATATTGAATTATCTGGACAAACTCACCAACTTTTTCACATCGTTTGTGTGCATAAATGAGACCAAGGAGGCAGCATAAAGAGACATCTGCATGGCGTTTCCGGGCGTTCTCAAGGAGCGAAATGCCTTCTTGGATTCGTCCTGCAAGGATATTGCATAAACATACATGAGGCTTTGGCAAGAGAAAGCCAGAGCTTAATTTTAAGCAGTGCAATCCTATGCATATATATTCAGAAAACATGAATCCAATTGTAGTTTCTTTTGAGTGCAAGCAAATTATTGTAGTTCAGTTTAACCATACTGTAATAATGTGCCACTGAGATATCATGACAGGTTTTCTCACTTTCTGCTCCATATGTCAGTTTGCAGATCCAAAAATCACATCATGTTAAGGACAATTTTCTGAAGCTTTTTACGCCCTCCAGGTGTTTTGGACTTCAACACCCACAATTCCTAACAGCCGAAGTTGAAGTCCAAAACACCTGGAAGTCTCAAGTTGGCCAATGCCTAAGGTAGAGATATGGGCAACATTTTAGAGGTTTTGCCATAAAAGGAACAGGAAAAGGTGGGTAAATTTATAGCATTTTCCTTGAACCATTTACCAAGGAGCAAGGTTCCAAATCCTTTGAAGAATAGCAGCACCGCATCGTGAAGATGTTTTGACAGTTCAACGTTTGTCACATGAACGACGTGGTTGAAGTATTTTTCCTGAGCATAGTATAAAATACGAGCCTAGAGAGAAAATGATAAATTACTGGGAATTCATCTTTATTCAACTCATTTATTTATTGTCCACAAACAGGCCAAAATTGGCAAGAAAGCCATCTTTTTGTACATTTCAGAACTAGTTACCAATATTTGGGAGTAAGCCTTACTGACCTCTATGGGTCAGACTTCTAAGGCTCCATCCAATTCAATGCAGTTAATCTACATTTTGAAACTGCATTATGTGGCAGTATAGATGGGGTCCTATCTATATTGCCATATATTCCAGCTTGAATTGCATTATAATGTTCAATTTAGGTCTCTTCCAGACAGACCTTATATCCCAGGATCTGACCCCAGGTATTCTGCTTTAAACTGGATTATATGAATCCACACTGCCAGATAATCTGGGATAAACAGAAAACTTGGGATGAGATCCTGGGATATAGGGCCTGTCTGTAAGGGCCCTAAGACTCATATAATGCAGACTGAACTTGACTGAACTGGATTATAGGAGTCTACACTAGACATCGAGATGCAGAGCCAATCTTAAGAAATGGGGCTACGAAGTGGAATCCACGACATGCGAGTGTGGAGAAGAGCAAACCACAGACCACCTGCTGCAATGCAACCTGAGCCCTGCCACATGCACAATGGAGGACCTTCTTGCAGCAACACCAGAGGCACTCCAAGTGGCCAGATACTGGTCAAAGGACATTTAAACAACTACCAAACTCGCAAATTTTGTATTTTGTCTGTTTGTTTGTTTGTTTGGTTCTGTTAGAAATGTAATACAATTGACTGGTTGCCCTGACATGACAAATAAATACACTAGACATAGGCAAACTTTGGCCAGTATGCTGTTAGGAATTGTGGGAGTTAAAGTCCAAAACACCTGGAGGGCCAAAGTTTGCCCAGGCCTGATCCAATCGATTACAAAAATTGCTTTGCAATTTTAATAATAATAATTTCTGGCCACAGGGGGAGTTGCTGCATCATCGTCCACTTGGGACACCAAGACCTTTGATGGAATACTTCCTCATTCTTCTGCATGCTGCTGGAAGGCTTTATGGTGTAAATCAGTTAAATTAGCCTCCCCGCATAAAGCGGTACCTAAAATTCTTACTTGACAGATGCAAGTCTCTTTCGGACTGCACAGGTCAACAGCAAGCTAGACTATTAATGGTCAGGAGCTTACTCTGACCCAGGCTGGCTTCGAACTCATGACCTCTCAGTCAGTAGTGATTTAATGCAGCTGGCTACTAACTAGCTACTCCACAACCCGGTCCTAAACCTTATACCCTGATCGGCCTCGCAACTGACCAGGACCTCTGTCTTGTCTGGATTAATCCTAAACATGTTGGCTGGCCTTCATCCAAACAGTCACAGCTGTCAGGCACTGGCTTAGGATCTGAGAAGCTTCCTTGGAATTAGATGGAAAAGAGTAGAAGAGTTGTGTGTCATCTACGTAGAGATGGCACCCAACTCCAAAACTCCAAAAAATGTATTGAAAGTGAAGGGGCATGTATTATTTCTTCCGTTTCTTATAGTGGTTGCTTGGATTCTGGTTAACTGAGAGCCTATTGTACAGTATTGACTTTAAGGATACACACATATTTTTAATATTTGGTCTGATATACATATATGAATGACACTGTTTTATTGATGAGGGGAAATGTATAAATATTATCTTTGTAACAGGTGTATGTTGCTTGATTTTGCCATTGTATCCAGGGAGGCCTGCTGTTGGGGTTCAGCCTGATCCTGATCTGTGTGAACTGGATTCTCTGACAGTTTTTCCAACTAAGCAAGCTCTCCCTGACCCTGACAGTGTGGAATCTGTTGTTGATGCAGAGGTCAGCAGCAATGAAAACGAAACTCAACAACTGGAGGAAAATGTTTTGGAAGTTAGCCGTGATATCACTAGCCGTGATATCTCTCCACCTGGGGTTTTTAATGAGGACCGAAGAGAACAGATAGTTAGAGACAGAAATGTTTCCCAGTTTCTACGAAGGTCACATCGATTACAGGAGAAACAGGCCCAGACATCAAAGTCAAGGGGCGTTTCAAAGAATAGCTTCTTTGGTTTAAGAGGCCTCCTGCCGGGTGCCTCTTTAGATCAAGCAACGTTTGGGACTGTGGCTGTGCCTTGGCAGAATTCCTGTGTTTCATGGCCGGTAATCCCAGAGGCTTAGTTATCAAGTTCATGGTTAGTAAAAGGCTAACAGATTCCTGGTTCTTGTATTGTGGCTTTTGAAATTTTGCTCAAGTTCAGAGATTCTACTGACTGCTGTGTTTTTCTGTGGCTTTTTGACTTTGCATTTACCTTTCTTTTGTAACCAATTTTTCATCAATAAACAAGGATTGCTTTTCCTACAGTCCAGTGTGGTGGATTTAATCTTATGGTCTCGTTTCTTGAACTGGGATGCAACACCTACTGAGCTTGAGGCATGGCTGGCTTCATAGAAAGATAATTTTATCGTATTGTCAAAGGCTTTCATGGCTAGAATCACTGGGTTGTTGCAGGTTTTTCAGGCTGTATGGCCAGGTTCCAGAAGCATTCTCTCCTGACGTTTTGCCCACATCTATGACAGACATCCTCAGAGGTTGTGAGGCCTCTTGAAAACTAGGAAAATTGGGTTTATATGTCTGTGTAAGGTCCAGGGTGGGAGAAAGAACAAACAAATAAGAACAGGGCTTGGTGAACACTAGGGCAGGGGTCCTCAAACCTTTTACACAGAGGGCCAGGTCACAGTCCCTCACACTGTTGGAGGGCCGGATTATAATTTGAAAAAAAAAACCATGAATTCCCATGCACACTGCACATATCTTATTTATAATGCAAAATACCCCCACTTAAAAACAATACAATAATTAAAATGAAGAACAATTTTAACAAATATAAATGTATTAGTATTTCAATGGAAAGTGTGGGTCTGCTTTTGGCTGATGAGATAGAATTGTTGTTGTTGTGTGCTTTCAAGTCGTTTCAGACTTAGGTTGACCCTGAGCGAGGGCCGGGCGACTCAGAGCGGTTCACAATAGCAAAATTCAATGCTTAAAACATCATAAAACAGTAAATTACCTTGGAGGGCCGTATCTGGCCCACGGGCCTTAGTTTGAGGACCCCTGTTCTAGAACATGGCCATACAGCCTGAAAAACCTACAACAAACCGATAACTTTGTCCTTCAGCCAAAACAAATGAGTATGTAAACAAATAAGAAGAGGGCTTGGTGAACAGATAGGGGCCACAGGCTGGTTTCTCCTTCTTTATACATAGACGTTGCTGTGGCCCAGTCTGTTGATCTGGAAAATAAAGTAATGAGAAAGTGTTGGTTTCTAATATATGTAATTTCTTTATGCTCGTGGGTAAACGGTATTTCTTGCTGTTTCTTTGTCAGTGTTGATGTGGAGAGTGTCTGGTTTGCCCACCCTGGAACATGTAACATATCATTGTCCTTCTTTAGGGGTCCCTTTCAAATCTATGATACTATATCTCTCTGTGTGTGAATCATATCTATCTATATCTATGGCTGAATGGCTCTCTGTCAGGAGGGCTTTGGTTACGTTTCCTTGCCCTGGTGAAGGGAGTTGGATTGGATGGCTTTAAGTATTTTCTGTTGGTCATGGGGGTTCTGTGTGGGAAGTTTGCCCCAATTCTGTCGTTGGTGGTATTCAGTATGCTCTGATTGTAGGTGAACTATAAATCCCAGTAACTACATCTCGCAAATGTCAAGGTCTATTTCCCCCAAACTCCATCTGTGTTCATATTTGGGCGTACTGAGTGCTTGTGCCAAGTTTCGTCCAGATCCATCATTGTTTGAGTCCACAGTGCTCTCTGGATGTAGGTGTAAGCTGGAATGTGTCCAGAGGAGGGCGACTCAAATGATCAAGGGTCTGGAGAACAAGCCCTATGAGGAGTGGCTTAAGGAGGTGAGCATGTTTAACCTGAAGAAGAGAAGGCTGAGAGGAGCCATGATAGCCATGTATAAATATGAGAGGAAGTCACAGGGAGGAGGGAGCAAGCTTGTTTTCTGCTTCCCTGGAGACTAGGACGTGGAACAATGGCTTCAAACTACAAGAGAGGAGATTCCATCTGAACATGAGGAAGAACTTCCTGACTGTGAGAGCCGTTCAGCAGTGGAACTCTCTGCCCCAGAGTGTGGTGGAGGCTCCTTCTTTGGAAGCTTTTAAACAGAGGCTGGATGGCCATCTGTCAGGGGTGATTTGAATTCCTGCTTCTTGGCAGAATGGGGTTGGACTGGATGGCCCATGAGGTCTCTTCCAACTCTTTGATTCTATGATTCCATGACAGTGCTCTCTGGATGTAGGTGAACTACAACTCCCAAACTCAAGGCCAATGCCCACCGAACACTTCCAGTATTTTCTGTTGGTCATGGGAGTTCTGTGTGCCAAGTTTGGTTCAATTCCATCATTGGTGGAGTTCAGAATGCTCTTTGAATGTAGGTGAACTATAAATCCCAGCAACTACTACTCCCAAATATCAAGGTCTATTTTCCCCAAACTCCACCAGTGTTTACATTTGGTCATATTGAGTATCCATGCCAAGTTTGGTCCAGATCCATCATGGTTTGAGTCCACAGTGCTCTCTGGATGTAGTGGAACTACACCTCCCAAACTCAAGGTCAATGCCCCTAAACCCTTCCAATATTTTCTGTTGGTCAGGTGAATTCTGTGTGCCAAGTTTGGTTCAATTCCATCTTTGGTGGAGTTCAGAATGCTCTTTGATTGTAGGTGAACTATAAATCCCACCAACTACAACTCCCAAATGACAAAATCATAATTTTTTTGAGTGATGGTCACTCCTTGTGTGGTGAGGCGTTTTGTTGCCAAATTAGGTGTGATTTCTTTCATTGGTTCTTTTGTTTTTAAGGTACTCATTATGCATTGAAATACAAGGAGACTGGAGTACCAAAACCTGAGGGTCCCCATCAGTCATGTTCAAACTGAAGAGACAGTTTGAACACCAACGGTCAAACTGCCAAATTGACGCATGCGCAGTATTACCAATAACCCCGCCCCTTTTTAAAACGAGCACTCCGAACGGCCAATGGTTGCCCGGCGTGCGTGGTTACCGCAGGCCCCGCCCCTTTCCCCCTCGCCCCGTTGCTAAGGCGCCTTCGCCCTCGTCATTCCCGCTCCAGCATCTGGAGGAAGGAGGACGCGTCTCTCGCTCGCTCCTCTATCCAATGCTTGAGGGGGCGGGGCATCTCCTTCGACCAATCAAGTGCCAACGCGTCATCCCTCGGAAGCCCACGCCCCCTTTTTTCCCTTGTGTTGTCTCTGCGCGCGCCTGCGCAGTCGGGGCTGCAGCGTTGGAACTTGGCAAGAGGGAGGATGGAGTGGAGCAGCTGAAGCAGCCAGTGAAGCAGAGCTATGGGGCTGGGCGCCAGCTCTGAGAGTCCCGAGGGGGGCTCTGAGGGCTACCATGTGCACGGGGTAAGAGACACGGCCTTAGGGCAAGCTTGGGCCCTCCAGGTGTTTTGGACTACAACTCCCACAATTCCTAATAGGCTGTTAGGAATTGTGGGAGTTGTAGTCCAAAACACCTGGAGGGCCCAAGTTTGTCCATGCCTGATATATATGAATGAAAAATTATAATATTGTATGAGGGTTCAATGAAAAGTAATGCCTCCACCTTCGTAACTCCTCAACAGATGGCAGTACTGGTATGTGGCAGGTACTGGCTTGTTCAGTAGACTCTCCTCTACAGTTCCATTTTGGCGGGAAGCCTTAGCATTGAATGGTAACAGACGGTAGGCTGTTAGGAATTGTGGGAGTTGTAGTCCAAAACACCTGGAGGGCCCAAGTTTGCTCAAGCCAGGTGTATTGTTATATATGTGTGCTTGTTTAAACATAGGTATATGTTTATATAGGGTTGACTGAAAAGTAATGCCTCCACCTTCGTACCTCCTCAACAGATGGCAGTACTGGTATGCAGCAGGGACTGGCTTGTTCAGTAGACTCTCCTCTACAGTTCCATTTTGGCGGGAAGCCTTAGCATTGAATGGTAACAGACGGTAGGCTGTTAGGAATTGTGGGAGTTGTAGTCCAAAACACTCGGAGGGCCCAAGTTTGCCCAAGCCTGGTGTATAATTATATACGTGTGTATGTTTATATGTAGGTATATGTTTATATGGGAAGTCAGATCTGGCCACGGTAGTCCACGCTCTTGTTACATCCCGATTAGATTACTGCAACACATCTACGTGGGGTTGCCTTTGAAAACTGTTCGGAAACTCCAACTAGTCCAGTGGGAGGCAGCCAGACTGCTCACCGGAGCGTCATACAGGGAGCAAACCACCCCCCTGTTGTGTCAGCTCCACTGGCTGCCGATCCAGTTCCGAGCACAATTCAAAGTGCTGGTTTTGACCTACAAAACCCTATATGGTTCCGGCCCAGTGTATCTGTCCGAACGGATCTCCCTCTACGTCCCACCTCGGAGTCTAAGATCTTCTGGGGAGGCCCTGCTCTCGACCCCGCCTCTATCCACAAGTGAGATTGGCGGGGACAAGGAGGAGGGCCTTCTCGGTGGTGGCCCCCCACCTGTGGAATTCACTCCCCGGGGAAATTAGATCTGCAACGTCACTCCTTTCCTTTAGGAAAAAACTGAAAACATGGATTTGGGACCAGGCATTCGGACAATCGGGCAGATAAAGAAAGGACTTTGACAATGATTAGGAAATTACCAATGGAATAGAACTATGGAACTCTGAAAAACGAAACGCTGAGCATGAGACTAATTTATATATGATATGTTATATACTGATTGTTTTGATTGTGATAATTGTTTTAACTATGGTTTTGTACATTATGTGTCATTTGTATAGGCATCGAATTATGCCTTTTTTTTGTAAGCCGCCCTGAGTCCCCCCTTGGGGGTTGAGAAGGGCAGGGTAAAAGTACCCGAAATAAATAAATAAAATAAATATACGAGGGTTGAATGAAAAGTAATGCCTCCACCTTCGTAACTCCTCAAGAGATGGCAGTTCTGGTATGCGGCAGATACTGGCTTGTTCAGTAGACTCTCTTCTACAGTTCCATTTTGGCAGGAAGCCTTAGCATTGAACGGTTGTGTTGTCAAAGTGCGAAGTATGGAACCCTGTGCAGATGGTCAGTCAATGCGACTTAAGCAACGTGCAGTCATTGAAATCTTGACAGCAGAAGGTGTCGCCCCAAAGGAGCTTCATCTGTTTATGGTGATCGTGTTGATGTGAGTACTGTGCGTTGTTGGGCGAGTAAGTGTAAAGATGTTGAGGTGGGAACATCTGAATTGCATGACAAACAAAGAGTTGGATGTCCTGTGACAGCAACCGCCGAGTTTCACAAGCAAAAGTTTGACAGGTTGATTCAGGACGGTTGTCGTATCACTCAGAGAAAAATTTCAAGCACAATTGGCATTTCACAAGAATGTGTGGGTCACTTTATTGCTTGGCTTGGCTATCGGAAGATCTGTGCACGATGGGTTGCGGAAAGAGTATTGACTTCTTCCATGACAGTTTCAGAAAATTTGTTCATTGTTGGCAGAAATGTATCCAATTGTCTGGTGATTGTGTGGAAAAGTGAATAGTGGTAGTTAAAGAGCATATTCTAAGGATTATGTCTGCATTTGGTTTATTGGGCTGGAGGTTTAGCACAGCTGGTAAATTACCAGCAATTACAAGATCTATCAACCAAAAGGTTGCAAGTTCGAAACCCCTGATTGGCGTGAGCTGCCAACTGTCAGCCCTAGCGCATTGTTTACCTAAGCAATTCATAGAATCATAGAGTTGGAAGAGACCTCATGGGTCATCCAGTCCAACCCCCTGCCAAGAAGCAGGAATATTGCATTTAAAGCACCCCTGACAGATGGCCATACAGACTCTGTTTAAAAGCTTCCAAGTAAGGAGCCTCCACCACACTTCGAAAACAGCTTTAGCTATGATTAGAGAAATTAGGTACCACTAAAAGCGGGGGAAGTGTTTTACGACGCCATAAAGAAAGAAGATCAGAAAATGCTGGGTGACCAAAAGGAAGGAGGAAGTCCTGACTGCTCTTCGTCATAGAGGATAGAGCAACAGCACCCCCTGGACTTGAGCCCAACCTTCCATGGCACCAAAAACAGCTGAAAGAAACCATCTCCTGTTCTGTCTGTCTGTCTGTCTGTGTATTGTCTATACAAAGCGGCATTGAATGTTTGCCGTGTATATGTACTGTGATCTACCCTGAGTCCCCTTCGGGGTGAGAAGGGCGGAATATAAACAAAGTGTTATTATTATTATTATTATTATTAAAATATTCCCATTCAAACCCAAGTAACAAAGGTGGAGGTATTACTTTTCATTCATCCCTCGTATGTATAGGTATGTATATGTATATATGTGTGCATGTATATATTTATATTTGCATATGCAGGCATATTTACTTACTTAGAATCATGAAATAATACGTGGGGTTGCCTTTGAAGACACTTCTGAAGTTCAAGTGGTCCAACGGGCGGGAACCAGGTTATCAACAGGAGCGGCGCTTAGGGAGCACACAACTCCTCTGCTGCGCTAACTCCAATGGCTGTCAGTCTGCTGCCGGGCACAATTCAAAGTGCTAGCTTTAGCCTTTAAAGCCCTAAACGTTCCCGGCCCAGCTTACCTGTCCGAACGTATTTCCCCTTATAAACCATCTAGGACTCTAAGATGGTCCGAGGAGGCCCTGCTCTCAGTCCCGCCTGCATCACAAACACGTTTGGTGGGGACGAGAGACAGGGCCTTCTTAGTGGTGGCCACTCGGCTATGGAACGCCCTTCCTGGGGATATTAGACTGGCCCCCTCACTCTTAACATTTTGGAAAAGAGTCAAGACTTGGTTGTTTGAGCAAGCGTATTGAAAATGCAAGGTAAAACATATAGGAATTGGAATGACTGGACGACAAGATGGGACAGTGTTTTTATTAGGAGATGCAAATGATGTATGCTTTTAGTATTGTTATGGTTTTATATTATGTGTTAATGTTTTTAAATGTTTTATGGTGTTTTGGGCATCAAATTGTTGCCATTGTTGTCCTGAGTCGCCTAAGGGCTGAGAAGGGCGGTATACAAATATAGTAAGTAAGTAAGTAAATAAATAAACCTCTCCAAGAGGCTGAATGGCCATCTGTCGGGGGTGCTTTGAATGCCATTTTCCTGCTTCTTGGCAGCGGGTTGGATTAGATGACCCATGATATCTCTTCCAACTCTATGATTCTCTTTTTCACATGGACTGTTGTCAAGCCAGGAACCACCCATTCTGTATCGCTTAGGCGATCCCTCGTTGTCCAAGTATGATGGCCTGCCAAGTGTTGTGTCTTGCCGATGGGTCTGTAGGTGGCTGTAGAGCTTTATTCTTGACCCACATGTTCTTCTGCAGTGTGGACATCGGTTTCCAGGTGGAAGTTGGTCCCAACAAAGGTTGGCTTGATGCGCCTTCCTCTTGACATGTTTATTCCTTTCTCCCTCCATTCGTTCCTCTTTGAATTCCGCAGCACTGCTGGTCACAGCTGACTTCCAGTTAGAGCGCTCAAGGGCCAGGGCTTCCCCATTCTTGGTATCTATGCCACAGCTTTTAAGGATAGCTTTAAGCCCATCTTTCAATCTCTTTTCCTGTCCACCAACCTTCCGTTTTCTGTTCTTGAGTTGGGAGTACAGTAACTGCGTTGGGAGACTGTGATCTCTGGGCATTCGGACAACGTGGCATTCAGTCCAGCAGAGTTGATGGCAGAGGAACACTGCTTCAATTCTGGTGGTCTTTGCTTTTTCCAGCATGCTGACATTTGTCCGCCTGTCTTCCCAAAAGATTTTTCTGAGGCAATGCTGATGGAATTGTTTCAGGAATTGAGATTGATGTCTGTAGATGGTCCATGTTTCACAGGTGTATAACAGGATTGGGAGGACAAAAGCTTTGTAAACAAGCACTTTGAGATTCCTATGGATGTCCTGATCCTCAAACACTCTCTGCTTCATTCAGAAAAATGCTGCTCTCGCAGAGCTCAGGAAGTGTTGTATTTCAGTGTCGATGTTGATTTTTGTGGAGAGGTGGCTGCCAAGGTAGCGGAAATTGTCAACATTTTCTGATGTTACATCATTAAGTGTATTTCTGGCTGTGCAGAAGGATTGGCTGGTGACTGTTGAAAGAGCTTTTTGATTTTCTAGATATTCAATGAGAGGCCGAGCTTCTCGTATGCTTCTGCAAAGGTGTATAGAGTGGCTTCTAGATTTTCTTCTGAATGTATGTCTGTAGGTAGGCATTTGTATATATGTGTGCCTATATATGTATTTATATGTATATATGCATAAATATGTATATTTGTGTGTATGTATATCTGTGTACACAGAAATGTAATATGTATCCCCTCTGGTTTTTATTATAAAATCAGATATACTTTCCCTTAGGCATTCAAACAACTATTTTTCTCAGCTCTGTATAAACAGTACACCTAAAATATTTGAGGCCTGCTTTGTCTATGAATGCAGATATAAGATGGAACAGAAGGAAGCACTTCTCACAAGTGATTTATCATCCTTATACTGTCGGATTATTTCAGCTGACACAGCTGTTACCTCTTGGCTATGGGATTTTTATGTCCCAAATCCAACCTATTTTTATATTGTGCTTGACCAGTATAATGAGAGGTCCTCACAAGTATCAGGAGTTTATTATCTCCTTTTGGCAACGATACTCATAATTTATTTTCGTATAAATCATACAGATCTCTCTGTCTCCCCCTTATCTTTTTGCTCTGCTCTCCTTCTGTGTTATATTTTGGAAAGCAATTGTGAATGTAGTGTCCCTGTAATGTGCCTACGTGTGAGACAGGAGTTTGTGATTATATCTTAGAATAGTCTGTCTTGCGCTACTTATTCTCCTGCTTTGTACAGAAGCCATGAACCATGACAGTGGAAATGTTATGAGGCTTTCTTCAAGGTCCAGCGTCCTTTAAGAGGTCCCTCTGATGTCTCTCTGTGTGCTGCTTCTCTGTTTATTTAAAAGACTTTTGAACCCACCTCTAGGAACACAATGCCCTCATAAAGTGGCAGCATGAACACACGGATAAAAATAAAAGTCCAGGTTTTCTGCACATCTTCTCAATACTTGGGTCGGAAGAGATATCTGAGCTCCATTTTGGGCTTCAAAGACTGGATCCAGAATTTCTAGGCTGTTGTCAATGGCCAGCTAATCAGATGCTGTTATCAATCCTGTTTGGCATGTGCTGGTTCTCCACCCTCAAGAATGGTCTTTTTTACCTGTCTTGATGTAATAGTTGCTGTCAGTTGATAATTAGAGGAAGAAGGAATTTAGAGGAAGGAGAAACCTGAAGATGGCGGCCTCTCTGCAGAGCAAATGGTGGCCCAACTCCTTATCTCAGGCATGGGCAGACTTCAGCCCTCCAGCTTTTTCCTAACAGCTGGTAGGGCCAAAGTTTGCCCATGTCTGCCTTAACTATTTCTTTGCAGTCTGATAATTCCATGACAGGGGTGTTGTAGGTTTTTTTTCGGGCTGACGTTTCACCTGCATCTATGGCAAGCATCCTCAGAGGTAGGAAAATGGTTTTATATATCTGTGGAATGACCAGGGTGGGACAAAGAACTCTTGTCTGTTGGAGCTAGGTGTGAATGTTTCAACTGACCACCTTGATTAGCATTTGATGACCTGGCAGTTGTTTTGTGTGGCTTGTTGGTGCCTGGGGCAATCTTTTGTTGAGAGGTGATTAGATGTCCTTGATTGTTTCCTCTCTGTTGTTTTGCTGTTGTAATTTTAGAGTTTTTTTAATACTGTCTAACCCCAGGCACTAACAAGCCACACTAAACAACTACCAGGCCATCAAATGCTAATCAAGGTGGTCAGTTGAAGCATTCACACCTAGCTTCAACAGACAAGAGTGCTTTGTCCCACCCTGGTCATTCCACAGATATATAAACCCATTTTCCTAGTTCCAACAGACCTCACTACCTCTAAGGATGCTTGCCATAGATGCAGGCGAAACGTCAGGAGAGAATGCCTCTAGAACATGGCCATATAGCCCGAAAAAACCTACAACAACCCAGTGATTCCAGCCATGAAAGCCTTCGATGATTCCATGACAGTTGCTGGATGACAGCTGGAAGGGGTGGAAGTCAAATTCCTTTCTGCTTTTTTTTTTTTTTAAAGTCTGGATCCTGAATATTTCAGTCTTTGTTAAGGCTATTTGTACTCTTTGGATTGGAAATGTGGAACTGGAACACTTGTGGAGAACAGGAGGGTGTTTCTGTTGGTCATCAGGGCACCATTGCTGCACCCAGTATGTAAACACAGGCACCTCTTCTTCCTCCCTTCCATCACTCTGTTCTTGTATCATGATGCATGATTATGACTAATTCTAGTACTGTTATCCTTTTTGTTCTGTTAGTAAAGGAAAACATTAAGTGTTTTTGGAATTGGGAATCTTTGTAATAAAGCAAACAATGTAAAATAGGTTCATGGGAGTGGACTTTTCAAAATTACCTGAGTGGCGTTTAGATTGCTTTGGGACACCTCCCAAGCGGGCTTGTTTTAAAACATCTTTGAAATGCCATATCTCATGAAATTATGCTTATATGTGTGTTGCGTATGAATTGACTCTTCAGCTGCCATAGAGCCATAAAGTACTTAGAATATTGTTACTGGCAGAAATGGGGAAATGAGCAGGTATTTTTCTGCCGCAAACATTCCCAATCTGTCATTGTCTATTTGGATTCTTGCATGAGATTCTGATAGCAGAATTGATGAGATAAATGTTTGATATATGCAGGGGCTTTTTCACACTACGCACTTAAAGCATGGACTGTACACAGCCCTAAAATGCAAATCCCAGGATTCCATAGGGCAGAAGCATAGCTATTAAAAACAGATGTTAGTGCTACAGTTGTATGCTGTGAAAGGGACTCACATTAATGACTTAACATTTGGTTTTTCTTAAGCAAAATCTGAAACCTAAGATTTCATTCACATATCATAACTTTCTAGTAAATGTTTTGCATAGATGGGTCTACATTTATTCTGGCATTACTTCCATAAATTCTTTCTGTATGTTTTAGACCTCTTCCAGCCATTTTGAACTGTCTAGAGCAGACATCCTCAAACTGCAGCCCTCCAGCCTTTTGGGCCTTCAACTCCCAGAATTCCTGACAATTGAACAAGCTTGTTAGGGCTTCTGGGAGTTGGAGGCCCAAAATCTGGAGGGCTGCAGTTTGAGGGTGCCTGGTCTAGAGCTTGAGGCTGAGGGGGGAAAAGGAAAGAGCCTGAGGCTGTTAGGAATGGTGGGAGTTGAAGTCCAAAGAACCTGGATGACCCAAGTTTGCCCCTGGCTGCTCTAGAGTCCAAATTTGGCAAAAAGGAGTGACGCTATAGCTGTAAACTAGGGGTGGGCAAATGGTATTTCTCATCTCGGACAGAAGCAGCTCTTCCTGTTGTTGTGACAAGCTTTTGATCACTTTGCTTGTAATCATGTTTGGTATGGACCTTTTCTGTTTTAAGCGAAACTGCGAACTTAATATAAAATATATATGCTTGACAATGGCATTCCTTTTCATTCGGTTCATACATGTGTAAACTGTGCTATTTTTGCAGGTCCAAGACAACTCGCCGGCTCAGCTGGCTGGATTGGAGCCATTCTTTGACTTCATCCTGACAATAGGACACACCAGACTGGTAAGTGACTGGCACACAAGGCCCTCTGAACCCGTGCTTTTGTTTGTTTGCAATGTTCTTGTAAATCAGGGACTGTGCTTGAAAAAAAAAAGTTACTTGTTTTGAACAACATGTCCCAGAGTTCCTCCAGTGAGTATGGTCAGTAGCAGCAGACAAGGACTGTTCCTTATTGATCGCATTTCAGCCTTTCTGGCTGAAGCGTACAACAGCTGACGGACCCTGCAGACTTAATTTTGGATAACATAATGCAAGCTGGAACACATTTTTCTTTCTAACATCAGATGTGGTCTTGCTGGTGTAGCTACATTCCTTTCCCTTTGGCATGTACAGCTAGAAAGAATTACTTTCAGTCATCTGGACCTGTTTCTGCTGCAAACATCCCTACCTCACGAGGGCAGAGAGCAAGCATCATGTGGCAAACTGTGCAAGGAAGGCAAGGAGGGTGTTGACACTGGTTGCTGGGTCACAAAAGCTGCTTCCAGAGCTTGTTCAAATATGACCCTGTCAATAGTTAACTTATTCAAAGGGGCTTGGCTCACATACACTGGACAAGACAAATAGAGTTGGTTTGAATTTAGGAAAGGAAAAAAAAGCTTTGCTGCTATATTGCCTTTTTTAGCCTAATGTGAGCCCATCTTATTTAGAACTGGATTCTCCTTCTTTCAGTGAGACATGAGCTCAGCCCAGCCTATCAGTGTTACAGTACTTTTCATATAACCTACAAGACAAACCATATAATATGAGTATAATAATTGATGGCAGTGTTAGATGTTTGCATATGGAATGCATTCTCTTTTCTGTTCACTTGAGGTGTGTGCTTCTGGTTATTATTGCTAGCATTCTGAGGCATGGAAAAGCACAACAAACATTTGATGGAATCTTTGGGCCACATATGGCCCCTGGTTGTGTTTGTGACCCTAGTTGCCCTTTCTTTCATTATAGTTCTGAAATTCTTTGTCAATAGAGCCCCTGGCTTTGTGAAAGTCTTTTAAGCTACCCCTGTTGGAAGGGAACATTTTCTTGCAACTTTATGTAATTCTAGCATTTTCTTACACCACAGAAAACTGGAGCTCTTGCCTCTGAATTCAATGGCCTTTCAGGGACAATGGAAACTACAGTGGGTTGGGGTACATGCACCATTCTGTTCCTTCATACAGAGAAGTTCTCCATCCATTAATTCAATCAGTAAATTTAAGGTAGTAACCATCACCACCACATCCTGTGATCATAAAGCTCTGGGGAGAGATTTATGCAACCCTCTAGGCATAACTGAACTACAATTTCCAGGAGCCAGTGGTGAGGAGTGTTAAAATTACAATCCACCAACGTCTGGAAAGCTGCGCAGACCCTAGTTATTGATCATAATTTCTCAAAAAGGAACAGAGTTGGAACTGTTTCATTGTGGAGGAAATGTCAGAGCTTGGGCATTAGTTTATTCTGTCAAAGAAAATCACCCTTCTGTCAATGATTTCCTGAATCGGAGAGTCTGTTTACTGAAGTGCCTGAAAACAATGTTCTGGTCTTCTCCCTTCCCTGTGTTTAGAATAAAGAGGGTGACACCCTGAAAGATCTCCTGAAAGCCAATGTGGAGAAGGCTGTGAAACTTGAGATCTACAACATCAAAACAATGAAAGTCCGAGAGGTGGAGGTGACCCCTAGCAACATGTGGGGAGGGCAGGGCCTCCTGGGAGCCAGTGTGAGGTTCTGCAGTTTTCAAGGTGCCAGCGAACATGTTTGGCATGTGCTGGTAAGCAAGAAACGTACTTATTTGAACCACAATTGGGTCATTTGTCTATATATTGAGGTATTGTTTTTTGAGGTGCCCTGGTTTGGGCATATTCAGGTATAAGGAGAAGCCTGGAATTGGGTTTATCATTTAAAAAATACTATTGTACTGGGACCTGCTAGCCTGTCCCTGTTTAGAGCTAGTAGACAATTTAATAAAATATAATATATTATGTCTAGCACACTAACATTTTTAAATTATCTGCCATAAAGCCTTTGAACATGCCAGAACATTTTGTAGTTGTTTTTATGTCACACTTTGGTACCAGCCTTAAGGCTCAATCCAGCTTACACAAAGTACATACAGATACGGTGTGCATAATAAAAGTGCACATCATACAAAATGTAGAAGGCAATTAATCTATCACCAACATTAAACACTGTCAAAAGGATTTGTTGTTGTGTTGCCTTCAAGTAACTTCCAGCTTATTGTCTAGTCTCTCTAAGACTTGAGTGTCAGAGACTGGGACCAGCCTTTTCCTTTGTTCAACAAAATGTACTTGTGACTGTCCTAAGACAGAAAGGAAGGCCTCCTCAGAGGACCTCAAAGCATGGGCAGGCTCATATGTGTTCTCATCCATTAAGAGGCCACCTACAAGAATTTATTAGAGAGATCGACAGAAACAGAACAAGTGAAAGACTGTATGGTTAAATGGGCAGCCAACATTGGACATGCAATTAAGATGGAGGACTGGGAAAGAATATGGAACTGTAAGGTACACATATGCATATGACCAGAAAGAGAGCTGGTACAAAGTGATGTAGCAGTGGTACATAACCCCCCCCCCCCCAAAAAAAAACAAAAACAAACAAAAACCGAAAACATATAGGATAAATGTTGGAGCTGAGGTGGAAAAGTACTGGAAGGAAATACAAGGAAGAATTCAGAAAATATTGGAAATAAAAATTCAGCTGAAACCGGAATATTTCTTATTGGGCATAACAGACATGAACTTAGAGAAAAACAAAGATATCCTGTTTAACTGTTTTGTGACAGCAGCCAGAATAATTTATGCACAAAATTGGAGAACGAAAGAAGTTCCATGAATAGACAAATGGCTCCTGAAAATAGCCAAAAATAATGGGTATGGACAATCTGACTCAGCTACTAATGAACCACCAAGATAGCAAAAAAATAAAATGGATTGGTCACCATTCAAAGACTATTTGACAAAAGAGAAAATGCAAATGGTAATATAGCCAATATATAATATACTACCTAATATAGTTAAAGAAGACAAAGAGAAAAAGTGTTCACACTTGGTTAAAGGGCGAAAAGGGGAAGCAGAAACCAATAGGATATGAAATAAAGACTTTTTTTTACCATAATGAAGATTGGAGGTTAATAAAATGTCCCTCCCCCTTTCTGTTTCCCCTTTTTTTCTCTCCCTTTCCCCTTTTTAACTCACATTGCTAGAAAGCAGTAATATCTAGAGGCTTTCCCAATAGGTAACAGTTGCTCCCTATTTTTACCCTAAAATCCTCTTTCCTGCCCCTTCTAACCCTATTTTACAATATTGTATTACATATTTTCATAAATAAATATATATTTTTTTTAAAAAAAGAGGACATCCCTTTCTTCTGGATGGTTCCCCATAAGAAACACATAGTGTCCTATCAACTCTACCATGCAATTCAATTGATGCCTGGGATTACCAGGAGCAGAGCCTTGTTAAGGATTTCATATTTATTTATTTCATGTCAAAAGCATTGCATAAATAAGTATAAAACTGCTAAAATAAAGGGAGCACGTGTCTAAATAATTTTAGACCAGAAACGGGCAACAGCGACCACATTGTCTGTAGCTTTAAACAATTCTTCCTCTGTGCATGAGGCAGGGCATTACTTTACAAGGATCTCATATTGAACATTGTCTTCCTCTTGGGAAGAAGAGTTAATCTCAGATACTAATTTGCATAGTAGGACATAGTTTGCAAAACAATGAATAAACACTTTTTTGCACTCTTCCATCTGTTGCATGGGTGCAGGAATTGACATAAATGATGGTTTTCTCTCTAGGATGTGGAGCCAGGTTCACCAGCAGCTTTGGCCGGTCTGAGGCCACACACGGACTACATTGTTGGATCAGATCAGATACTGCAGGAGGTAAAGTGGGCAGTGTGGATTGTAGATGGCATTGAGAGGTACTCATGGGGGTGGGCATGACTGAAAGGCTTTGCTATGGAAAACATTTACTATAGTAGTTATATCCCATTCTGTATCCACAACTATAAGGCTGGCATACAGCAAAATCAATTTAGAGCAGTTCAGAACAATAAGAATAATTTTCAACAGACTGAAACATATTAAACTATATCTCCCAACTTTAGTGCCCTTCAGATGAACATTCCGCTCTCCTGACCAGCCTCTGTTGTGATATTAACTACCTGTATATACGCGGGTATAAGCTGATCCGAATATAAACCGAGGTATCTAATTTTACCCCAAAAAACTGGGAAAACGTATTGTCGAGGTATAAGTCGAGGGTGGGAAATACAGCAGCTACTGGTCAATTTCAAAATGAAAATAGATACCAATAAAATTACATTAATTGAGGTATCAGTAGGTCCAATGTTTTTGAATATTTACATAAAACTGTAATTTAAGATAACTGTCCAACTTTGATGAAACCATTATTTTCATCTTTTTCAATGTAAATGTGCTTATGTATCCTTGCAATAATAATAAAGAGAATAAGATAATAAATGTAATAATTTATTAATAAAAATAAATTATTACATTTATTATTATTTTTGATTGAAATAATGGAAATGTAGTAATTAGAGTTATAATAGAGTAAAATAATAAATGTAAATAATAAATGTAATAACAATAATACAGTAAAATAATAAATGTAATAATACTAATAGAGTAAAATAATAAATGTATTACAAATAATAATAATAATAACAGAGTAAAATAATAAATAACCTTGACTCGAGTATAAGCCGAGGGGGACTTTTTCAGCCTAAAAAAGAGCTGAAAAACTAGGCTTATACTCGAGTATATACAGTAAATCTTTCTGTGTAAAACAGTATTTTTACTAAAAGATTCATTGTCCTTAGTGTGCAAGATTTTTGGAATGCTTCATCTTAAACAATAGAGGAAAGCAGAAAAAGGTGGATCAAAACCCCATAGAAATGTGGCAGAAATAATTCTTACAAAAGAATGAAATTCTAATGCACACAGTTCCACACATATCTTTTGGAGGGAGGGAAGCGAGCAAAAGACCTAGTAGGACAAGCCTATTAAGTCCACTGCTCCCACCCTCCATAACCTGGAAAGCAGACATTTATAATGAGGAAGCAAAGCTTATAGTTATTGGGTTAATAACAGAAGTCTCTCTTACACAGTCAGAAGATTTCTTCTCCCTGATTGAATCCCATGAAGGGAAGCCTTTGAAGCTGATGGTCTACAACATGGAAACCGATTCCTGTCGAGAGGTTTTTGTCACCCCAAATGGAGCCTGGGGTGGAGAAGGGAGGTAAGATATATACCAAATGAGGTCCACTTTGGTAAATAAAGTCGGGCTACTCTTAGCTTGCCACACATTGACTCATGTTGGGTGAGCTACGTTGCATCACAAGTTAATAATAGATGTTTGAGATAGTTTTCGCAATTCTTGATACTCTGTGAATCCCAATTTGCTTCCATGTGTGTATGCTGAGAAGAACTCTATCCTCTTGAAACTCAAAAGAGTGGGTGAGATTTGCTTACTTGAAAAGCATCATGACCACATTCCTGGTGATCATATTGCCTCTAGATCAGTGTTTCTCAACCTGTGGGTCCCCAGGTGTTTTGGCCTACAACTCCCAGAAATCCCAGCCAGTTTACCAGCTGTTGGCAAAAACAGGATGGCAGTGAGAATTGATGATCCCGAGACTCTATGGTAAAGTTAGTAAACATTTACTTTTACTTTCATAGGTAATACATCTCCGATAAAAGAGTAGATAGACAAAAGGGGGTTACCTAAGTTTGATAGAAGAGTCTCTAATGATGACTCTTATGTCTGTGTGGAAGGCATTTGGAAATAGAATCCTCATGGCGTTTCCTTCTCAAACTTGGGTCATAAAGCACTAAAGACTTTTGGGAAGAAGAGCGAGAGCATGCAGCAAACAAAAACATCTGGAGTTATGTACATTCACAAGAGGTGAAAACAAGACGGCAGACATGCACCACAGGGTTCCCTTTGTCCCTAGTATTGATGGTTCTTCACTTCCAGCATAACTATTATTTCCATGCTCAGATGTGGAGAGGCTTCTGTTTTCAGACTTAAAACAGTGAATGGAGTTATTGATGAATATGAGTGAGCATGAAGGGGACTTGCTCCAGTTGTCACATTGTCCTCTGAGTCACTTCTTGCCTTCTGAAACAATTCCCCATCACCATGTGAGCAGGCGTGAAGAGAATCTGTGTTCATGGGCCATCTGGCAGTGACCTTTGGGGCTGGGAAGGCGGCAGCGCCTCACTTTGGTCAACGGCTAATATGGTCAGAGGGAGATGTTAGCATTTCTAGTCAGGTCTCTGTGTGCAGGGGATGCCAAATGTCATATATATATTTATGTACTAGTTGATCTCATGTCTAAGTCGTGGGCAGGTTTGGGGACCAAAATTATGGATTCTTATATGATCTGTGGATAATTCGAAAGTCATTTGGCTAATAGGGACTGCTGTTTGCTTTGATTTTAAGTTTGATTATACTTATGTCATTGTACTTATACTTATGTTTTGTTGTCTGCATGTGGCACTTGGAGTGCTTCTGTGAGCCACCCTGAGTCCCTTTTGGGAGATGGGCACTACTACTACTAGTACTAGTACTACTAGATGGGTACTACTACTACTACTAGTAGTACTACTACTATTACCAATAATAATTTGCTGTGTTCTCATTTTATAGTTATATACAAAATGAGGTTATATACACTCGCACAGCGGTTAGATATCCACCTTTGCCTGTTAGAAGTGTATACCATCTTAACTCTAATTTTTTTAGTCTATTTTAAAGAGTTTTAAAGAACTTACCATGTTGTAAATGTTTGTGATGTATTGTGTCGTGTTTATTTAAGTTGTCATTTTCATGATTTTTATCAAGATTGTTTTTACCTTCCAGTTTGAGGAGTTGTTTTGGTATTGAATGTTTGCCACTGTGTTTATTTTGCTGGAAACCGTCTTGAGCCTCCTCAGGGAGATAGAGTGGGTTATAAATAAAGTATTATTATTTGAAACAGAACAAGATGAGTCCACAGCAATCACTCTGCTGGCTGTTGTATTGGATCACACGTCGGATACTTCCCAAGTGTCTAAGACTGTGTGATGTATCGGTGAATAATGCATGCAGATCCCAGTAAGGTGGCCTTTTGCAGCTGACAGATGGTAATTTTGTCAGCGCCAATTGTGTTTAAGTGCAGGCCAAGGTTTTGAGGCACTGCACCTAGTATGAAGATCACCATTGGGACCACCTTGACTGGCTTGTCCTAGAATCTTTGCAGTTTGATCTTTAAATCCTCATATTGTGTCAGCTTTTCCAGTTGTTTCTTTTCATTCCTGCTGTCACCTGGGATTGCAACATCGGCAATCCACACTTTGTTTTTTAACACGATCATGAGGTCAGGAGTATTATGCTCCAAAACTCTGTCTGTCTGAATTCGGAAGTCCCAGAGGAGTTTGACGTGTTCATTTTCTGTACCTTTTTCTGGCTTGTGATCCACCAGTTCTTATTCTTATTCTTATTTCTTTCAACAAGAGAAGCTACGCTTCTGTTTGTGATTAACAACGTCTTTTTTTTCTTTCTTGTAAAGTTTAGGGTGTGGGATTGGATATGGCTATTTGCACAGAATCCCAACGCAGCCTGCTGTACCCAAGAAGAAAACAGAAGCCAGTCCCGCTTCTCCTTCCCCATCAGGAGACACGCCTGCAGAGCCCCCTTCGAATGGCTATACAGAGGTAAGCATTTTGATATGAAAGATGACCCTACCAACACACAGCGGTGGTGCCTAGTACTTCCAACATTAGCGTTTTCCCTTATACTTTATTTGACTTACAAGGTGGGCTAAAGCACTTAGAATGTCATAATATGATGAGAATACCATGCAGAATTCTTTTTCCCCACTCCCAACAATGCAAGAAATCTGCAGTGATTATCTGTCCTTTCATGCAAGGGCAAAATAATCAAGGATTCCAAAAGGCGATGCAGTGAATTAGGTATTTGATGAAATGTTGTCTATCTCCTTATAGCAGGCATGGACAAACTTGGGCCTGCCAGGTGGTTTGGACTTCAACTCCCACAATTCCTAACAGCCTACTGGGAATTGAAGTGCAAAACACCTGGAAGGCCCAAGTTTGCCCATGCCTGCCCTATAGGAATGTGTAAAATGTTCCTAATTCTGAAATGGGCAAGCCCTTCTCCCCTTCTGAAAAAGAGTGCTTTCTTTTTTCTCTCCAGGCACCTCTGTTGGCAGCTAATGTCCAAAGTGAGGAATCCACAGACCATGATTACAGCACCACTCAAAGTGTGACTGTGTATCCATCAGAAAATTCTCTTCACCCGCCTCCTCCGGTCCAGAGAGTCATGGATCCAGGTATTTTGAAAGACATAAGCATCCTTGTGCAAAAATCTGGCTCAAAAGGGGCTGTGCTTTTGATCTGACAAAAGCAGCTCTTGACATAATGGATTTTCCTTCCATGAGCAGTGAGAAGCAGGGCAAGGCACTGAAAAGGAATAGTCTTTGAAGGAGATCTAGACTGACCTCCTGCATTGAAGCACTACTAAGATGTGAAAGAGCCACGCTTCCTCCACAAATGTCCCATGTCTCACAAACAGGGAGTTGAGACTGATTTGGCATGTCTCTAAAATAAAGAAATGTAGGAGCAGAAATTAATTATGTGAAGCACTTCCAGAAAAGCCTAAATAATGTGGTTCATTTTGAAGAGTCTGTTTGCAGCTTACCAAATACTTAACAGCATCTATTGAGTGTAATTCATTACATTCACTGCCATCCCCCTTTTCCTTATGTGTTTTCTGTTAATTTAGATTGTGAGGTGGACACATTAATGATTTGCAAGCAGCCCATGAAGCTTTTTTGATTGAAGGGAGGAAAATATAAATATATACTCAAGTATAAGCTGACCCGAATATAAGCCGAGGCACCTAATTCTATCTGAAAAAACTGGGAAAACATATTGACTCAAGTATAAGCTGGGAGTAGAAAATGGAGCAGATACTGGTAAATTTCAAAATAAAAGTAGGTACCAATAAAATTACATCAATTGAAGCATCTGTAGGTTAAACGTTTTTGAATATTTACATAAAACTGTAATTTAAGATAAGACTGTCCAACTCTGATTAACATTATTCTAACTTTCTTCAATGTAAATGTGCTTCCATATCCTTCTGATAATGAGAGTAAAATAATAAATATAATAATAGTAATAGAGTAAAATAATAAATGTAATAATAAAAATAATAAATAGAGCAAAATAATAAATGTAGTAATAGAGTAAAATAATTTAAATGTAATAATATTAATAGAGTAAAAGAATAAATGTAGTAAAGATAATAATAATAATAATAATAACAACAGAGTAAAATAATAAATAACTGACTCAAATATAAGCCGAGGGGGGTTTCTTCAGACCTAAAAAAGGGGCTGAAAAACTAGGCTTATACTCAAGTATATACAGTAAATGTTAACCTGAGTTCTCTTTAATTACACGTCATTTTATTGGTATTTGGGGAAAGGGAGTTTCATTTTCAAATCCATAGTTCTCATATGCATAATAAATGACTGACTGTTCCCTTTTTCCCTCTTTCAGGTTTCATAGATATGTCTGGGGCCTCATTTCCTGAATTGATTGACTTAGTGAAAACAATCAATGTGCCTTCTTCTTCCTCTACTACTTTTAACTTAACAGACACTCTGACGGCAAGTGGCAGCTTAGAAACTCACAGTGCAGAGCAGCCACATTTGGGTAACCATGTTTTAAAACATTTTTTTTTTTACTTTTAAAATGTGTGATTGAATTGGAGGCAGTGATTGCAGGCAGTTTTATTAACTCAATTCTTGGTAAAACTTGGCAATGTGATCTCAGACTGGCTGCCCAGATGCAGTGGTTAAAAGCATCATAATTTTAATAATGTGGTTCAGTCTTTATGTGATTTTAAATTCATGTTTTAATGTATGTTTTTTTAATATCTGTTGTGTATATGGTATCAAATTGTAGCCTTTGTACGACCACTCTGAGTCCTCTTTAGGGTTGAGAAGGGCGGGGTATAAATACTGTAGATAAATAATATATTTAAAAAGCACACTACGTTGCTTGATGGTGTGGCCTCAAAAGCCCTTGGTATAGAAATATTCTGCAAAATGACTGCAGTCTTGTGTATTTTATTATTGTCTTGCACAATAACGTTCCAGGCACAATTGCTTGAATAATTTTTCTCCAGTATAAAAGGAGATGAACTGGGCAGTACAGAGTTGTGGTATCAAAATTTGCCTGGCAGCCACATCTGCTGTACTCTCTGCTTTGCCCTGGAGCTGCTCTTAGAATATGGTCACTGTAAGCTCCCTAGAACTATGGCAGGAGGGGCAGAGATTACTTGCTCAACCAGTTCAGTGTTTTACTGAAGACGCTTGCTGAAATCCGAAGAGCTTGGCAAGTTATGTGAGAATAGAGCCCAATCTTATTTAACAAGGTTGATACTCAGGATTTGGTTACTGCTTTCAGAAGGGCCCGTGCCATTCAGGAAGTCTGTACAGAGGATCTAACTGTCAGCGTAATTTCCCCTCAAAAGGGGAGAAAAAAAGAGAAATGGCAAAGCAGCAACAACAGCAGTAGCAGCAGTTCAGTAGCTCAGAAGCTTCTAGTGCCAGTAGAGCGATACAGGACTTAAGCAATACAGGAGCAGAGTAAAGCCTTAAAAGTTATATTAAAAACTTTATTTAAAGAGTTTCATGGCCAGAATCATTCAAAGAACTACATATCTAGATGGGAAAGTTAACAGGGTCTAGCTATCTAACTCACTCACAACAGACACCTTGCCTCTCTCCATGTCCACAGGAAAAGAAGAAAAGGTAGAACAAAATGGGGGACACAGGGGCTTGCCATGTGCTCCAAAAAGGAGCCGTGTCCCTGAGATGTATTGGTCTAACAAGAAAGGTTTTAGGAGGCGAGAACAGAGAGAAAGATGGACAAAGTGGCCAATAGGGCAGGGCTTTCCCCTGCCATCTGTCTAATATTATAATAATAAAAAATAAATTTTATGGTGTGCGTCGTTGTCCGGATACTTATTTGGGCACGACACACACTTTTTAAAGGAGGTAGTAGTCATTGTTGTTTTGTTTTAAGGTAAAGCCAAGCTTGTTATTGCAACTTTAAGTTATTTCCTTGTTTTCTGGGATTACAATGTAGTCTCCGATTTCCTTGCTGCTTTTAGTGGCGGATTGGAAGAACTGAGGGTAGCCCCTCCCACATGCTATTTATACGGACGGGGAAGGTGGGCACGGCTACTCTAACATTAGTCTCAAGAATTTCCGTTGCTGCCTGTGCGAGCAAATTCACAGCTGACCACTAAGGGAAAATAAGTTTTATCCCACCCTATCTCCCCGTGAGGACTCAGGGGACTTGATGAAGTCTGTTCTTGTGCAGGATATGGTTGATTTCCAACATTATCATGGGGTTTTCATTGGTAAAACAAAAAATCAGAAAAAAGAGGCGTTTCCATTTCAACTGTTGCCCTTGTACCCCTCAAAAATCTGCCCTGAGGACTGAGAAAAAGTCTAGAGAGTCAGGTGTTTGGGTAGCTTCAGAGTTTGCAAAGGAAGATGCAAAATTTCTGTTACTCTGGGCAGGCAGAGGCAGCAATGTGTTGTATTTCGTAGGTTAAATTACTATTTATGGTAATCATGTTAAATAAATATGTGGCTTGTTTGTTTTCAGATCAGGCCACCCTTCCAGTGTCAGAAGATCCAACATCATCTTACCCAGCCTCACAGGAATTAAGACCTTTGGACTCCCTTTTACCATCCCCAGACATCTCTGTAAATGCTGCATCTCACCTTGATGGTGGTGCTTCAGAAACGGGTCTGCTCCCAGATGGAACTGAGAGTCCCTCGTTGTCCAAAACATTACAGAGTGACACTGATGACAGAAAGAGTGAGGAACTGAGAGAAGAAGCTTCATAGCCCTCAGCACTGACAGCCCTTTCTGATGCTTTAATAATTCCTGGACCTGCAAAGCTGGCCCTGAAATGCATTACAACAAGATCCAAGCTGCCTTCCCTGGCAATGCCCCCCACAAATCACTATTGGTTGCTGACTCATAATCTTGAACATCTGGGTAAATGGTGCTCAAGAATAATGCTGAGTTTGAGAAAAAGGTTTTTGGTGAAGTGCTGCTTTATAGGAATAGAAACAACTGCCAAAGTGGCTCGCAGGAGGGGTAGAGTTGATAGAACAGAGGAGTTCGTCCTCTTGTTTGAATTCTGACAACTGCCTGCACGTTCCTTGCTCAAAGCCCACAAGACTAGAAATGACTTTGATTTTCAAAACTTATTTAATGATTTCACAGGAATAATTTTTATAACTTGAGCTAGTGTTTTAGACTGAGGTAGGACCCGACTCAGAATGGAAAAGATATGTTGACGTATTCTTTCAGATTGTTAGGACATGGTTCAGGCCCTCATCCCACACTGCTCCTGCAGTCATCCCTCCACATTTGAGGTTTTGGCTTCTGAGTATTGGATTAAAATGTTCTGTCTGGGAATCTCTTAAGTCCTTCTATCATGCTGGAAAACTTAGAGATTTCAAGAGAGAGTGGCTGTCTGGGCCCTCCAACGCAATTCTGTGGTCAATCTCCAGCAGCTTGACCATGGAGCCATTTTAAAAGAACTATACATTTCTGAAGTATTCCATCAGGTTAAAAAATTACCAATTTTTGATTTGCTTTTTCTTCATGTTTGTATGGGTCCTGTGCCCCTAACCCAAGGAAATGGAGGGCTGACTGTGCGCAACAGGCAGTTTTGTACCTTGCAGGCTATTGTGTGATTGAAGTGTGATGCCTTCTTCACCCTTGAGACCTCACATTAGTATGTGCTAAAGACAGAAAGAGCCCTGGTAAGGAATAGCTATGAGCCAAATAGGCTGGATCATGCCCTTAGATTGAACTGTACTTTCAAGCCTCCAACTGCTGTTTACTCATATACGATTGTTTTTTTGATGCAGAAATCTACTTTGTGGCCAACTTAACAGTTTCCTTCAGATTGGATACTTCAGCAATTTCATTTTATGTTTACCTTTTAACTGGGAATACATGTTGCACAAAAAGTTCTCCAGAGCTTTTCTCAGCTATTCAAGGCTGAGATTCTAAGATGAAATAAGTTAACATTTCATTAACCTACTTGAGCAATTGGTAGAATCCTATTCTCATTTGAGGTGCATGCCAATGAGAAAATCAGCCCCTGCATTTCTCACTAGAGGAGGTTGGTTCTTCCTTTGGACCTCTAACACTACTGAAAATGGTCACGCTTTCTTTCAATGGAAATAATGGAGGAACTTCAGATTTACCTTTTAGCACAAGCTAGCGCTTATTCTGGAATGGTTTTTATGAATCAGTTTTGATTCACTGGTTCAGTTTCCTGGAAGACTGGAAATAAATGCTTTTCAATGTGTAAAGTCGTTATTTTTTAAAAAAAAACCAGATTCCAACTCTACGGGCCTTCTTCAACATGACCGGGGTTCCCCTTCATAACAGACCTTTTGTAATACTCTCTCTGTGTGCCCAGCCCTCTTTACAAACATCAGTGATTGGTTCCGCAAGCTGTAAAGAGATATGCACATACCTTTCTGTACCAATAAAAAATCTTAGTTTCAGTGCTTGTTCTCCGTATTCAAAATTGTACCATACACAAACAGGAATATTGGTGGACTTGGTAAAAGATACAAAATCCAAAAATGAAAAAAAAAAAAGATGTCATTGGAGTGGAAATTATTTGAAAAGGAAACTAATAGGGGCGTATGTTTCAAGTTGAAAAGCAACTCTCAAAGCAGAAAGCATCACATTTAGCACCACCAATATTTTCATAAAGTCTATGGGATCCTAGAACTAATAGGATAAAATGTAAACATATACAGCATTAAAAGGAACTTCATTTTAATGCAGTAAAGGGGATTACTGCAATCCCATTTTCCAAAGAATTGGCACTTCGGTCTATCTTAGCTTTTAGCATAACATATCCTGAGTAAAGAATCATTCTTTACATTTCATAGTTGAAAGTTCTTGAGAAGAAAATAAAGAGAAAAGACTGGAAGTATGAAAGGTATATGAAGTGTCTATGTAGCGGAGTATATTGTATTAGCCTGCAGATTTGTGCCTATATACATGACAGCACAGCTAGTGATTTCAGCATTGGACAACGACTCAGTTCGAATAACTCCATAGAATCGTAGAGTTGGAAGAGACCTCATGGTCCATCCAGTCCAACCCCCTGACAAGAAGCAGGAAAATGGCATCCAAAGCACCCCTGCCAGATGGCTATGAAACCTGCTGGATGGCCTTGGGCAAACCACTTTCTCAGCCTCAGAGGAAGGAAATGTAACTCTTCTAAAACTTGCCTAGAAAACCCTGGGGCAGGGTCACCTTAGGTCAAAAACAGTTTGAAGGCAAATCAGAAAGGGAGATGGATACAATACACATAAGCGTGCCCATCCTTAGCAGTTCTGCCTACCTCAGAAGGTAGGCGGGACAGCAAAGATTGCCTGGAGCAACTTCTAAATAACTCCTGTTGCTGGCAGGCACCTGCTTTACACTAGGCCATCTCTTTTTTCCTATGTTGACTGGAGAAACTCCAGAATGTCAGAAAGGAATTGAAGCAAGATTCTCCTGCATGCATCATGTGCTTCACAGAACCATCATCAAAAGAAAATACCCAAATTCTGCATTCTGTGTTAAGGTGGAATGAATGGAAGAATGAGTCTGGACAACTTCTGATTTCTTATTGGATGGTAACTCCCAGCATGCACCCCACTGGCCCTGGTAGCGAAGCCTGATAAGCGTTCCAGTTTGCTACCCCTTGCTGAAATAAGGTCATATACATTGCCAATACCACAGTATAGTCTGCACACAAGTCCATAACATAAAAATGCACTCAGGTTTTCACAACAGTCAAATATTAAAATGTCCAACTTTTCTATCCAAACCATGCTACTATATATAACCTTTTGTATTTGACATCTTAAATGTTATGTCCGAATATTATTGCAGAGCTTTAGAAATCATAGAATCAAAGAGTTGGAAGAGACCTCATGGGCCATCCAGTCCAACCCCTGCCAAGAAGCAGGAATATTGCATTCAAATCACCCCTGACAGATGGCCATCCAGCCTCTGTTTAAAAGCTTCCAAAGAAGGAGCCTCCACCACACTCCGGGGCAGAGAGTTCCACTGCTGAACGGCTCTCACAGTCAGGAAGTTACTTCCTCATGTTCAGATGGAATCTCCTTTCTTGTAATTTGAAGCCATTGTTCCGCGTCCTAGTCTCCAGGGAAGCAAAAAACAAGCTTGCTCCCTCCTCCCGTGGCTTCCTCTCACATATTTATACATGGCTATCATATCTCCTCTCAGCCTTCTCTCTTCAGGCTAAACATGCCCAGCTCCTTAAGCCGCTCCTCATAGGGCTTGTTCTCCAGACCCTTGATCATTTTAGTCGCCCTCCTCTGGACACATTCCAGCTTGTCAATATCTCTCTTGAATTGTGGTGCCCAGAATTGGACTCAATATTCCAGGTGTGGTCTAACCAAAGCAGAATAGAGGGGTAGCATTACTTCCCTGGACCTAGACACTATGCTCCTATTGATGCAGGCCAAAATCCCATTGGCTTTTTTTGCCACCACATCACATATTTTCTTTACGAAGAAAAAAAACCAAACCGGCTTGGAAATGTTACCTAAAGTTTTTTTTATTTCTATACAACTGTGAAATACATATTTGTCCTTTTGGCATTGCAGGCCCTCAGTCAATCTTTCTTGAAACGACATTACGTGGACTGTAGAAAATCAAGGTTAAACTCTTGGCTGATTTTAAAATAAATCAAAAATAAAGAAAAGGAGGAGAACGGGAAGGATCAAAAGTTGTTTTCAGTGGCGACATGAAGGAGAGCACGGAAGCCAGAATCAGGGGTCGATTGAGGAATACAATTCAGAACAATTTACATTTCCGTTGAACCAATGAATTCACCAACTTCACTAAATGTGCAAGGGAGCACAAACGGAATTTACATAATGAATGATACCGAAGAGGGGGAAAGGTGCATGCGATCGCCAGTCTGAACCAGTTTAAGCAGTGGCATCTCATCTGGAGCACAGGCGGATAAAAGGACCAATCCAAATGTTACATTTGCAACATGGTAGTCACTGTGATAATGGGGAATAGGAATCCCATAAGGTTCTGTACAGTTCCTTAGTACACGAAGCCAAAAAAAACAACACCCAAGAGGAAACTTAACCAAAAAGTGTTGCCATCTTACTTCTTTAACCATGGTCAGTGAAAACAGGAAGGAAACCCTGAAAAAAAAAACTAATGAGTTGAAAGGTTCAGAAGGCTATTTTTGGGAATAGTCTTCTCCAGCACCTTTGGGTGTTTTTCTCTGGCATGGTTGGCACTATTTCCATTTCTGGACACGCTGGCATTGCCAACTGCTACGTCAGGTGCCCAGATACCGTCCTACTTTATGGTGCTTGATGTAACGTAAGTTACTGAAGCAACTTCCATGCTGCAAAGCCAATATCTGAGTTAAAATTTCATCTTTTTCCCAATGTCATGTTTGCTGCATTTTTCAAACTGACAGCCACCATAAAGGAAGATGAGGATGCTCAATTTTGGGGGAGGGAAGCACATTTTTATTTCACTTCCTCTTGAAAAGTCACTTGTGCTTCTCTGTCAAATAAGAACCATTTTATTTTGCCATCAGGGTTGTTGTGTTCCAGTTCAAACTTCTAAACCAAAGACAGCTTTGCTTTGCCCAGACACTGAAATGTTCCCTCCCTCCCTCCAGGATACAATAAGTTAGATTCTACAAGACTAATGAAAATATGTAAAAGCTGTAAAATGTTTTTTTTTTTTTTAGAAACAGTGGAAAAGAAAAATCAAGCTGTATACAACTTACGACAACAGAAATATCCAAAAAAATGCATATAAAAAACCACTGGAGGAAAACCTGCAAATCCTTTTTTTTTTTTTGCTATCATGACTACAGTATTCACTGCAAAGTTTCTACAGTTTGCAAAAATGTCAAAACAGAGAGCACAGTTATGTGGAATTATGACCAGCGTGCCATCTTGAGAGACAGAATGGACTACAGAAGTTACACTTTAAAAATTCTAGTTAATTTGAAATACTCCATCATGATGCGCTGCACCATTGTACTGACCCTGTAATCACACAATCTACTGATTTCTTTAAACTCCAAGTACCAAAAAATGGTTTCTTATAAGATCACAGCTGAAAGGCAGTCATAAAGCAAGCCTAAGAAAGTCAACCCCCTGGACTTACACTGGGGTCTCTGTTCTACTCAATTCTACAACGGTTCTTTCCTCTTTTAAGTAGATTTGTCTTGAGAAGTGGCCGAAATTTACTACGTGGAATGTATTAACAAAGTACAGTACATGCAGGTTTTTGTTTGTTTGTTTACACTGTGAACAAGTTAGCAGCAGGGCTGAGAAAGGGTTTCCATACCAAGCTTCGGCAGATGAATGTATGACAACCTTGGAAATAAAAACTGAAATAAGAACCTTACAGATATCTGCAGCGGCTCGGCTGGTCTCTGTACACCTCACGCCACGGATCACCCAAGGGTTTCTCACGTCACTCTCACTTGTACCTCGGTAAGGACAGACTTTAGTTTAGGTCATTAACAGATTTGTCTATATTACAGATTTATTAGTCACTTCAATTCAAGTAGACTCTGTCCGCACTGAGGCATTAGAAGGATCAGATCTATCTTAGGGTTTTCAGTGGGCTTTCTACAGCTGGAGCAAGGACAGGAAGCTCAAGTAAGTGAAGAACCGGTTGGGCCCAGGACTTGGCTCACGTGGATTTCTGGCGGTAATGGAGGGTCAGGTCGCCACCGCTCTTCCAGATGAAATGCTTGACAGTTCGAAGGTCCATGTTTGGATCCAAAACCTGTCACAAAACCAACAGGGGAGAGGGGTCAAGCTCATATCTCAGCTTTGATTTCTCATAATAAACTAAATAATAAACTTTATTTATATCCCACCAACACCTCCCCAAAGGGACTCGGGCGGCTTACAAAGGCACTACCAGGGTGCATATATTTATTTATTTATCATTTATTATTAGTTACGACATTTTTGCCCCCTCCCCACTGACATTGCGAAAAAAGTAAAAACCTGGCTCTGTAAAGACTTTGTCATTTGGGAGTTGTAGTTGCTTGGATTTATATTTCACCTACAATCAAAGAGCATTCTGAACTCCACCAATAATGGAACTGAACCAAACGTGGCATACAGGACTCCAATGACAAACAGAAAACACTAGAAGGGTTGGGTGGACACTTAGACAATGTTTTTTGGAAAATCTATATAAATAAAAATGTAATGTTCATTTGTGGGATTAACATAACTAAAAACCACTGGACGAATTGACACCAAATTTAGACACAACACACCTATCAGGCCAACAAGTGACCATCACTCATAAAACACTGAAAAACATCGCGGAATAGACTTAAAAAACCAAACAATAAAAATTCATTACAACGCATGTGCAAAATCACATATATACACATATACACAAAAATATACACACACATATACACAGATTGGGCCACAGCAACACGTGGCAGGGGACAACTAGTGAGTTAATAGGAAATCACTGGTGATTATACGTTTTTAATGATTTTTACATGGTTTTTTTTCACGTGCACTAAATACTTTTAATTCTGTTTTATGACTATTTGCGGCATCCAATTGTGCCAGTTGTAAGCCGCCTTGAGTTGCCTCCAGACTGAGAAAAGTGGCATAGAAATGCTATAAATAAATAAATCTATATAAATAAAAATGTAATGTTCATTTGTGGGATTAACATAACTCAAAAACCACTGGACAAATTGACACCAAATTTGGACACAATACCTCTATCAGGCCAACAAGTGACCACAGACATGTATACATATATACACACACAAAACACATATATAGAGACAGCGCCACAGCAACATGTGGCAGGGGACAGCTTGTAAATAATAAATTTCTACCCCACCTTTCTCAACCCCGGAGGGGACACAAGGCGGCTTTACACATAGGCAACTGTTTGATGCCTTAAAACAATGTACAATTAAAATAAGCATTTAGAATAAAATTAAAAATACATTAAAACAATTAAACATTTAAAACATTACATTCAGAGTTTGATCACATAATCCACAAGTGGAATCCGAACCATTCCTATGGTCATTGCACATCATCCCACATCTATCTATTGCACTGAATCACCAAAGGCTTGGTCACAGAGCCATGTTTTACTCTCTTATGGAAGGTCAAGAGGGAAGGGCCTGATCTAATATCCCTGGGGAGGAATTCCACAGCCAGGGGACCACCACTGAGAAGGCCCTGTCTCTTGTCTCCATCAATCGTGCCTGTGAAGAAGGCGGGACTGAGAGCAGAACCTTCCCTGACGATTTTAAACTCTGAGATGGTTCGTAGAGGGAGATACATTCAGACAGGTAAGCTGGGCCAGAACCGTTTAGGGCTTTATAGGTTGAAGCCAGCACTCTGAATTGTGCTCGGTATAACATACAACAGGTAAAAACGGTACATAAGTATAAAACAAAACTATAATAGCCCCCCTGTCAACACATATAGCATAAAATCAAAATAATACAATTTTAAAAACAACAGGAGATAAAACTAGCTGCCATCAATTCACAAAGTGACAAGTGTCAACTTTCTCACCAGTTGAACCCAAAGTTTACAAATCTAATGTCTCCCAGTAGATGTAAAACATCCTCAATCTTTGGGACAATCTTAGGTGTTGGTGGTGGTGGGGATAATTTGCAAAAAAAAAAAAAGGCATTTCTAAAGTAAAGTAGCAACAATAGCATTAGCAGCAGTTTAGTAGATCAGAAGCTTCTAGTGCTACCAGTAGAGCAACAGAGGCCTCTTCTACACTGCCATGTAATCCAGATTATCAAAGCGGATAATCCACATGATCTGCTTTGAACTGGATTATCTGAGTCTACACTGCCATATAATCCAGTTCAAAGCAGATATTCTGGATTTTATATGGCAGTGTAGAAGGGGCCAGAGTTTCAGGAATACAGGAACAGAGTCAATCTTTAAAAGTTATACAAGACTTTATTTGAAAAACGACATATTTAGATAGAAAAGTTAGCAGGGCCTAGTTATCTAACTAATTAAACAACTTGGTGACAGTGATCCACGCTCTTGTTCTATCCTGAATAGACTACTGCAACATGCTCTATGTGGGGTTGCCTTTGAAGTCTGTTCGAAAGCTTCAAGTAGTCCAATGGGCGGCAGCCAGATTGCTCTCTGGAGTGACGTACAGAGAGCGAACATCCCTTCCGTTGTGTCAGCTCCACTGGCAGCCAGTCTGCTACCAAGCACAATTCAAAGTACTGGCTTTAGCCAATAAGGTCCTAAACGGTTCTGGCCCAGTTTACCTGTCCAAATGTTTCTCCCTCTATGAGCCGGCAAGGAGATTAAACTCTTCTGAGGAGGTCCTGCTCTTGATCCTGCCTCCTTCACAGGCACAGTTGGTGGGGATGAGAGACAGGGCCTTCTCAGTGGTGGCCCTTCGGCTATGGAACTCTCTCCTGAATGGAATTAGAACAGCCCCCTCCCTCCTGACCTTTAGGAAAAGGCTAAAAACATGGATGTTTGACAAAATATCACTAAAATATCACTAAAATAAAGGAAGTTGAAATGGTGCAACAACAAACTGGAATGGCTGCGGACTACGATACTGGATTATGTGATTTTAAATAATTGGTTTTAAGGTTTTACATGCTTTAAATCACTGTTTTAATGCTTATGTTTTATTGTGTTCTTGGCATCTAATTGTTGCCTATATATGTAAGCTGCCCTGAGTCCCCTACGAGGTTGAGAAGGGTGGGGTATAAATACAGTAAACAAATAAATAAATAACTCATTCACAGCAGACATCTTGTCTCTCTCCATGTTCACAGAAAAAGAAGAAAAGGTAGAACAAAAGGAGGCCTTAGGGGCTTGCCATGTGCTCAGAAAAGGTGTCCCCCCTGAGAAGTATCAAGAAGGATGGTAATAGGAGAGAAAGGAAGAAAGGGAAATAAAGAGGCCAATGGGGAAAGGACTTTCCCCTGCCAACTAACTCATCTGCCTATCTAAGTTCTTGATGTGGACTTCAGGTTTGTGCAGAAATGGCTGAGTTCCAATAAGAAACGTATGAAGGAAACATCCATTTGCTCCAGTCTCAAGCACACATATCTTTCACTCCTAACACTAGCATATACCAAAGCCTGCAAAAAATGCAAGATGGTGGCAGCTCAATTTATGGCCACAGCAAATTTCTTTTAAAAAAGAAGAATCAGGTGACATATGACTGGTGGATTTTGCAAAGGAAATTATGCCATGTCCCTTGTGATGTGCTATTTTCATCCTGAAGCAGTGGATAATCTTCACTGCTGAGAAATCAAGCAGTTGCTGAGGGGGAAAAAAAGCTAAGCTGCTTTTGTTTGCATACATTTGCTATTTCTCAAAATGCAGGAGAGAAAATATGTATTCCATTCCCCACCTCCCACCTTTACCCTTTTGCCAAATTATTACATCCGTTAGCATTTTCTAACCAAATTAAAAGTGTTGCTGGATCATTATACATATATTGGAATTTGTGTTTTGCTGGAACATCTTTTCCTAAGGCTCCACAAGTTTTGAAAATGTTATGTCTAAAGAAAGCCTTCCTCCATATCACCCACATTCTTCCATAACAAATCCTGCTCTCCTTTCAAGGAGCTCAGCCCTCCCAACCAATGCAAGACAGGCAATGGCTTTACCTGGTCCTGGCACAAGAGTTCAATTTTCTCCTCTGCTAGTACTGCAATATCTTCCTCTTTTTCTTGTTCCCCAGCCTTTTCGTTATTGGAAGAGCTAGTTGTCTGTGATTCATTGTCCAAGTTTATTATCTTTTCATAGACATGTTCCATCACCTTCCTGACTTGCAACATGTCACTAGCGGACAGTCGATCCCTACGTGGGAAGAAGATGATTTTAAGACAAAGCTTAGCTGATCTGGATGAACATTCCCATGTTCCTGGGAGTCCCAGTTGCTCTTACTTTTGTTTACACTTACTTCTTTAGCGTTTTTGCTCCCGAAGATGAATGAGGTTGGAGGTAGAAGGGAATCTTGTTGAATTTTGGCATGTTTTTCTAAAGAACAGACAAGCAGAAGTAAGAGGAACCATTATATTTTGCCTTTGATTTTGTAAGAAACACATTTTAATTTATACATCTAAGCTGTATGCCTTTCTCCTTTAATGTCTGTATTTTATATTACATGTAATATTCCTAATAATATTACAATATAATGGTATAGTACAATATAGTAATATATAATACTGATTTTGTGCTATACTAATAATATAATATATTGTATGTATATATATCCTGTAAGCTGCTGAGTCCCCCTCAGGGGGAGAATAATAATAATAATAACAACAACAACTTTTTATAATAATAATAACAACAACAACCATCTCCCCAAGGGGACTCGGGGGGCTTACAAGGGACAAGCCCAACAATTACAGATAAAACACAATCAAATTAAAAACAACAATTAAAATATAAAAATAATCACAATTATAAACAACATCAAAATAACATGGCTGAGAAAGAACATAGCTGCGGTTCAGGGCGGCATATAAATGAGAAGGGCGGCATATAAATTCTGTAAATAAATAAATAAACTCATACATTTTTCTAGACACTTTTTGCAGTTTTGGGGGGATAGTCATTGAATTGGTGATCAAGTAGAATAATCCTAATCTTTCTCCTGTTTGAGACCCAGGATGTCTTAGAACACATTATAACTATCAAAAATTAAAAACCAGTTAAAAACACTACCTATGTTGTAAGGTAAAGTAAAGGTTTCCCCCTTGACATTAAGACTAGTTGTGTCTGACTCTGGGGGGTGGTGCTCATCTCCATTTCTAAACCAAAGAGTTGGCGTTGTCCATAGACACCTCCAAGGTCATGTGGCCGTCATGACTACATGGAGTGCCATTACCTTCTTGCAGAAGTGGTACCTATTGATCTCACATTTGCATGTTTTTCAACTGCTAGACTAGCAGAAGCTGGGGCTAACAGCTGGAGCTCATCCCGCTTCCTGGATTCAATCTGTCAACCTTTCAGTCAGCAAGTTTTGTAACTCAGCACTTCAACCCGCTGTGCCACCGGGGGCTCCTTACGGAGTTTTACATTTTCAAAATTGCTCTCATAATATTACTCTTTCTTGTACAAAAAGAAGCGACCAGGCAATCCACAAAACAATGGGAACAGTCCAATAATACTCATTCCAAGTTGGAATCCAAATTGGGTTTTTTTGCGACTATATGTCAAGTAATCACAAAAAAGTTTCTCATGTTAAAACAATATAATGTAGGAGCTTTACATTTTCAAAACTAAACTAATTGTTTTCCAAAGGGGGAAAAAGCCTATAATCAAAACTAATATTTTAAAATGAAAACAAATACAATTACAGCCAGCAGTTCACATTCATTGAGGTAAGAGACACAACATCCCCATGAAAAAACACAAGTTTAAAATTGCCTTTGTTTACCTGAGAGGACACCTCTCTAGGATCTACAGATTCCTCATAAACAAATCTCTTAATAATCAAATCTACAAATGGTGAGAGTCAACTGTAACATGAAAGAAAGAAAAATAATTTAGGTGGTTCTGTGCTCTCAGGAGAGCCAGGCACTTACATCCACAGTGATGTCAATTACCCATTGTGGCACAGTTTCATTGAGGAGCATGGATTCGGTTTCCCCACCGGAATCTCGACATAGCAGCCTAAGAAGAAATTTTGAAATGTTATGATTACAGAAAGAAACTTTGAGTTCAATACTGTTCAAGAAGAATAAGAGAAATACAACAGAAAATTGCAAGGTACTAAAATCCGGTGAAGTTAAACGTATGGACCAGACATGGGCAAACTTTGGCCCTCCAGGTGTTTTGGACTTCAACTCCCTCAATTCCTAACAGCCAGTAGGAAGTCCAAAACACCAGGAGGGACAAAGTTTGTCCATACCTGATCTACACCACAAGCATGCTCAAGTTAGTCACAGCCCCTCCCACAAGCCCATCAGTGTTCCTTTCTGTACCTAAACAAGGTGCGTCCTCCAGCTTCTCCGAAAATAACTGGCGTGTGTGGTGGCACTTGGAAGTACCCATTTCCTTTCTGCACTCTGTTCTCCTGTTCGCCGTTCACTGTTTCAGGGAGGGCAGACAAACACAAGAGAGAGCTTTCAGCACAGAGTATTCCAATTCAAGACAAAATATGACCATTTTCACCACTGCAAGTGAACTGACAATCTAATATAACTCCAACAGCATCATCAGGGCCTTGTTGTATATGATGTTAAACCAGGCTTGGGCGAAGTGCAGTCCACAGGCTGCATGTGATCAGCAAGGGCCATTTTTGTAGTCTCCGAGGAGGGGAAAAGAAAATACCTTAAAACAGTGGTTCTCAACCTGGGGTCCCCGGATGTTTTTGGCCTACAACTCCCAGAAATCCTAGCCAGTTTACTAGCTGTTAGGATTTCTGGGAGTTGAAGGCCAAAACATCTGGGGACCCCAGGTTGAGAACCACTGCTTTAAAATGTCTTCTATGTGGCATTGGGGCATTTTGGCTATGTTTCCAACTCCTCCTCCCCCCAACATTTCTGTCAGTCACTTTCTGTTGTGATGCAGCCAAGGAGACCTAATGTTGTGTCTAATCAGCCACCACTGATGTTGTACCTAATGTCAATTGGGATGATGGACCTAATGTTGTACCTAATGTCAATGGGGATGGCGAACTTGTGAGTCAGCCTGAGATTTCAAGTCCAGAAAGTGAGAGCTGTGTTCCTGCAGCTGAAGGCCAAATTCCTGAGAGGCTCAAGGCCAAATTCCTGAGAGAGGCCCAGGACAGAAGTCTTTCTCTAGGGAAGGGAGTTCAGAAGACAGTTTGCCAGGTGAGAAAATTGAGTCAGGAGATACGAAGAGCAGCTAAATCAAGCTGTGGACCGATTCCCAGATGAGGCAAACGTCAACTCGCTCTAGCAGAAAGATCGCTATCTGGCTGTAAACATAATGCTTTCCTGTCTCTTTATGGGACAGGAGATCCTTAAATGACACAGGGAAAAGATCTTTCTTTAGTTTGGACAATGGTGATTAAGGAGGCATTTGGAATAGAGCCTAGTCACAGGAAATTTCTTGTTTAATGTCTCAAATGGTTCGAATTCTGGTTTCAAAGTCTAACGGAGTATCTTGCAGTTCTGTGTGTTCGATTTTAAGCTGTCTTTTTGTATCCTGACTCCTTGCTTTCCTGGTTTGTGCATTATATCTTTGTACCTTGGATTTTATGGACTATTTCATGGTTTTTGACTAAGCTACTTCCTCCATTTTTATTGTGTTTCTTTTTATATAATCCTCAATAAACTGCTTGTTGATTTATACTGGACTATGGTGGTATTTAAGTATAGAGGTGTTCCTGCCTGGGATACAATACTTTCTGTTGTTAAAAAAGGTCTCTTCTGGACCTAAAATACCTCAGGGAAGAGTCTGAAAAATGGCAAAAATTTCCCCATGCCTCCTAGTGGACATCCTGAGGGATTCTTCTTTCTTTTTACAGTTGAACAAATGCAGCTTCCTAACCTCTGAGAGCTGCCGACTCCTGGGAGGAATGCATCAATTGCCGCAAAATAGGTCCCCCCCCCCCCTAAATTAAACAATGTATGGAGCTCTCAATTTAGTAAGGGGAGCTGTGGAAAAATTAATTATCACAGCATGCGAACTGCAATAGAAAATCCGAGCCACAGTAATTCTATTTACAGTACAATGAACTTTTTTCCATGCTAGTAGTGAAGGAAAGAAAGAAGCCCATCCTCATGTTGATCACCTCCCTCACATTTAACCCTCCTCCACGCTGGATGTTGCAATTTATCAGAAGTCTGTAAGGATTAGGAAAGGATGGAAGTGAACATTGACATATCAAAAGCTTATTACATATGAAATGAGATCAAATCAAAATGATCAACCAACTCAAAACATAAATATAAAACCTAACATTCTCACAGTTGTGAGCAACACTTACCATGGTTCATTTCATTTTCTTCTTCATCCATGGGATTGATGTGTGTTCGAGGCCAATATTCTAAGAGTGCCTGGAGTAAAAGCCCTCCGAGGTTTACTGCTTATTGAAAGAACAGAAAACGAAATGATTGGGCATGCTCACATAAACATATACCTGGAGTGGTACAGCTAAGAAACCCTTATATTTCTTGAAAAGTATTTTAAACTGTCAGACATCAGCTCTTTCTGAAGCTGAGGGGACTATTAAAAACAAATCTGGGAGTCTGATGTTCAAAAAGTCAAGATCTACAGAAAGGCACAAATCATGTGAATACAAAGTATTTATTATTTATTTATTTACAACGTTTCTACCCGCTTTTCTCATCCCAGAGGGGACTCTTGTTATCTGATCTTCAATTCATTTTTGACCAAAGTTCAATAAGCTTTGTCAAAATTACATAACTATGTGAAAGAGGACTTGTTAAAAACAGAAATCCAGTTACTACAAATTGGACTGCCTGCAACATCAGGATACAGATATCAATCCATGCAAATAAAAGACTTTGACACAGCTTGACAGGTAACATCTGAAAGAGAAGTGTAGAACTATAGACAAAGATAAGCTGGGGCATTCGAGTCTTACACGAGTCGAACTTCCCTAACCTCTCCCCCTCTACAAGCCAAATATGTCATTTTAATTAAGTCTTAAAGTAAAAAAAATATATCATGAGCATTTCAGAGAAAAAAAATAACACTCACATTTTGGATCAGATCCATCTGGACTGCTAAATCCAGCATCTTTTGCGGAGACCCAAGCTGCAAAGCAGTCACTCTCATCTAAAGTAATTGTTAACATCTGCCAAAAAAAGAGGATGACATAATATAAATACTGTTTTAGGAGTAAAACCTTGTTCTGAGGATTCAAACACACGCAAAGCTTTGGCAAGATTATATTAACATTTCTGCATTAAGATTCTGAGTTGCGGCTTTCACGAGTTCCTGTCCATAGGGGAAAGAGGGAAGCAAAGTAGGAAAACACCAATCAAAAGGCAAGAAAGGCAGGGAAGTTCCACGCATGCAAGAATCTTCTTAAGGTTGACATGGTTTGATTAGCTGTTCTAAAACAGTGGTCCCCAACCTTTTTTTGATCAGGGACCACTTTGACCAGGGACTGCTCTCCAATATTAGTACCAAAAGGATTATGAATCGTTTTTTGGTCAACTTAGATTCAGGTTGGTTATTGGGGTGCTGATTCAAAAAATTGCATTGGATAGACCATATCAGCTCTAGTTTCTGATACAGAACATATGCAATCCAGTAGTCGCCATCTGCTTGCCCACAGAAAACCATATTTAATAAGCCTCGGCACTATAAGAGGGATTTATGAGACTAGTCACTCTTGTTGCAATGGTATAGTAACGGTGAGGCTGTGGAGCATATTTTAGTTCTTGCAGACCACTGGTGGTCCACAGTCCACAGGTTGGGAACCAATGCTCTAGACCAAGAACAATTCTTCTTGAGCATCATTTTGCAACCTGGTTAACTCCCTACTAATATTAATTCCCTTTGGAGAAATGGCTCTTGCTTAGTCAGCAGCAGATTATACTGTTCACAGGAAAATCATAACTTATTTGATATTTTAATATTAAATACCAGAACAGTCAACTGAAGCCCTTTAAAAACAACAAACTAACATTAAATTCTCAATGTAAGATAAGAAGGCTGCCTTTTCTGTGCACAAAAGATGACGTGCAATGTAGCTTATCGGGGTGCCGATTCGGTTTTGTTGTTTGGGCTTGGCCTCATATAAGCCACCCCAAGTCCCTATTGGGGAGATGGTGGCGGGGTATAAATAAAGTTTATTATTTATTATTATTAATTAGCTGATAAAAATAAAGGGATATAAATAAAGATGATGATGATTATTATTATTATTGATAAGAGCTAAGCTAAGACTAGATAGTTTCTTCTTCATTCCATCATGAATTTTACTGAATGACCCCTGAAAGTTCACACTCTTTCATCCTGAACTTCCTTGCAAGAAAAAAGGCTTTGTGTGGAGGGAACAACAACTAGATACGTTGCCTGAAGTGCCTTGCTGGGTGGGTGGGACATGACTCCAATTGGACCAACAAAAAACCCCCAAATCATGTAATGTCAAACTATGGTTCTAACGAACTTATATGGTGTGACTTACCCCTGTTTTTAAGTCTACTGAAAACCAATTTGGCACATAGACCATTTTGAACCTTTTCTTAATTTCTTCTTCAAAGTCCACCTTCCCAAGGTCTTCTACTTTACATGCCTGTATATTAAAAATAAAATAATAATTGTTATTTGGTATGGAAATATCATATATAATTGTTGCCGCTGTGCACTTTCAAGTCAGAACAAAGGCAAACCCTCTCTGAACAAATCTTTCCAATAAACCACTCAAGGAGTTTTACTGGCAAGATTCATTCCAGAGGGAATTGCCTTTGCCTCCCTCTGAGGCTGAGAATACTTCCAAAAGAAAGCATAAAGCAATGGCATGATTGTATCTTGTATTTTCTCAGAATGCCTCTGGGGCCCATACAGAACCACAGGTCAAAAGAGTAGAGCCAAAGATCAGTGAGTTGCTTTAGAGGATCTTATCCTCTAACTTTAAAAAGTTTTTTTAAAAAATTATAAGGGCCAAGAAGCTTGGAAAGGAACAAAATATTGACATCAATAGAGAATTACTCTACTTTGTAGCAAACTTAAGAGTAATGCAATCCAGGCAACAATTTTCACCTACCTTCAACACATCCCAGTATGCCACATTGTTGTTCGTGTCTTTGGTTAATATGTGTCTTTTGTCATTGAGAATGTGGCACTGAATAATACTAGCACCCCCTAGGAAGAAAGAGTATCATATGATTTAGACAATCCATACAAATCAAACACAGGAAGAAATATCAAAACACCAGGAGAAACGTAGTAGAGGAAAAAATGGAGAAAACTCAGTTTGAAATCTCTGTAAAGCTCAGCTATAAAAGGAGGAGCAAGTTTTTTTTTCTGTGTCAGGAGCAACTTGAAAAACTGCAACTCATTTCTGGTGTGAGAGAATTGGCCATCTGTAAGGACATCAACTGGATGTTTTTATGTTTTATTATCCTTGTGGGAGGCTTCTCTCATATCCCCGCATGGGGAGCTGGAGCTGGGAGAGGGAGCTCATCCGTGCTCTCCCTGGATTCAAACCTCTGACCTGTTGGTCTTCAGTCCTGCCGGCACAAGGGTTTAACCACGGTGCCACCGGGGTCTCCGGGAGGAACAGGTGTTTTGCATTAGAGCAATATTCCCAAGTAATTAGCCCAGTACTATACTTACCTTTAATCACTTGGTCCGGCTGTGTGCAAAGGGGTGTGATAGGATTGCTACAGTCATTGTCATAGTCACCTGATGCTCTGAAGTTGTGAACCCCCTTCAAAGTCTATAAATGAAAGTTGGGGTGGGGGAAGAGAAGAGGATGGATAATTAGAGCCCATTGCAAGGTATGAAGACAGTTCTCCTTTGTCTCTTCCCCTTCTTCAAAAAATCACAGACTCCACTTCTGTATAAACAGGACTTTCCCTTAAAGCCTTTACTACTTAGCTGACATGACATTGGTCGATTTAGAATGCATGGCACGGGACGAGGCTAATTTGAATTACAATGTGAAATAATCGCAGGAGGCCGAAACATAGTCCAGTTTATGTCAGATCCTACTGTCCATGGTACATGAAGCTGAAAGATCGGTATATTCAATGTCTATTTTGGTTGCATATACCTCTGCATTTTAACTCTGTGAGTTTTCCTAAACTAAAGACTACCAAACATCAGTGTTAGGAAAGATACCTGTATGTATCTCTATATAGATATATGCAGCTGCCTAAATACCCTAAAGCAGTGTTTCTCAACCTGGGGGTCAGGACCCCTGGAGGGGTCACGAGGGGGTGTCAGAGGGGTCGCCAAAGACCATCAGAAAACACAGTATTTTCTATTGGTCATGGGGGTTCGCTGTGCCAAGTTTGGCCAAATTCTATCATTGGTGGGGTTCAGAATGCTCTTTGATTGTAGGTGAACTATAAATCCCAGCAACTACAACTCGCAAATGTTAAGGTCTATTTTCCCCAAACTCCACCAGTGTTCACATTTGGGTATTCATGCCAAGTTTGGTCCAGATCCATCATTGTTTGAGTCCACAGTGCTCTCCGGATGTAGGTAAACTACAACTCCAAAAGTCAATGCCCACCAAAACCTTCCAGTATTTTCTGTTGATTGTGGAAGTTTTGTTTGCCAAGTTTGGTTTAATTCCATTGTTCATGGAGTTTAGAATGCTCTTTGATTGTAGGTGAACTATAAATCCCAGCAACTACAACTCCCAAATGACAGAATCAATCCCCCCCCCAACCCCACCAGTATACAAATTTGAGCATATTGGGTATTTCTGCCCAATTTGGTCCAGTGAATGGAAGTACATCCTGCATTTCAGATATTTATATTATGATTCATAACAGTAGCAAAATTACAGTTATGAAGTAGCAACAATTAATGTTATGGTTGGGGGTCACCACAACATGAGGAACTGTATTAAAGGGTCGCGGCATTAGGAAGGTTGAGAACCACTGCCCTAAAGGCATCATATCCAATATGAAGCAAAGCAAGATCAGCTCTGGTTAGTATTTGGATAGGAAACCACTTTCAGTGAAAGGAGCTAGCAAAACCATCTAAATATTCGTCTATGAAATTAATGGGATTGTCATAGGTCAACAGGAAATTTGAAGGTATGCACTCATATACATATATAAATAGTTCTATAATAAAGAGTCACATTTTAAACAGTCCTCACCCATTTATTCACAGAAGACTTAGTTGTTGCAACCCAAAGAGCTGGAGGAGGATCCACTGATCGATCTAACTCCATCTGAGTGACCAAGAAATCCAATATTAGGACAATCTGCTGGTCCATATTAGGAACATAAGTATTAAGAGGCAATACACTCCATCATAGAATTAAGCTTTAGGTCAGAAGAGAGGAAGAGGCAACAGCATCAAGTTTCCATTTGCAGTGTTTTAAAGGAAACAGGATGTGTACATACATAGATACAGCTGGTGATACTTTATAACACTACTGTATCCTCACAAAAATACACTATATGCAGTCGCCGAATTACAAACATCTGATTTACAAACAGCTCATAGTTATAAACCGGGTTGAGACAACAGGAAGTAAAAGAAATCTACCCCTCAGAAGGGAAATTCACTCCTGGAAGAGTTATTATCACAAAGCTTTATCACCAATCCTTATTTCCACAACAACAAGCCATTTTTTTCCAAAATCCAGTAATCTGAGGGTCAGAAAATGAAGTGAAATATTCTGAACAGAGGCACAGACAGCAAATGAAACATCACATGGGGTGTTAGCCCTTCCCTATGCCATCCAAAGAATATATACTTAGTGAGAGTTAGACTTAAAAAAATGTACCTGTTCCGACTTACATGCAAATTCAACTTAAGAACAAACCTACAGAACCTATCTTGTTCATAACCTGGGGACTGCCTGTAATTTCGCAGATAAGATTTTTCCATACCCTCCATCTCAGAGGCTGGTAGACATAGGACTTGTACTGTAATACTGAACACATCTGAAGGTTGATATAGTTCCAAAAATAACAGTGTTCTACAGGAATATATCTAAATGGACAGAATATCTATCTACCAACGTAACGACACAAATTACAGTTCTAGATTTTGGACAATACTGAAAATATCATTTGTTATGAAAATAGTCTTCCCTGGTTATATAACATTTTGGCAGACATGTACTGCATAAATATTATTAAATTTCCAGCAACATTTTCATTGGTATCAAAAATAAGAAAACAAAGTTTGCTAAACGTGAAGACAACAACAACAACAACAACAACAATGGACAACACCATTTTGGCAGACATGTACTGCATAAAAATGATTAAATTTCCAGCAACATTTTCACTGGTATCATCAACAAGAAAACCAAGTTTGCTAAACGCCACGACAACAACAACAGTAATAGACAACACCAGAGAAGAAATCACTACAATTATTTATACTTCACCTTTTTACTGATTCAATACTGCCAACAATGAAAGCCAATCATCAAATACTTTTTTGACAAATGCTCCTCAAAACATATTATTCATTTTGACAACACCCATCCATGACGGCCAGAAGCAAAAGATGGTCAAAGCTCTTCTGCCAGAAAACCTCACCAAGCATCATAATAAGGAAAAAAAAGATATGCTACCTTAAGAACTGGTGCCTTTTCTTCACAAATCAGCACTCGGATATCTGGGTTGCGTAAATCTGTACAATATATCTTTCTGTCTCTTCCACCTGAATAAACGTGAGTGAAGGCTTCATTGACTTGCAGTGCCCATACACCTTCGTCATGGACTCTGTACGTAGCTATACACCTTTGCTGACCAAGCGACCAGAGTCTGATAGTGCCATCAGAGCTGCCAGAAAGACACTGAAACAAGAACAGTAATTAAACTCAAAGTCATTATATTTCCAGCTGCAGCTCTTTGAAGCCGCTGTGTGCATATATATATATATATATATATATATATATATCTCTCAAAACTTTGCTCTGCTATTCCAGTTGGCTATTAAAGACGTCAAAAACTTATCACATTACAAAATAGGAGCTTTCAAAAGAACCCTAGGATGTGTGCTTTGTACTCTGTATAAAAAACATAAAAAACCATTAGCAATATCAAACACATACCTGTGTGCCATCTCTGTTCAAGAGCAAAGCTTTAACGTTGTCAGTGTGTCCCTTCAGTTTCATAAGCTTTGCACAAGTTCTTGGATCCCACACCCTTAAAACCTGTTGAAGAAAAATATTCCCCATAAATCAATGTAACTCCTGAAGTAAAGAAAACCTAATCTCTAACTTTCTTCCTAATATTTTAATTATTAAGAAGCTTTTAATATGTCAGTTCTAGTTTGGCCTCTTGAATTAGCAATACTTATTCAAATGGTACAAAACAATAAAACATTTAATTACCCATTCTGGAATTATCATCCTGAATGGTTATGAAATTTTCAAAGCTCCTTTTAGCAATTTTTTTTTTTTTTTTGCAGAAGTCCAGCCCCACTTCCCTTTTTCTTGTCTAACATCCAGCTCTTGTTGAGCTGGATGTTTCTGGCCGCATTGGCATTAGGAGAGTGGTGGACTGTTGCAATGTGTCTGGGAAAGAATGGGATTCTCTAGGTGTCCCTACTTTAGATATTCGTGTTTATGTAGCACAGGCAAGAAAACAGCTGTGAACAGAGTCATGCATGTAGCATGTGTGAAGGGCAAAATAAAATGGATGAAAAGGGAACAGAAGATTAGGCTGCATCACCACCTATCCCAAAATGTTGAAAAAACACTGATTTATTTATTTATTACTGTATTTATATATGGCTTTTCTCATCCCAGGGGGGACTCAAAGCGGTTAACCACAAATAATGGAAAAATTCAATGCCTCACATACATATAAACCAAATCATAGATCTAAATAAAACATATAACTAAGCATTAAAATCAGTAAGATAATTAAATATATAAGATAAAACAATTAGATGTGAAGACATAAAAATTAAAACCACCTAATAAAAACATTAAAATCACATGATCCAAACTCGTAGACTGGGGCCATTCCAAATGTCAATTGCACATATTCCATATTTGTTTATTGTACTGTGTTTCTTTACTAGCCAAAAGCTTGTTTCCATAACCATGTCTATTTTCTTTCTGAAGGCCAGAGGGAGGGCACTGATCTAATCTCAATGATTTCCAGAGCCAAGGAGCCACCACTGAGGAGGCCTTGTCTCTTGCCCCCACCAATTGAACTTGGGAAGCAGGTGGGACAGAAAGCAGGGCTTCCCCATGAGGTCTTAACCTCCGTGATGGCTCATAGAGGAAGATACGTTCGAACAGGTAAGCTGCACCGGAACCATTTAGCGATTTATAGGCTAAAGCCAGCACTTTGAATTGTGCTCAGTAGTAGACTAGCAGCCAGTGGAGTATAGTGATATAACAGTGGGGCTGTGTGCTCCCTGTACACCGTTCTGGTGAGGAATCTGACTGCTGCCCGATGGACCACTTAGAGCTTCCAGTCTTCAAAGGGCAACCCCCATAAGTTTCATTAGTATAATCCGTAAGTTTCATTAGTATAATGAAATTCATAGTAAAAGTGGGGGTTATTGGAAGTGGGAAAAACACATCATTAGGGAAGAAACTTCAAAGTATCTCTTAGAGATTCAAAATATCTTTGTTTACTTATGTAAGGATAATTCAATTTGGTTGTTTCATTTCATATGGGGCAACATGTGCTTTACCAAGGAGCTCTTTGCACAGTAGAAAGGAGACCAAAATAGGAGGCATAGCCATGGTAGATGCAATAACACTTTCTCAGCAGTTCAGGAAGAAATGTTGTCATTATAAAGTCTGCAGATCACAAAAACTTTTAATGATCACAGTGTGTACCAGGCTGAATCCAACCAAATCTGCAAAGTGGAAATGTTTCATATAGTTCATATGTATGAGTCGTGATAGAGAAGTTTTCACATCTAAAAAATGGCACACTAAAGCTTAAGAGCAAGGATGGGAAATCCTCCCCACAATTACTGGGGGGGGGGGGGGGGGGGGGGGGAGATGGACGCTTACTAGCAATAGAGTGGGCATAATTCCATTTTTCCTTCTCTCTTCTGCCCGCCTTGCTTTTTGTACTTGCCCACTCCATTCACACCTCACTCCTGAGCAAAACTGTTATTCCCACAGGCTCCTGTTATATATTCAATGGAATCTTACTGCCCACTTACTGCTAAGGACACGATGAACAAGAAGGCTCTAATGTTCCCCCTTCATCATCCTCTTCCCCCAATTTGGAGAAAGCAGCTGAGCAGCAGAACAAGAAAGCCTGGGAAATTGCTACTTAGCCAAGCCTCAGCTTCCTTGCATTTAAACTACTTCCTACCAAGAAGCTAAACAATATACCTGCAATATGAATTTAAATCCCTGCAATGCTCTGGTGATCAGTGGGAAATAGCTTGGTCTGTGTAGAAGAGAGGACCAGGCCTGACGGTAGAGGCCAATGGGTTGATGATCAAAACATACGAGTAGCAACGAGTCACAATTTCCCCATCCCAGCTTCTGAATTTCTTCAGGAATTATCTACAAACCACGCCAGCAAGGTGTTGGAATCTTGTTTACCTTTTCAGTGGACCCTGATACAATTACTGTTCCCATCTGATTCATGGCAAGACTGTAGATAGAATCTTTGTTTCCACTGAGGGAAGAAGCTAATGAAAATAAAGGCAATTCAATTTTGGATACAGTTTTTCAAGAGGAATAACATACACTTCAAGTATTTAATGACAAAGTTAAAGGTATAGCTATTGAGTAAAATAAAATTAATTCACTGCTTGTAATATGTTAAAATATTCAATTTCAGCAACTGTTCAACCAGAAGAATGCTCTCTATAATGTGTCTTCCCATCCATGATTTAAGTGTGGGTGAAATGCCATTCCATTATGTCAGCACACTTAAAGAAATCCAGAATCTTAGGAGTTATAAAGAGCTATTTTACATTAGAAGGCACATATAGATTCCATACCAATGGGATGGGGAATGTAGTGTGTACCCTTCTACATGAAAAGGCAGTAATCATTTACCACAATACCCCTAAATACTAAACACTTCTGAATGGATAGCAAATCCTTCACCTTTCTCCACAAATTAACTGACCTGGGAATCACTCAAAATAACCACATGGGTTTCTGCGGAAAAAAATATTGCCTCATATTCCAGGAATGTATAACTCTTTTAGGTCTCACGTTTTAATGGTACATCTTTCACTACTTTTCAAAATACCAAATTACACTTAGTACTTGTTTTAAAACTGACCTAGCATACCCTTCAAATACCTATGGACACCATTTCCAATTGTTTGAGGATACTTATTATATGATACACTGCTCCTTTTTAGTGAACTACACACTGCTCTAAAATGGCTCTAATACTATCTAACAACTTTTTATACATTATTCAACTGAATGGAAGAAAGAAATCAGTACAAACAAATTGCTGACTGGCAAAATCTTCTCCAAATAAGGCAAAACATGTTTGTATGGATTCCACTTATACTTTAATTCATGTGTATACTTACTTGTGACAGTGTTATTTGAGGCAGTCAGTGCTGTTAATGTATTTACATCCCAGAGGAATATCTGTCTGTCCAACCCAGCTGATGCTACTAATTCTTTATCTTTTGCATATGCTAAGGCTTTCACATAATCCTGCAATAAAGTATGTAGACAAATGTAACTAAATGGAAGTAGTATGACGTATGCAACTTTTAACAGTCTTTGATTTGACAACAGCAATTGTTACTTATTGAACTATGTACATTACCTTATGGGTCCTTAGCGTTGACATGCAAAATCCTTTATGCGCATTCCATACTTTAACAGTAGTGTCAGATGAAGCAGATATCACTGTAAGGAAAGTGTCACTGAGTTTATATCTCAGCAATAATACAAAAAATATCAAAACTAGAACTGGAATTCTGTGTTATTGGCAAGCAACTTCATGTTTAAACATTACTACACTAGAATACACACAAAAATATAGAAGACCTGGAGAAACCAACAAATGGACAAAAAACAGAACATTGAAAATTTCCCTTCCCAGCTACTGTAAAGGTAAAGGTAAATATAGTTGTTTCGTAAGATACTCTCATCAATATAGCTACCAATTAATGCTACATTTCTGGTTATTTTTTAAGTGTTGTACTCAGTATGTTTTTTTTACTACCCCAACTCTGGAACTCATTGCCCGGAGAGATTAGGAAAGCCCCCACCTTAGAAACCTTTAAAAAGAACCTTAAAACCTGGCTATTCCATTGTGCCATTGGAGAGTAGTCACACAACCTTAAACTATTGCTCCACTCAACGCTATTGTCCTTGGAGTATGCCTGTTTTGTACAACCCCGTTTCTCCATGAGCTCTCCCTCACAAATCTGCTCCTCTTTTATCACACCCTGAGTTTTAGCATTTTGTCTTGTACATGCAGCCCACTCATTGTCATTGTGATTGTGGATATTGTATTTGTATATTGCTTATTGTATGCATATGTTTTATGTATTTTATTGTGTTGATGTTTGTGTTGGTTTTTATTTTATTTTAATTTGCTGTTTGGGCTTGGCCCAAAGTAAATCACCCCGAGACCCCGAGATGGTGGCGGGGTATAAATAAAGTTTATATTATTATTATTATTATTATTATTATTATTATTATTATTATTATTATTATTATAGGTTTATCTTGCAAGTTTCATTTTACTGTATTTTTCACAGGAATTGTAAAAAGCTTTTCATACTTTTGTGAAGCAGTATGTCTATTCAGCTAACCTACTTTATATGGTTATTCTTTAAGTCTAGAAAGGTTGCGAGTGATCTGTTCTGAGAATATTGAATATTAGGATATATGAAGAAAGATGCAAGTAACAACTCACATGCTGTTTAAAAAGTTACTTACAGGTTTTGCCATTACAACAGAGTACAATGTCATTCACCCAGTCTGTATGATGTTCCATAGAAGCTATATAGGGGTCTTGCTGGAATTAAAAAAAATATATTGTAAGTTCCTGCTCCTATTTCACAGGAAATCTCGAGTCCAACTGTAACTTCAGTCAATCTCCTGAGGTTACTTGTGACCTCTATATTTCAGTACAATTATTTTTCAAAGCAAGTTGAATGAACAAACCTTAATTAGTACATTTGGGAAAGAAGCCAGACATGATATCCCACTATATTACTGCCAGTATTTTAAAAAACCACATCCCAACTCTAAAAAAGCAGATGACTCTGCACATCTACAGGGCTTCTTCTGGGAACTGGTCTATTTCCTATCAGTCAGCTCACAAAACCACTGTAGCTTCTTTCAGTTCCTGATGGTCATCTTCAAAAGCATATAACCCACAATCCCAGAAGATGTCAGGTGAAAGAGTACTAAGTAAGCTTATAAAGTGCTTGAAAAATGTAATAGTTAATATTGATTTTAATGTTTGTTTTTAATCACTGCCTATTTTGACTACCTCCAACATTCTAAGGATTATTATTCACACAAAAAATAATATGTGGTATACCTTGTGCTGGTTGACACTCCATATCCTGATGATGGAGTCTCGGCCTGCTGTAAAAAGTCTATTTAATGCTGGGTCCAGCTGCAGTGCATTTACTCCATTCCGATTATACTTCTCCACCTCATCTCTAATTACATAGGAGACCTAAAATGTGTTGACAGAAATCCAAATAAAACATTAAGAAGCAACAGAGATGCATTTCACTCCACCCCATTTGTTCTCACACTTTCCATTTGTTCCAACAGTATAAAGCCTTTATGGCATTCTAACCCATTCACACAAATAACAGACGAACTGAGATACTTTAAAATTGTCACAAGATAGTAAGATATCCACATTAAAGTGAGGGAAGATTACTCACTTCCTCAGTTTTGAGGCATACATCACCAAAAGTAGATCGACACATTTTACAAAAGCGCCATAGTTTATAAAAATGACAGCTCGAGAAAGACGCTTGATGAATGGAATATTTTGCATTAAACAAGAACCCAATCATGTCAATTCATTATATGCTGCATGACCATACAAATTTGCTCTTTAAAAGTGGAGTGTGAAGGATCCACGCCCCCATGGCTGAGTAATATGGGCATTATGCAGTCTCACTATATGTTTCTATGGACACTGCCACAGAAACACATTCAAGAGGATGGCAGCAAAAAGCAGCCATTTCATATTAAAAGAGGGAAAGTGGGGAGCACATAACAAAAATGATTTGCACTCTGAAAAGTCAGTAATCAGACTTTGCTCCTTTGCATATTGTATAGACTGGAGGTTTGGGGAGACCCTGAGCAACATGCCTTCTTATGGGCATGGTCCCCTCATTATTTCTGCAATGCACTAGGCACTAACAAAATAGGCCAAAACCTATTTTTCTCTCAAGTACCCCATTTAGGACCACTCCCTCCTGAAAACCTATTTTCATATGATGCTGCAAATCTCATACATTCTCTTCAGAATTCTCTTTCCCCTCGATACCAATTCCTCTTTATGTTCAAGCAATTTTTATTTTTCCAAGTTATTGAAGTTAGCTACTGAGAGCCAACAAGTTGTTGTTTGAGCACAGGATTACGACTCTGAAGACCAGGATATGAATCCCTGCCGAGTCATGGAAACTCACTGGGTGACTCTGGGCAAGTCATATTTACAAGAAAGCAAAGGCAAAACCCCTTCTGAACAAATCTTGCAAAAATACCCTGTGAAAGGCTTTCTCAATGCTGCTCTAAGTCAGGAAAAAAATCCTGAAGGCAGACAACAACTGCTTTGGTACATCCCACTCGTCATATGGACTAATTTCGTATTTTAGTCTTCACGGTTTCAGTTCCATAGAAGCTGGCAACTGTGTCCAATCATAAGAGCAACATTATAGCTCTTTAACAATGTCAAACCAGATTCCTCAGGCTCTAAGCAGAATTTATACATTATAGGAACAATCAATTTCCACAATGGCAAGGATCATTGGAAGAGGAAATTTTGCTGTGGTTCACATAAATTCTCATCGTGGAAAGATCATGTATTTAGGCATTAAAGGAATTGTTTAACCCTCCCCCTGCCCACTGAACATATTTCAAACTTTACTTCTTTTGTGCAGCAAAAGTGGTTTATATAGGTCAGACTTCCAAAGATGTGAAAAAAGCATTCTGAAAGCAGATGGTACTCATACATATATAACCCACTCAATTTCCATGCAAATCTACCAGCAAAAATTTGGAATTCATGTGTCTTAATTTTCAATACTACATAGAACAAAACATCTATATCTGCTTTCTAGGACTAAGTGGGATATGTAAATCAATTCTTTCCCGCATACAGTAATGCTCTAGAAAGTACATGGCTGCAACATCTCAGGTTACTTATAATCAACAATCAATGCTATATTTATTACTGATTAAGATCAAGACCAATTTCAGCAATTTAGTACAATTTGAATTCCATGTACAATTTTAAATGCAAAACTATTTTAAAAGCATGGTTTCTTTAAAAACATACTCTAATTAGTAGTTCTTCAATAACTGTTTACATAATATGATATAATACAATTAAAAAATTTGAAAGAGAATGCTGATTTTCAAGAGACAATTCCCTCTAGATAACTGATAGTATAAACAATCCTGGAGCACTGACGGGGTATTGATGAAAGCTGGTTTCAGCATCACTTTGTCACCATCTAGAAAAAAATAAAGTGTCATGTTGTAGGGATTTGTATGTTGGATTTAGTTTTCTTGGGCTGGTCTGTGAGGTCACGAAGAGTCGGAGACGACTGAACGAATGAACAACAACAATGTTGGATTAAGAAACTGAGAGACCAGACTCTGAACCTTCCATGGCCACAGAAATCCACTGAGTGTCCTTGAGCAAGTCACACTCTCAGCCTCAGAGGAAGGCAAAGGCAATCCTCTTGGAAAAGGTTTTGCATGGACAACCCTGTCATGGCTTCGCTTTGGAGTCACATAAGTCAGAAATTACTTGAAGATACACAGCTAGAACAGAGATGGGCAACTGTGGAAAGTTAAGAGGCCTCAAAAACCCCTTTCTCAACAAACTTTGCACAGCTGCACATCTCCAGAGAACCTAGTCCATTTTTGCCCCTAAACACCATCTAAAGGGCAATTCCATCATGTTTGGAGCATTCCAGGGCCATTTAAGACCCCAGAGAGAGCTTTTCTAACAATGTAAAGTGAAGTCATTTTATCCACATTTCCTGTTTCAAAAAGAGTTTCTCTTGGGCCTAGGCTGCCCCAAAATGTGATGGAAATAGAATCTTTCACCCCTAATGGATATTTTGGGACAATATTTAGACCTCTGGGCAACGCAGGGACCTCCAATCATTTGGAAATGACTTTCCTTCTCTCACTTTGGATGGATGTCAAATTTCCCTGAGAACATTATCTGTTTTGAGGGTCCTTTTATACACACTGTAGAGATCTGTAAGAAATACTCTTCATTAACTTCTTTCTGCATATTCATGTGATACAGTTCTAAATGATATATTTTGTTATTGATTCATTAATAATTATTTCATAATTTTCTTATATCCAGCAGTTTTGGAATACAGGTGGGAGAAAAAGGAATAAAATGCTATGTGATAGCAGCCATAGCAGAAGCTAGAACTGGCAGAATGTTACCACCTTCTTGATGCAAAATAGGAGAAATTACGAAGTCCAGACTACTTGTCAAACATTTGTGTTTTCCTTCTACATGACATCAAAATTTACAGTTTCACACAAGTAACTAAATTCCATATATCTGCCACACAACTTTTGGAGGCTTTTAAAGGGAAATACTTCTTTGATTTGAAAAAGATGTAGACAGATTATTACTCATTCTAATGTGCTATCTACTAATAAGCTTTATAGATACAATTACCTCTACAGCACTGTACTATATAATATGGACAGAGGCCATAAGTCCACTTATTCCAGCATAAATGCCACAACAATGCAACAAATGGCTGCTGATGAGTAGAAGTAGCATCAACAGCAATGTGCAATTTGCTAACTATTGGGATGAAACTCCAAGAAGTCGCATGCTCATTTAAAAAATGCTAGAAAGATTCAGATGCAATGCTTTGGTCAGCAATTCAATTTTACTGGAGCAATTTTACTGGAGCAGCAAGTTGGAGCTAAAGATAAGCCCAAGGCTCAAGCAGATGCAAGACTCTTGTAGAAACTACTCTGAAAAAGTCATTTTCTAATGAGATAGTACTTTAAGTTAAAGTCCTAATCAGATGGGCTTCCCTATGAAGGATATTCCACAATGTATACATACATATGTACATGTACACACACACACAAACAAGGGTGGATCAAAAATCTTTTGCCTCCTGTGTCATACAAACGTTATGAATAAACATATAAAGCAAAGTAGCTACAGATCATAGCCTGAACTATTCTTTGTGCAAAACTACACTTCAACATAGTCACCATCAATTTGTACACACTTGAGCCATTGTTTAACCCAGGCATCAAAACTATTTTGGAAAAAATCAGGGTTTTGCTTCATGACCCATGATTTTAAAGCTGTTTTGACATCATTCAAGTCACTGAATCTGAATCCATGTAGGTTGTCTTTTTGGACCTTCCTTCTCGGTGGCAAATGCCCCTCGACTCGAGAACTCCCTTTTTCCCAGGGAAGCCAGAAATGCCCCCCTTCCTGCTAACCTTCAGGTGGCAGGCTAAAACCTTTTTATTGATGCAGGCTTTTAAAGAAGGTATTTAAGATTTTTGGAGGCTGCTGTGATGGTGGGGAGGAGAGAGAGCGCCTTCTTGGTGGTGGCCCCTCATCTCTGGAACTCCCTTCCCAGAGAGATAAGGCTGGCACCCTCCCTATTCACGTTTTGTAAGGAACTAAAGACGTGGATGTTTCGTTGTGCATTTGATTAAACAACTCCCTTGAGTGTTGGCTCTAATCAATGGCCTAAATAGGCTATGTGACTGTACCTTGCTGATGCACTTTTTAAAAGTTATAATGTCCCTGTTATAATCTGCACTATTCTTATATTGCCACGCAATCTATGCACTTTTCTGATTAGCCTTTTTTTCTAACCTGTTTGCACCCCAGCCCGTCTCCCACAATGAGACTTGAAGTATGTCCTTGGTTGTTGCTTATGATGGTTGCTTTATTATTGGTATAATGTAGTTTTTATGTAGTTTTATATTACTGTTATATTTTATATGCTATGTTTTAACGCTGTGTTACTGGGCTTAGCCCCATGTAAGCTGCCCCACGTCCCTTCAAGGAGGTGGAGGCAGGGTATAAAAATGAAGTTGTTAGTGTTGCTATTATTATTATTATTATTATTATTATTATTATTATTATTATTTTACTGACACAAAACCACAGTATGTCACAGCAAATGAGATATATATGCTGGATTTCGTATCACAAAATCACAAGTCGAACACTTCCCAAGTGTCTAGGACTGTGTGATGTATTTTCGGATAATGTGCGCAGATCCAAGTCAGGTGGCCTTTTGCAGTTGACAGATTGTGATTTTGTCAATGTTTATTGTTTCCAAATGCCAGCTGAGATCTTTTGGCATGGCACCCAGTGTGCCAATGACCACTGGGACCACCAGTACTGGTTTATGCCAGAGCCTTTGCAGTTTGATTTTGATCCTGATAACGGCTGAGTTTTTCCTGTTGTTTTTCCTCAATTCGACTGTCACCTGGTATGGTGACATCAATAATCCAAACTTTTTTTCTTTTCCACAATCATGATGTCTGGTGTATTGTGTTACAAAACTTTGTCAGTCTGGATTCGGAAGTCCCACATTATTTTTGCATGTTCATTTTCCACTACCTTTGCAGGTTTATGATCCCACCAATTCTTTACTACTGGTAGGTGGCACTTGTGACATAAGTTCCAGTTAATAATTTGGGCAACAGAGTTGTGCCTCTGTTTGTAGTATTATTATTATTATTATCGAGCCAACCTTAAGAAATGGGGCCACAAAGTGGGGTCCAAGACATGCGAGAGCGCAGAAGAGAAAATCACAGACCACCTACTACAATGCAGCCTGAGCCCTACTGCATGCACAATGGAGGACCTTCCTATAGCAACACCAGAGGCACTCCAAATGGCCAGCTACTGGTATAATACCAAGGTTTTGTTTTTTAAAAAAAAACACAAAAAACTTTGTTTCTTAAATACATTACAACTCTACCCTCGGTTCACTTCTGATATGATAGATACAATAATCGCAAGGTGAAAATCCAAAGTGTTTGTACTACTGGCATGGGCAAACTTTGGCCCTACAGGTGTTTTGGACTTCAACTCGCACAATTCCAAATTGTGTGAGTTGAAGTCCAAAACCCCTGGAGGGGCAAAGAGAGAAGACCTCCAATTGAGGATTTGGTAAAAGGTTGATTCCCCCTCCCTTTAAAGGAGCAGCCACTATTTGTTCGTCCTTGTTGGCAGCTTGGGTGTCCTCCTAGACTCATCGCTAATGCTTGAAGCTCAGATGTTGGCGGTGAGGGCCTTCACACAATTAAAACTTGTGCACCAGCTGCGACCGTACCTCATGAAGTCGGATCTGGCCATGGTGGTCCATGCCTTTGTCACCTCCAGAATGGATTACTGCAATGAACTCTACATGGGGCTGCTTTTGAAGACGGCTTGGAAATTTCAACTGGTTTAACAGGCTGCAGCCAGGCTACTAACTGGAGTGACTTACAGAGAGCGGTTAACCCCCCTGTTTAAAGAGCTCCGTTGGCTGCCTTTCATTTCTGGTCCCAATTCAAGGTGCAGGTTCTTACCTACAAAGCCCTGAACAGTTTGGGACCCGCCTACCTGTGCAAACACATTTCTGTTTATGAACCCACGCGATCTCTTCGTTCATCTGTGGAGGCCCTGCTCTCACTCCCACCCCCTTCGCAGGCGCGATTGGTGGGGACGAGGGAGAGGGCCTTCACTATGGTGGCTCCCTGACTCTGGAATTCTCTACCTAAAGATATCAGACAAGCTCCCATCTTGGCAGTCTTTAGGAGGAGACTGAAAACATGGCTGTTCCAATGTGCCTTCCCTGAATGAAGAAAATAATGCCTGATCTGACCAATTTCCTTCCATATATCCTCTGAAGCACTTTATCTATCTGTTGGATTGATCCCCCCCATATCACTCTTTAAAAACCCCCATGCCTAGACATACCCTACACTGTACACATCCAGGGTTTTAAAATTTTAATCTACATCTGGTCTTGCAATAATGCTTTTAAATCTTTTGTGTGCTATCGCTTATACGTTTAACTGTATTATTTATATTGTTTTATTTGCTTGCTTGTTTATTGATGTATTGTTGTATTTGTATGTGACGGACTTGTCCTCATGTAAGCTGCTGAGTCCCTTCAGAGAGATGGTGGCGGGGTATAAATAAAGTTGTTGTTGTTGTTGTTGTTGTTGTTGTTGTTGTTGTTATTATTATTATTATTATTATTATTATTATTATTATTATTATTATTAGCTGTCCCCTGCTACACATTGCTGTGGCCCAGTCTGTATATAAGTGTTTTGTGTGTGTGTATATGTGTTTATATATTTGTGTATCTCTGTGTGTATATATTTCTGTGTTTATGTGTGTATATGTATATTTTGTATATGTGTGATTGTCTATATGCATATTTGTGTTTATATATGTGTGCATGTGTATATTTGTGTGTGCATATGTATATATGTGTGTATGTAGATGTATGTGTGTGTATATGTGTGTGCTTGTGTGTACACGTGTATGTATGTGTGCATGTGTATATGTACATGAGTGTGTGCATGTGTGTGTATATATATATGTGTGTGTGTGTGTAGGATACAAGCACTTTATCTATCTGTTGGATTGATCCCCCCCATATCACTCTTTAAAAACTCCCATGCCTAGACATACCCTACTCTGTACACACCCAGGGTTTTAAAATTTTGATCTACATCTGGCCTTGCAATAATGCTTTTAAATCTTTTGTGTGCTATTGCTTATATGTTTAACTGTATTATTTATATATTTTTATTTGCTTGCTTGTTTGTTGATGCATTGTTGTATTTGTATGTGACGGACTTGTCCTCATGTAAGGTGCCCTGAGTCCCTTCGGAGAGATGGTGGCAGGGTATAAATAAAGTATTATTATTATTATTATTATTATTGTTATTATTATTATTATCAGCTGTCCCCTGCCACGTGTTGCTGTGGCCCAGTCTGTATATAAGTGTTTTGTGTGTGTGTATATATGTGTTTGCGTGTATTATATATATATATATATATATATATATATATATATATATATATATATATATATGGGTGTATATATGTGTGTGCATATGTGTGTGTGAAGATGTGTATATGTGCATATATATTTGTGTGTTTATATATGTGTGCATGTGTATATTTGTGTGTGCATGTGTACATGAGTGTGTGCGTGTGTGTGTGTATATATATATATATGTGTGTGTGTGTATCTATCTGTTGGATTGATCCCCCCATATCACTCTTTAAAACCCACCCATGCGTAGACATACCCTACTCTGTTCACACCCAGGGGTTTAAAATTTTAATCTACATCTGGCCTTGCAATAATGCTTCAAAATCTTTTGTGTGCTATTGCGTATATGTTTAACTGTATTATTTATATTGTTTTATTTGCTTGCTTGTTTGTTGATGTATTGTTGTATTTGTATTTGACGGGCTTGTCCTCGTGTATGTGTGTGTATATATATGTGTGTGTATATATATATTTGCCATCCGTTGGGGACCCCTCCCCCCAGCACCAACTGCCGCTCTGGGCCAGAGCGAAGAAAGAGGGGCCAGGGGACAGTTCCACCTTGTCTCCTGTGCTATTCTAATAATATGTTATAATATAATATATTGTATATACATATAATATTTATAATATTGTAATGTAATGCAATATAATACTAGTAATTGTTTTTAAATGCATAATGATTTTGTATTCTGTATATCTAAACTGTTGTAAACCGCTCTGAGTCGCCTAAGGGCTGAGAAGAGCGGTATACAAATAAAGTAAATAAATAAATAAATAAAATATGGATATGGATACACACACACACACATATATGGTATATTTTTGGGTTTTTTAAGTCAGTTCTGCTAGGAGTTTTGTTGGTTTTTGTAATTTTTGGGGTGATGAACACTCATTGCCCTTCATTTAGGGCTGTACTGTCCAAATTGTACTGTTTGTTAGGGCTGTACTGTCCAAATTTGGTGTCAATTCCCCCAGTGGTTTCTGAGTTCTGTTAATCCCACAAACGAGTAGTACATTTTTATTTATATAGATTAAGGTTGAAAGGAGGAGGAGAAGGAGGAAGAGGAGCGAGGGAGAGAGGCAGTATGCTGAGGGAAGTTCTCCCGTTGCCACGGACAACGGAGGCCCCTGGGTCTTCCCGCCAAGCCGCCTCCCTCCTCCTCCTCCTCCCCGCATCCTGGCCCTCTTCCCCCTTCTCCTTCCTCCTCAGGCCCCAGGAGCCGGGCCTCGGCCCTCCCCGCCCTCGCCTCCCCCCCTCCGCCCTCGCCGGCCCTTCCTTTCGCCTCCCTCACCTGTACTTTCCGCCGCCCGGCCGTGTTCTGCCTGTGATGAGCCGCCATCTTGCATGTTGACACTCCGTCGTCATTTCCGGGTGGGGGGAGGGGGGAGGAGGAGAGGCGTCCGCCGGCCCGGAAGTCCCGCCCCCGCTTGGTCTGGCTCTGCCTGTCAAGGGCTTCCCTCCTGTTCCTCAAACAAGCAGGCGGGAAGAAAGGGGCGTGGCTCTTGCGGGGTTGCTATGGCAGCCGTTATTACGAGCGGGCGCGGGGTTTTGTTTTTCCCGTTTCTCTCTCTCTGTCTCTCGCGAGACTTGACTAGTGGCAGTTGAGTTTCCTGACTCAACAGAGCAAGTAGTCTGCCAAAGGTTGCTGTACAACAACAGCTCTAGTCAATGGGAAATGTTAATGACAGAAAGCTCAATCATAACTTCAATCTATCTATCTATATACATAAAAATGTAATGTAAATAAAAACAGAAAAAACATCTTAATACCTCTCAACAAAAGATTCCCCCAGGCTCAGCCAGGCCTTCAAATGCTAATGAAGGTGGTCACTTGAAACATTCACACCTAGCTCGGGCACATCTTAATACCTCTCAACAAAAGATTCCCCCAGGCTCAGCCAGGCCTTCAAATGCTAATGAAGGTGGTCACTTGAAACATTCACACCTAGCTCGGGCACATCTTGATACCTCTCAACAAAAGATTCCCCCAGGCTCAGCCAGGCCTTCAAATGCTAATGAAGGTGGTCACTTGAAACATTCACACCTAGCTCGGGCACATCTTAATACCTCTCAACAAAAGATTCCCCCAGGCTCAGCCAGGCCTTCAAATGCTAATGAAGGTGGTCACTTGAAACATTCACACCTAGCTCGGGCACATCTTATTACCTCTCAACAAAAGATTCCCCCAGGCTCAGCCAGGCCTTCAAATGCTAATGAAGGTGGTCAGTTGACACATCCACACCTAGCTCGGGCACATCTTATTACCTCTCAACAAAAGATTCCCCCAGGCTCAGCCAGGCCTTCAAATGCTAATGAAGGTGGTCAGTTGACACATCCACACCTAGCTCGGGCACATCTTAATACCTCTCAACAAAAGATTCCCCCAGGCTCAGCCAGGCCTTCAAATGCTAATGAAGGTGGTCACTTGAAACATTCACACCTAGCTCGGGCACATCTTATTACCTCTCAACAAAAGATTCCCCCAGGCTCAGCCAGGCCTTCAAATGCTAATGAAGGTGGTCAGTTGACACATCCACACCTAGCTCGGGCACATCTTAATACCTCTCAACAAAAAAGCGGGCGCGGGGTTTTGTTTTTTCCCGTTTGTCTCTCTCTCTGTCTCTCGCGAGACTTGACTTTTTTTTTAAAAAAAGTGGCAGTTGAGTTTCCTGACTCAACAGAGCAAGTAGTCTCCCAAAGGTTGCTGTATCACAACAGCTCTAGTCAATGGGAAATGTTAATTTATTTATTTATTTATTTACCTTACTTATATACCGCTGTTCTCAGCCCGAAGGCGACTCACAGCGGTTCACAACAAGCACGAACAGCAAAAATTCAGTGCTACAGTATAGAAACAGTTAACAACCTAACACATTACACAATTAATAAACAGTTACTACAATACCCATTCACTGTCGTCTCGTCATCAAAAACATGTTCCAGATTCGTCATCCATTGTTCCATTCCAGTGTTCATTATCCAATCATTGCACTAATTCAGTTCTTGTGGGTTTTTTCGGGCTATATGGCCGTGTTCTAGAGGCATTTCTCCTGACGTTTCGCCTGCATCTATGGCAAGCTTCCTCAGAGGTGAGGTCTGCTGGAGCTGGGAAAAAAGGGGTTTATATATCTGTGGAATGACCAGGGTGAGACAAAAGGCTTTTGTAAGTTGGGCTAGGTGTGAATCTTTCAACTGACCACCTTGATTAGCATACAATGGGCTGACTGTGCCTGGAGCAAACTCTTCTTGAAAGGTGATTATTAGATGTCCCTGCCTGTTTTTCTCCCTGCTTTTTGCTGTTGCAATTTTAGAATTTTTTAATACTGGTAGCCAGATTTTGTTCATTTTCATGGTTTCTTCCTTTCTGTTGAAATTGTCCACATGCTTGTGGATTTCAATGGCTTCTCTGTGTAGTCTGACATGGTGGTTGTGAGAGTGGTCCAGCATTTCTGTGTTCTCAAATAAAATGCTGTGTCCAGGTTGGTTCATCAGGTGCTCTGCTATGGCTGATTTCTCTGGTTGGAGTAGTCTGCAGTGCCTTTCATGTTCCTTGATGCGTGTCTGGGCGCTGCGTTTGGTGGTCCCTATGTAGACTTGTCCACAGCTGCATGGTATACGGTAGGCTCCTGCAGAGGTGAGAGGATCCCTCTTGTCCTTTGCTGAACGTAGCATTTGTTGGATTTTCTTGGTGGGTTTGTAGATTGTTTGTATGTTGTGTTTCCTCATCAGCTTCCCTATGCGGTCAGTGGTTCCCTTGATGTATGGCAGGAACACTTTTCCTCTGGGTGGATCTTCATCTTAACTCTCGTGGCTTGTTCTTGGTCTTGCAGCTCTTCTGATGTCTGAGGTCATTGCACTAATTATTCGAACGCCTGCTCAAACAGCCAGGTCTTCACTTTTTGCGGAATACCATTAGAGATGGTGCTAGTCTAATGTCCGTAGGAAGGGCGTTCCACAGCCGAGGAGCCACCACCGAGAAGGCCCTATCTCTCGTCCCCGCCAGTCGAGCTTGAGAAGCAGGCGGGATCGAGAGCAGGGCCTCCCCGGAAGATCTCAAAGTCCTGGTGGGTTCATAGGCAGAGATGCGGTCGGATAGGTAGCTTGGGCCGGAACCGTTTAGGGCTTTAAAGGCCAACGCCAGCACTTTGAATTCAGCCCGGTAGCAAATCGGTAGCCAGTGGAGTTGGCGCAACAGGGGGGTTGTATGCTCCCTGCGCTCCGCTCCTGTTAAAATCATGGCTGCCGAGCGTTGGACTAGTTGGAGCTTCCGAGCTGTCTTCAAAGGCAACCCCACGTAGAGAGCGTTGCAGTAGTCTAAACGGGATGTAACCAGAGCGTGGACTACTGTGGCCAAGTCAGACTTCCCAAGGTACGGGCACAGCTGGCGCACAAGTTTTAACTGTGTGAATGCTCCCCTGGTCACCGCCGAAACCTGGGGTTCCAGGCTCAGCGATGAGTCCAGGATCGCACCCAAACTGCGAACCTGCGTCTTCAGGGGGAGTGCGGCCCCATCCAGCACAGGCTGTAACCCTATACCCTGTTCGGCCTTGCGACTGACCAGGAGGACCTCTGTCTTGTCTGGATTCAATTTCAATTTGTTCGCCCTCATCCAGACCGTCACAGCGGCCAAGCACCGGTTCAGGACCTGGACAGCCTCCTTAGTAGCAGAAATGACAGAAAGCTCAATAATAACTTCAATCTATCTATCTATCTATCTATCTATCTATCTATCTATCTATCTATCTATCTATCTATCTATCTAAATAAAAATGTAATGTAAATAAAAACAGCAGAGAGGAAACAACAGGGCACATCTTAACACCTCTCAACAAAAGATTTCCCCAGGCTCAGCCAGGCCTTCAAATGCTAATGAAGATGGTCAGTTGAAACATTCACACCTAGCTCCAGCAGAGAAGAGCTCTTTGCCCCACCCTGGTCATTCCACAGATATATAAACCCTTTTTCCTAGTTCCAACAGAACTCACTATCTCCGAGGAGGCTTGCCATAGATGCAGGCGAAACGTCAGGAGAGAATGCCTCTAGAACATGGCCATACAGCCCGAAAAAACGTCTCCTCCACTACAACAACCCAGTGATTCCAGCCATGAAAGCCTTCGACAATACAAATGTAATGTTCGTTTGTGGGATTAACAGAACTCAAAAACCACTGGACGAATTGACACCAAGTTTGAACATAAGTCACCTAACAACCCAATGTATGTCCTTCACTAAAAAAAAAAAAATCTGATTTTGTCATTTGGGAGTTGTAGTTGCTGGGATTTATAGTTCACCTGCAATCAAAGAGCATTCTGACACACCAATGATGGAATTGAACCAAACATGGCCTGGGAAGACAGGCGGACTCTCATGACCAACATAAAACACTAGAAGGGTTAATGTATTGTCGAAGGCTTTCATGTCTGGAATCACTAGGTTCTTGTGGGGTTTTTCAGGCTATATGGCCACGTTCTCAAGGCATTTTCTCCTGACGTTTCGCCTGCATCTATGGCAAGCATCCTCAGAGGTTGTGAGGTCTGTTGGAAATAGGAAAAAGGGTTTATATATCTTTGGAATGACCAGGTTGGAGCAAAGAGCTCTTCTCTGCTGGAGCTAGGTGTGTGTTCAGAGGAAAAGTGTTCCTGCCATACATCAAGGGAACCACTGACCGCATAGGGAAGCTGATGAGGAAACACAACATACAAACAATCTACAAACCCACCAATCCAACAAATGCTACGTTCAGCAAAGGACAAGAGGGATCCTCTCACCTCGGCAGGAGTCTACCGTATACCATGCAGCTGTGGACAAGTCTACATAGGGACCACCAAACGCAGCATTGCCCAAACACGAATCAAGGAACATGAAAGGCACTGCAGACTACTTCAACCAGAGAAGTCAGCCATAGCAGAGCACCTGATGAACCAACCTGGACACAGCATTTTATTTGAGAACACAGAAATGCTGGACCACACTCCAACAACCACCATGTCAGACTACACAGAGAAGCCATTGTTCCTTGTCCTAATCTCCATGGAAGCAGTAAACAAGTTTGCTCCCTCCTCCCTGTGGCTTCCTCTCACATATTTATACATGGCTATCATATCTCCTCTCAGCCTTCTCTTCTTCAGGCTAAACATGCCCAGCTCCTTAAGCTGCTCCTCATAGGGCTTGTTCTCCAGCCCTTGATCATTTTAGTCGCCCTCCTCTGGACACATTCCAGCTTGTCAATATCTCTCTTGAATTGTGGTGCCCAGAATTGGACACAATATTCCAGGTGTGGTCTAACCAAAGCGGAATAGAGGGGTAGCATTACTTCCCTAGATCTAGACACTATGCTCCTATTGATGCAGGCCAAAATCCCATTGGCTTTTTTGCCGCCACATCACATTGTTGGCTCATGTTTAACTTGTTGTCCATGAGGACTCCAAGATCTTTTTCACACGTACTGCTCTCGAGCCAGGCATTGTCCCCCATTCTGTATCTTTGCATTTTGTTTTTCCTGCCAAAGTGGAGTATCTTGCATTTGTCACATTGTAAGAAGACATGCTTTGGCCACATCATGAGAAGACAGGGAAGTTTGGAGAAGACAATTATGCTTGGGAAAAAGGAAGGAAAAAGGAAGATGAATAGATGGTATCCTTGAAGTGACTGGCTAGACTCCGAAGGAACTGGGGGTGGTGACAGCCGACAGGGAGCTCTGGCATGGGCTGGTCCATGAGGTCATGAAGAGTCGGAAACAACGGAATAAACAACAACAAATGTTTAAAACTGAATAACATTATTTTTTAAAAAAGAAGCCAAGAAATTATCCTGAATCTTCCCAATCTTATTTAGATCTCAACACAATGCACAGGATGTTACTCCTCTCTAATCATGTTAACCGTATAATTTAGTTTGCACATTGCTGGTAATGACCAGATGTACAGTCATCGCACCCTAACTTCAAACCAGAGATGGAAGGAAAAGCTGTGCAAACTGTAATGCATATTCCACATCATACACTTGAAACTACAGACTTTGGGCTCTCCAGGAGTTTTGGACTTCAACTCCCACTGTTCTGGCACGGCTGTGCCAGGGGGTTGAATTCCCTTTTTCTTTCTTTGATAGTTTGCATCAATTCCTGAAGGCGATGCACTTTGCAATTTGGTAGCTTCTTTCAGATTGCAGTTATAGGGCCAGCAACCTGTCAATCATTGTTGCAGCCCTTAGATCCGCCCCTTTCCCCAGGGTTTTGTAGGGAAAAGGGACCTTTAGCTCAGTTATCACGGAGAAGCCTTTCCAACAGGACGTGTGAGATTCTCCCACCTGTAGAAAGCTTCGTTTCTCACAAACTTCGGGGGAAAGCAGTTCCACAGCTTTACTAAGAAATACAGCCAGCTTTGCTGGAAGGTAAAGGACACCAGCTGGAAAATCTACAAAGTCTTGGCCGGTAAGGTCTACTCGGGTTACCCATAAAGCAAATTGGAACTGGGAATAGGGCCCTACGCCAGCCTAAGAACAGATTGCCCAGGGAAGGGTCATAGATTTCCTTTATAGAAGAAAGAAACAGTCCTTGAAGCAAGTTGCCTGTCCCTTGTGGGCAGATTAAGAAAGCTACCAGTTTTCCAGAGTTTTAAAGTATTTATTTGATTTGTTAAAGATTTAAGCATTAATAAAGAACCTTGTTAAACTTTCTAAGCTTCTAAAGACTTTGTATAGGGAAATCCATAGGGCCTCTCAGCTGAGGGACCCCGGGTGTCCCGCTGGGCATATAGTGTTCTGTCGCCGCTGGGCCTGTATTTGGTTGGCTTTAAAATAGGATGTGTAACCTTTGCCCAGCGGGAAGCCAGGGGGCCCAAGGAGAAGTTCTCAGGGGCTTCCTTTACAAAAGAATCTTCAGATGGCTTGAGAAATACATCAAAGTCCTTTATTAATGAAATCAAACAGGAACTTCAAGGCTTTCTTGATAAAATATTAGTTCTCTCAATCTTGTCCACAGGGGACAGGCACTATCTTCAATAACTTTTCTTTAAAGGAAAATTCCCCTTTTTAACTTCTCCCAGGCTGACTAAAATCCAACCCTCGCTGATGCGTGCTCCGCTACCGGGCCGAACTGCTTCTTGGACGCCGAGTGGACCTACCAGCAAGGCAGTGGATGTTCTCCAGCTGGAGTTCTTTAGTCTTTAAGGCTGTTTTCCTGGAGTTCTTAAAGCTGTTCTCCCTGGATTGCTTAAAGCTGTGGGAATGCTTCCCTGGCATTCTTTCCCTGGAGATTCTTAAAGGTTGAAGCCTTTGTATAGGGGAAGTTACACACATCCTACACATTGGTTAACCTAGCTTAGACTAACTAACAAAATGGCTCACTTCCCTCCAAAGCCCAAAAAGGGGGCGGGACTAGGGAACCTAATAATAATTGACAAGCAATTGACCCAATAGCAGCAAAGTAAGGAAAGCCATCTAACTGCAAAGGCATAGAACTTTAAAATACATGCAGCAATCAACAAATAGCAAGATAAGCTGGAGCTCCTGATGCAGCTGTCCCAGAACATATAGAGACCACGTCCTGTTAATAGACAATTGCAACAGGCTCAGCGTTCCACCATTCCTAATAGCCTAAGGGACCTGAGGCTGTTAGGAATGGTGGGAGCTGAAGTCCAAAACTCCTGGAGGGCCCAAGTTTGCCCATGGCTGCTTTAGAGAGCGTTTGGAACTGTGTTTTAAATCTCATTTTTCTTGTAGTATCCTGCCTGCTTGTGGATTCAGTCTAATTATCTTTACGCAATTATCACTCACGTACAATAAAGGGTTTTTTTAAAAAAGAAAAGGGAGAAAGCAAATTTTCAATTAGGATCAAAGTAGTTGGAATGGGACTCAAAAGAAATCTTACATAAAAGGCAGTGTTGGCTTGCTGACTACATATTTAGTAGATTGCGAGGCAGAATGTCGTCTAATTGCCCATTTCCCTTGTTTCTGATGAGCAAAACCTTTTTATGTTATTAGCTTCCCAGTGTTTTGTACAGTGGTGAAACAACTCACCCCTATTTCAAAGTTGATAATGTAGAATCATCACAATCCATTTGCTTCTTCGCATCATTTAGTTTCCTGTAATAGCTCCTGAAATCCCATTTATTTATTTCCAGCTAAAAAACATACTCCACCCCTGCTTTGCATCCCCATTCCACAGCAAGACCACGCAAATTACCCTTTCCGCATCGAGCGGCAACTAAAATGTTTCTTCGGAATCATATGGAATCTGACAAAGAAGAATGAAGTATTTCCTCCTTTGGAAGAGATTAACTGGGGAGAATACTACATTTTGGTGAGGCTCAGCAGACTTGGATTCTCTTGGGCAGAAAAATGTAAGTCTTCACAATACTGTCTAAAACTGTTTGCTGTGGGGCAAATATGTGAAATAGTGGGGGAAATTTCATATTATGATGACTATGATCTTAAGCCACAGTGGGATTAATAAACATATGCATGCAGCATCAAAGCCATTTAGGAGTGATTTATTTATTTATTTATTTATTTATTGTGTCAGGAGCAACCAGACAGTTGTATTACATTCTTAACAAAACAAACAAACAGACAAAACACAAAGTTTGCAAGCTTGGTAGTTGATTAAATGTCCTTTGACCAGTATCTGGCCACTTGGAGTGCCTCTGGTGTTGCCGCAAGAAGGTCCTCCATTGTGCATGTGGCAGGGCTCAGGTTGCATTGCAGCAGGTGGTCTGTAGTTTGCTCTTCTCCACACTCGCATGTTGTGGATTCCACTTTGTAGCCCCATTTCTGAAGGTTGGCTCTGCATCTTGTGGTGCCAGAGCGCAGTCTGTTCAGCGCCTTCCAAGTTGCCCAGTTTTCTGTGTGCCCAGGGGGGAGTCTCTCATTTGGTATCAGCCATTGGTTGAGGTTCTGGGTTTGAGCCTGCCACTTTTGGACTCTCGCTTGCTGAGGTGTTCCAGCGAGTGTCTCTGTAGATCTTAGAAAACTATTTCTTGATTTAAGACGTGCTGGCTGATATCCAAACAGGGGATGAGCTGGGGATGTCACTGCCTTTAGGAATTACTCCTACAAGTATGATATTTGATATATAGTTCTAAGAAAGAAGTATTATGTTATTAATGTAGTATGTAACTTCCAGTAACATGCTTTGCTGGGCATGTTTAGCCTGAAGAAAAGAAGACTGAGAGAAATAGAAATATGTAGAAATATGTGAGAGTAAGTCATAGGGAGGAGGGAGCGAACTTGTTTTCTTCTGCCCTGGAGACTAGGATGCGGAACAATGGCTTCAAACTACAAGAAAGGAGATTCCATCTGAATTAGGAAGAACTTCCTGACTGTGAGAGCCATTCAGCAGTGGAACTCTCTGCCCTGGAGTGTGGTAGAGCCTCTTCTTTGGAAGCTTTTAAACAGAGGCTGGATGGCCATCTGTTGGGGGTGCTTTGAAGGCAATTTTCCTGCTTCTTGGCAGAATGGGGTTGGACTGGATGGCCCATGAGGTCTCTTCCAACTCTATGATTCTATGTGATTGTTTTAATTGCTGTTTGAAACCTGTTTTACCTGCATATATATGTGATTGTTTTATGTTTAATGATTTAATGTTTAACGTATTTATAATCTGTTTTTTTAAATGTTTTGACGTGCATCAAATTGTGCCAAGCTGTAAGCCACGCAGAGTCCCTCCTTGGGGTCAGATAGGGTGGGATAAAAATACGGTAAATAAATAAGTAAATAAATAAAGCCAAATCACTTCTATCAGTGCAGTCACCAATTGATCACTTTGCTGTCTTTATTTATTATTTACAGTATTTCTATACCGCTTTTCTCACCCCTAGGGGGACTCAAAGTGGTTTACATGTAACAGGCAAAAATTCAATGCCATACATTGGACACTGACGCGATGCCAATCCATAACAATGACAATAATAAAACCACGATCAAGCACAAATCATAATTGCACAGTACATAAGCAATCATTAAAACAATAATTTATTGCAAAATTTTCCATTCTTAATTATTTTATATGTTTACTGTCTGCATCTTGCTAAAGCGTATGGACCTGCCTCACAATGCTTTTGGGTATGGTAAGACCTCCTTATCCATGGATTTGATATCCAAGTTTTCACTTGCCCATGTGCCAAAAATACCCTTTTGCCTTGCTATGGGTCTCCTTAGGTCCTCCAGTGCTTGCTATGGTATGACTTCATGGGTGCCTATTAATTAGCAAGTCGTTTATCTAAGAGTTACTTAAAACAATGTAGCGTTTCAAGTGAGAAGCTAGGCCTGAGTTCTCTAGTTCTTGTTTCAAGTGAAGGTTTGGTTTTTGGATTTCAGTTTTCGAAGTTTTGTATGTTCTTGTCTTTGTATTCCTGCTCAAGTTTTACTTGCTTCTTGACTTATGCTGTACTTGTGACTTTTTGGTTATTCCTGGACTGTGTTACCTTGGAATCTGCATGAGACATTTGGATTACTGTTTGGATTGAGGAATTCCGCTGTTGCAACTCAGAGTAAGCTTCACCTCGCTTCCAAACACCACCACACAAGAGCTGTAGTTTTATAGTTTATTGAGGAAAAAATGCAAGTCACAATAAAGAATAAGCATTGCAAAGTTCCAAAGATTAGGTTAAATGCAGAATATAGTTCCAAAGATCTTCAGGTAAAAACAAGAGGCACAATCCTATAGGCAAAGTTCAAAACAGAGTCCAAGGTACAAGCAATGAAACAATTGCCCCAAGAATCACAATGCAAGAAATCCCAAGCGTGCTGCTTTCCAGGCTAAGGTTATTCCATGAAGCTTTCAGGCTAATAAGCTACGTTGAACTGACACTTTCTTTTCGTTTGCAAGAAGCCTAAATACCTTCCTAACATGAAAACATTAGGCTCTCACCAACATGAAAGCATTGCGATGACCTTTCCCCGAGCTGGCTTCTTGTCTGCTGGCCAGGCGAGAACTCCGCTTGACCCGCAAATCAAGACGAGCTTGCCGGGTCAGGTCACTATCAAGGCTTTCTGCACTTTCAGTATCAGTGTGGGAAGGAGGCAAATGCCTCCCCACCTGTTTGCTATCTCCTTCGTTAAAATTCTTTTCTTCTGAGAACTGCTGTGTTGATTCTGCACTGTCTGTGGGAGCTCAGAAAAAGACCTAGAAGCAGGCCCAGAGATCTGAGGCACAGAAAAAGAGCCAGGGTTCTGAATCCCATCATCCTCATCATCAGAGAACATCTCAGCCACAACAAAACCTTTTTGAATTATAAATCAGCTTTCTTTATTTCTGATTTTTTTGCCTGTTCTGTTAATGTGTTTCTACAACAAACTGTTTGCTTATATTCTGGACTCTTGTGTGGTGCTGTGGTCATGGGTGTTCCCAGGCCTGGAGTGCAACAGTAATGTTATTGGTACAGCAGAGTCTTGCTTATTCAACCTATGCTCATCCTACGTTCTGTATTATCCAACGCAGTCTTCCACCTGGATCCACAGCTGTTTCAATACATTGCAATGTTTTGGTTCTAAATTTGTAAATACAGTAATTACTACATAACATTACCATGTGTTGAACTGCTTTTTCTGTCAATTTGTTGTAAAACATGATGCTTCAGTGCTGAATTGGTAAAATCATAATGTAATTTGACATTTAATAGGCTTTTCCTTAATCACTCCTTATTATCCAACATTTTCGTTTATCCAATGTTCTGCTGGCCCATTTATGTTGGACAAACAAGACTCTACTGTGACATTGATAGTTTCTCCAAATGATTTAAATAATGTTACTTTTCTATGGTTTGTAATAAATTATTCGTTGTTTTTCTCAACAGTAGCAATAAAAAAAAATGCCAAATTTTTCATTTTCAACGGCTAACAATTTCCTCCGTTTCACTCCTGAGTCCTTGGATGAAATTAGAAAGAGAATTGCTGAGAAGAAAGCGGAGCAAGCCAAAGCCTTAGAGGAGGGCAAGAGCGAAGAGCAAGAAGAAAATATCCAACCGCAGCTTGATCTGAAAGTTTTTAAAAAGCTGCCTCATCTTTATGGGAAACCCCCTCCCTGGCTCATCGCAGAACCACTGGAGGATGTCGATCCCTATTACAAAGATCATGAGGTTATACTATCTTTTTGAAAATATATATATAAGTTTTCCCATATATATTCTTACCAGGGGAGCCTGAATACAGTATGGCTCTCATATCTCCAAGTCCAATACCAGCGGTTTCATTTACATCAGCTAACAAAACATGTCCTCATTTATACAGTAAATGAAGCATATGTATCATACAATATACCCGCGTTTCTCGACCTGGGGGTGGGGATCCCTGAGGGCGTCATGAGGGGTTGTCAGTAACACAGTATTTTCTTTTGGTCAAGGGGGTTCTGTGTGGCAAGTTTGGCCCAATTCTCTTATTGGTGGGGTTCAGAATGCTCTTTGATTGTAGGTGAACTATAAATCCTAGCAACTACAACTCCCAAATGTCAAGGCCTATTTTCTCTAAACTCCACCAGTGTTCACATTTGGGCATATTGAGTATTCATGTCAAGTTTGGTCCAGATCCATAATTGTTTGAGTCCACAGTGCTCTCTAGATGTAGGTGAACTACAACTTCAGAACTCAAGGCTAATGCCCACCAAACCCTTCCAGTGTTTTCTGTTGGTTGTGGGAGTTCTGTGTGGCAAGTTTAGTTCAATTCCATAGTTGGTGGTGTTCTGTCGTGCGCTGGGCCTGTAAATAATTGTCTTTAGAACAGGACGTACAACCTTTGCCCAGCGTGAAGCCAGGGGCCCCAAAGATAAGTTCTCAGAGGTTTCCACCACAAATAGTCTTTAGATGGCTTGAGAAGTACAACAAAGTCTTTTATTAATGAACAATCAAACAGAAACTTCTCTTGTCTTCAGTAAAGTTAAGTAAATGATTCCAAGCTTTTGGGCAACTGGTGAATTCCTAAACTTGCCCACGAAGGACAGGCAACTGTCTTCAATAACTTCTTCTTTAAAGGAAAATCCCCTTTTTAACTTCTTCCAGGCTGACTGTAATCTAACCCTTACTGATATGGGCTCCACTACTGGGCTGAACTGTGTCTCAAACACCGAGTGGACCTACCAGAAAGGGCTTAGATGTTCTCCAGCTGGAGTTCTTTGGTCTTTAGGGCTGTTTTCCTGGAAATTCTTAGGAGACTCTTGAAACTGTTCTCCCCTGGAAATTTTTAAGGTTGAAGCTTTTGTACAAGCTCTCTTCCCTTCCCAATTGCCCTGAGCAAGAAGCGGGACCAAAACTTAACGATCATGGACAGGTGACTTGCCCTATGAATGCAACCAAAAGAAGCCACCTATCTGCAGAGTCCCTGAAACCCAGGACTGCAACCAAACATTTAATACAAAGCAAATAAAGTTGGAGCTCCTGGTACAGCTGTACCACAACAGGTGGAGTTCAGAATGCTCTTTGATTGTTGGTGAACTATAAATCCCAGTAACTACAACTCCCAAATGGCAAAATCAATACCCCCCAACCCCACCAGTATTCAAATTTGGGCGTATTGGTATTTGTGCCAAATTTGGTCCAGTGAATGAAAATAGATCCTGCATATCAAATATTTGCATTACGATTCACATCAGTAGCAAAACTAGTTATGAAGTAACAATGAAAACAATGTTATGGTTGGGGGCCACCACAACATGAGGAACTATATTAAGGGATCACAGCATTAGGAAGGTTGAGAAACACTGAATTATATGAAACTTATGTATATTATACATTATTTAATGTATATATTATATACTTTGACATTTATATAAGGGGCTGGTTTAACCTCCAGTTGCCATTAAAACCGATTTACCATGTCACAAAAGGATTCGTGTCCAAAAAGTGTGTCACCAACATGAAAAGTCTGGAAAGCTCGGCTATAGACAGTAGTTGCAATATATGAGTACATAGCATAGTTTTATCTTATTAAAGAATTTTCTAAATAATGTAATAAGCATGCACATTTATTTTGCAGACCTTCATGGTGATATCAGCCCGGAGAAGAATCTATCGGTTTACTGCCACAAAAGCATTTTTTTTACTTAGTCCTTTTCATCCATTGAGAAGATTAGCAATCAAAATTTTGATACACACATATCCTTTACATTGATAGCCCTCCTTCTAATTCTCTTACTACTTAATGGGAAATTGTTATTTATAATAATACTAGCTTGGGTCCCCTGCGTTGCCCGGGTTATTTGAAAAAGTGATTTTTCCAATACATCTCCTAACTAAAATCGTGGTCCAATTGCATCATCCATATTACCAATCCGTAGTCGACATATTCACTGAGTTAACCAAATGCCTGTTCGAACATCCAGGTTTTTAATCTTCTTCGGAACACCATCAGCGAGGGGGCTGATCTTACCTCCATGGGAAGGGCGTTCCATAGCCGAGGGGCCACCACAGAAAAGGCCCTGTCTCTCGTCCCCGCCAGCCGCACCTGTGAAGCAGGCGGGATAGAGAGCAAGGCCTCCCCAGAAGATCTTAGGGTCCTGGTGGGCTGATAGGCCAAGATACGTTCGGATAGGTAGGTTGGGCCAGAACCGTTTAGGGCTTTAAAGGCCAACGCCAGCACTTTGAATTGAGCCCGGTAGCAAATCGGCAGCCAGTGGAGCTGGTGCAGCAAAGGAGTTGTGCGCTCCCTGCGCTCCGCTCCAGTTAGTATCATGGCTGCCGACCGTTGGACTAATTGGAGCTTCCGAGCCGTCTTCAAAGGCAACCCCACGTAGAGAGCGTTGCAGTAGTCTAAACGGGATGTAACCAGAGCGTGGACTACCGTGGTCAAGTCAGATTGTACACATTGCATAAGTTTGTGGGTGAACGACAACTCACATCATGCCAAGTTAACCCCTTGAAACTCCATCAGTAGTTAAAGTTTTTCATGTTGGGCAAGTTTGCTCCAGAATGATGCATCATTGGTGGGGTTCAGTGAAGTCTCTGGCTGCAGTATGAACTACAGCTCCCACCATGGTGGGTCAGTCCCCTCAAATCCCTCCAGTAGGTTCAGTTGGCCATGGGGGTTTTGTTTGCCAAGTTTGGTCCAGATCCATCATCGCTGGTAGTCACAGTGTCTCTGAATGTCAGTTAACTACAATTTCCAGAAATAAAGGTCAGTTCTCCACAAACCCCTCCAGTATTGGGTTGTTATAGTTTTTTCAGGCTATATGGCCATGTTCTAGAAGTATTGTCTCCTGACGTTTCACCTGCATCTATGGCAAGGCATCCTCAGAGGTTGTGAGGTATGTTGGAAACTAGGAAAATTGGGTTTATATATCTGTGGAATGTCCAGGGTGGGAGAAAGAACTCTTGTCTGTTGGAGCTAGGTGAGAATGTAGCAACTACCACTTGATTGGTGGGAATGCTTCAATTGACCACCTTGATTAGCATTTAATGGCGTGGCAGTTTTTTTGGTGTGGCTTGTTAGTGCCTGGGGGAATCCTTTGTTGATAGGTGATAGCTGTCCCTGATTGTTTCCTCTCTGGAGTTGCCCTTTGTTTGAGTGTTGTTTTACTGTTATAATTTTAGACCTTTTTAAAATACTGGTAGCCAGATTTTGTTCATCTTCATGGTTTCATCCTTTCTGTTGAAATTGTCCACATGCTTGTGGATTTCAGTGGCTTCTCTGTGTAGTCTGACATGGTGGTTGTGAGAGTGGTCCAGCATTTCTGTGTTCTCAAATAAAATGCTGTGTCCAGGTTGGTTCATCAGGTGCTCTACTATGGCTGACTTCTCTGGTTGAAGTAGTCTGCAGTGCCTTTCATGTTTCTTGATTCGTGTTTGGGCAATGCTGCGTTTGGTGGTCCCTATGTAGACTTGTCCACAGCTGCATGGTATATGGTAGACTCCTGCAGAAAAAAGAGTTGAAAAGAGTAGGAAAGGGTTAAGGAAGAGGCAGTGGGTGGGATCATGCAAATTCCCCACCAATTGAGAGACTAAGAAACACTGGGATGTCTCTGTGGTAGAGGAAACAGATAAAATCTCGGATGAAATTGTCCCCAGATGAAAGCATTCTTTGGGTGGTGAGCAGTTTGGGGAGGACATTGGCAGGGGTTGGGCTACGTGTTCACGGCACTCGCTATAACTTGCAATGTCATTGGAGGGAGGCCCATTGGTGTCTCTTGAGTGGTGGGAACTATAGTTGTTAGTGGAGGCAGGAGCATGTGTAAGTGGTCACTCAAGATAGAGATGCTAAGACCAACCCAAGTATTACCATAGCAAGGGAGAATAAGTAGATGATGAGGTATAGTCCAGCAAAAACCTAAATGAAGACTTTGGGTCTGGCTATACTGGTCCCAAAACCCCGAATCAGGTCAGAGGCCACATGACACTCAGGTACTTTGGGCCCCTAATGCAAGATAAAACCGGGTGTCCCAGCTTTGTCCCATGTTAACAGAAGTTGGGGAATGCCTTGGCATTTGTAAAACTGCTTATACCAGAGCTGGTTCTGACTAAAACCTGCCTTTCATAGCAACAATTATGCAGGACAAATAAAAACTGATAAAATTAGAAGGATATACCATGTTATTCCAGTAAATATTGTGAAGATATCAGTAATTCTTTCTCCATCTGAGAGGAATGCTATTTCCATAACCCATTGTTTACTTTCTTCATTACATTCATAACATGTGTTGTTCTCAGCTACTGTGGGTTTATGACTTTGAAAGATCCTCCATCATACTATTACATAACTGAGTAAGTATCACTACGCACTGTAATGCACTTTCCTCAAAAAGGAGTAACTGTTCTAATGGACTGAATAAGTAAGACGAGACAAAGAGAATTAAAAGACTGTAAGGCAATGTGATGTGGGAGCCATGAGGTTTATTAGTACAGTAGTTTTTGTATATCTGGAGATGGGTAAAGATACGATGTTAGGGAGCTGTGACCATATCTCCTTTATTTCAATTTTCTTAATTAAAAAAGACACGTGTGCATTGTACAAGCATGATTTAGTAATGGGCTCAGAGTTTGATATAAGCTTAGATTCAATGATACAATGAAATACATCTCCACCTGTCTTGTTCCTGGGTTTCCTTTGGGAAGGGGCAGAAAGAATGAAGCAAGGTGATTCCTCTACACTTTCAGTGATTTTGCTTTCATGGCTGCTTTGTTTTCCAGGATTTCTTTCACAGTCATTTACACAATTGAATTACTAGTAAAGGTGATGGCAAGAGGATTTGTTTTGAATGAGTTTACCTATCTCCGGGATCCCTGGAATGTCCTGGATTTCTTTGTATTAATTATGACGTAAGTTCACTTCTGATCTCCTATGTCGCAAGTCAAAATTTCCAGTGGTTGAAAGCTAAGCTAGAATCTTTCTCCTAGATCAGTGGTTCCCATACCACTCGCCATACGACTCGCCGCGAGTCGCCCTAGGGCTGAGAGCGGCGGTCAACAAATGCATTAAATACTTTTTTTGATCAGGGACCATTTGACCAGGGGCCACTTTTGTGACATAATGTAAAATAAACCATGTATAGATCACATTTGATCAGCTCACACACCTCCTTGCCAATGAAAGAAAATATGCCACGCAGATGAACAATAAAGAACAAGTAGGGCTGTTGTAGGCTTTTTGTGGCTATATGGCCATGTTCTAGAGACATTCTCTCCTGACGTTTTGCCTGCATCTATGACAAGCATCCTCGGAGCCGCATGATTTTGAGGCAATGGTGTAGTAATGGTGAGGTCGCAGACCATATTTTTGTTCTTGAAGACCACTGGTGTTCCACGGACCCCAGGTTAGGATCCACTGTCCTAGATTGAGCTATTGAGACTTGCAGCCTAACAGTATTTTGAGGACTGCATGATGCCTACTCCTGATGTAGATCCTGACTTTTTAGAAGCTGCTTCTCTGTGATTTAAGAAACATACTGTGCTAATCTTTCTTTTAGAACTAGAAGATGTGACCCACTGTAGTTCTCCTCTGCTTTGTGTCTTCAAAGAGTTTTATATCAAGGCTTCTTCATATTTTGAAGAGAGAACTTGCAAGATGTAGTGGCTGAATATTGGACTATGGCTCTAGAGACCCCCACTCAGACAAAGAAACCCTCTGGATCAATGGTTCTCAACCTGTGGGTCCCCAGGTTTTTTGGCCTACAATTCCCAGAAATCCCAGCCAGTTTACCAGCTGTTAGGATTTCTGGGAATTGAAGGCCAAAACATCTGGTGACCCACAGGTTGAGAATGACTGCTCTGGATGATCATGGGCAGGTCACCTCAATCTCACAGGGAATCAAAGACAAAACTCCTTTGAATAAATCATTTCGGAACCATTGGCAACCATCTTTGAGAGTTCTTGGAGAACGGGAGAAGTTCCAGCAGATTGGA